TTGAAGGCTGTACGACAATGCCCTGAAGAGCTCATGAATGTAAAACTCCCACATGGCAACGCAAGCCATAAAAGCCCTTTGTACTGGATACGCAAAACCAGTGACAGCGCCTTGACGAAGCCACAAACCAGCACCAAGTCATTCATGAAGGGATCTTTGACGCAGTCGAACCCCTGCCTAGGCAATATTGTCACGAAAAAAAACATATTGCATGAGCAAATCAATTTATGTACCCACCGCTGGTGATATATATATATGTGTATATATATATATATCTATATATATATAACAATTTTTCCCTTGAAAGAGGTCCTCGGGGTGAATGGGGTCCTGGGTCCGTGCGCGCGCGTAAAAAGCTTCAATTTGGAGCCCTTGACGCGCGCGCGCGCGGACCCAGGACCCCTTTCAAAGGAAATTGAGTTATATATATATATATATATATGTATGAGTCCTATATACATATAACCATATAATATATATATATATATATGTATAGTAGAAAAAAATATGTTTCCCTTGAATGAGAGTTTCAAATATAATTTAGGTTTCAGCTTTAGAGCCCTTTTTTCTGAGTCTGGATTTTTAAATCCCAGACTCAGAAAAGGGGTTGTAACCACCATTAGTTGAACACCCCCATTCCAAAAATCATATTCCTTAATGTCTAGATTAAATAGTGAAAAAATATACGCATGCATATATCATGGGGATCAATCCAGGATGCTGACATAAATCTCTCATGTCTTGTCAGTTTGCAGATGAACCCAAGATTCCACCAGCTATGGTTCCAGGCTGGTTGACCATTTACACCTTCAATGCTGGGATGCCAAGAATCCAACAGGGTTCCAAGTGGTGGGAGGGCACTTCCTGAAAACTAAAAGAAGCCAAGTTGCGCAAATCCACCATGTTGTCCTTGGCAACCCCATGCAAACAGAGTGGGCAGATATCATTAAAGGCCTTGAGAGGAATCCAAAGGAATGTTTTCTCATTCACAGCTAGTCGCATACACAAACAGCTAAGGCTAAGGGACAGGGATGCACTGGTTTTGATACGATTACCTTGCCATTCCAACCACTGGGGCGCCAAGCTAAAACCATTGACCACACTCTCAACGCCGGAAAACAGTTCTGCACAGTGTAGATCCTGCAGCAGTACAGAAGCTGTGCTGGCCATGGCAATCTTTGGTTGATTCAAGCAACATGGGGTATTGAGATGATCTTGGCGTAAAAATATTGTTCAGGTGTGCTACTGATCAGGTTAGCCACTTTCAACAGGGGGTGGTAACTGTCCTTCTTGAACATCAACCAATTATTGGGGATAAAAAGGGGATGGCTCAAAATGAGGTGCCCTTTCTGTTACACAAATTACCCTAAATTTAAGGGTAATTTCCGTTTTAAAAAAAGGGCACCTCATTTTGACACATACCCATTATCTGTAGCAGATACTTGAAGGTGATGTTCAAAATACCTGATTAGGGAAATTACTAACCGCTGTTCAAGGCCAGATTTCTCACACCCCGGCATTCAATCTCCACCAGTCCCGCCACATAGACGTTTGTGTAGATCCAATGTAGTCAAGGAGGTGGACCCTTAAGGGCCGGTGAGTTGTGTCGTCAAGGCATGTTTCCGTATGGATGAGTAGTACTTTAAGCATGCTTTGTGCCCTTGCCTGAAACACAACTATTGGGACTTGGGACATACATATCTGCTACAAATCACTACTGCAGACATATTTCAGTTAATGCATATCAAGGCACACCACTGGAGGACAGGCTAGGCATAGCAGCAGTGCACACTGAAGTTTAGATACCCGCACAGATCCAGGCGCCATGGGATCAAACAAAGGGGGATGTGCTCAAACTAGTAACCAGTGCTGAATGCCAGATGAGTCTATGTGTACCTATTCATGTTGTTTGATCGTTTGTTCATAAATTGACCTCCACTGATGCATCTTGATGCTGTGGTGGTTGCGAGACCCAAATTGCACCCTGCTCTTCTGTACTTTGATCCACTGGTAGGGCTCATCCATAGGGAACTATTTGCCTTTGGTTTCAGACAAAACCTTGGGAAAACCATGTCTACGTATTCGTATTGGTTTTTAATGTTATATATATATATTATAAAAACGCGTTTGCTATAAAGGTGTGTTATATGTAAATGCACCTCTGGTATATTTCTGTTTTCACACGTATGACAAGCACTTGGAAACAGTCAGAAACCAGTTGGGCTATGATTCATTATTGGGGCTTAGACCAAAAGTCTCCGGACAACCATCTCAACCAGAATGTGAAGATACAGAACTTTTACACCTGGGAGTCTGGGGGCTATCATATGGGGAGCTCTGAAAATAGGGGCGCGCCTGATATTATTTAAAACAGCAAACAAAAGTTGATACCCCGTGTTGGTGCAAGCCCTGTAAAACTTTGGAGCTGATATTTGCGAATACTGGGAACAGCAACCATAGGTTTGAAAACCACCATATGAACATCTAATTTTAAAGAACATCCCCGTCACCCCAAGATTGGTCCAAAGATCCCGCTATATGTCAGCCAGTAGCAGTCCACCAAAAAAGGATCAGGTGGCACCTCTTTCTTTTTCGGAACATTGCTGCGCAACACCACCTGCAATGCAGCAAAGGGGGTGGCAACCCAACGAAGAGAAACGTAGGGGACCCTCCATTTTGTTTTTGAGAATCCCAGTCATGAAATGTTCTTTTGTGAGTATTTTGCATTTTCATGATTTGTTTTTAGCAATGTAAAATCCATGATGTTGGAAGCCAACTATTTATTTACTTTGGTCACCATTAAAGTTGCAGATGCTATCAAATGCGTACAGGGCACAAACCAGTACAAGTACCTGCGTGTATCTTACTGCATTTTGCAAGTTGGAGTTTTGGATATCAGAGAAGGTGACTCCTAATATCCCCAAACCAGTGGATCTCTATTGTTGAAATTTGGGAAGCTCAACAAGTATCAATTTCGATTTCCCTATGGGCCCAAGTACCTCCTAAGGAAGTATTTAGGGTATGGTTAGGGGTTTAAATACTTTCTCAGGAAGTACTTGGGACCATAGGGTTTTAATATCCCACCCTTTTCCAGCCTCTGGGTGCAATCTGTGAGCTTGAGCTTGCACTTCTGAAGGCCTTGCTGTCACCTGCGTGCGGTGGCTCCAATGCCACTGGACTGAAGGGAAATAGGGTTTGCCAAGGATATGCAAGGAAGAGTTTCTTTTTTGATCTAGGTCCAACAATGGTCCAACAATGTTTTGGGGATGTGACAAGTGTGCATCAGCGTTTGGACCAAATGCTTTTCTCCTTTGGTCGCAATCAGATGTCCATCCGGCCAAGAATCTAATGCCCACACACTGCCACATCACTGGCTGGGCGTGCTGTCAGACAAACAAGTGTGTAGGAAACATTGATGATGAGAAATCCAGATCTAGATGTCAACATATGTCTACAAATATCAATACATTGTTGAAATATTCTTCACCCACCAGTGTGGTAGCAAAGGTGTTGCAACACCCAGTAGCCAGGAAGGTCGGTCGCAAACAATGTAATTGCAATTGGGAGCTAGCAAAACTGCAGCCATCATCCACAGGTGTGCGTGACAAAGCAAAAAATGAACCACCAATGTAAACACAGTACTAAAAAGCCACTACTGGCAGAGCTGAGATCATTCATGAGTGCATCCACTGGCACATACAAGCTCACATTTTCAATCATCACAGCCCTGTGCGGAAGCTGCCCAATCGGGAATCTACGTGGTCCCCTCCTACATATCATGGCAAAATGCTCACACCCTTTTAGTCTTCCCACTTGGCAACTCGCTTCGCGATGGTCCACCTGGCCGACAGAGTTTTGGGAAGGTTCCTCAGGGGTCAAACTCTCATGGTGGTATGGGAATAGGAATCAAATTCAAACATATTAAGGCGTTGTGTACATTTAAGGGATGTAACAAAAATGCTGGGCAAAATTGTGAATTACTTTACTTCGCGTGATCCCCACCATGACATTTATACATTTTGTTACTGGCAAATCTTTTGGCATTCTATCTGACATATCTTCTGGCATTCTATCTGGCATTCTATCTGGCATATCTTCTGGCATTCTATCTGGCATATCTTCTGGCATATTATCTACTCAAATCTTCTGGCATTCTATCTGGCAAACATTCTGGCACTTTATCTGGCATATCTTCTGACATTCTATCTGGCATTTTATCTGGCATTCTATCTGGCATACCTTCTGGCATTCTATCTGACATATCTTCTAACATTCTATCTGGCATATCTTCTGGCACTCTATCTGGCATATCTTATGGCATTTTATCTGGCATATCTTCTCGCATTCTATCTGACATTCTATCTGGCATATCTTCTGGCATTCTAATCTGGCTTTTGAGGTCCAGCGGCGCGCACTGAGTTCGGAAGGCCCCAGGTTGAGGTCCAGCGGTGCGCACTGAGCTCGGCAGGTCCCAGGTTGAGGTCCAGCGGTGCGCACTGAGCTAGGAAGGTCCCAGGTTGAGGTCCAGCGGTGCGCACTGAGCTGGGAAGGTCCCAGGTTGAGGTCCAGGAGTGCGCACTGAGCTCCGAAGTTGGCGAAGAGCTTGGCCAAGAGTTGGCAAGGCAACAGTGGACGTGGAAGTCGAGGCAGTGGTAGAAGAGGAGGAGGACGCGGAGGAGGAGGAGGAAGGAGGAGGAGAAGGAGGAGGAGGACGAGGAGGAGGAGGAGGATGAGGTGAGGAGAACAGCCCTGATAAAATCTAACAACCCTCACCTGGCAGGTGGGGGAAAAATAGCTTAATGTAAATAAGAGCATACACAGGTGCATAAACATGGCAGCTCCACGCTGCACCAATATTGTCTTCCCAGCCAATCGACAACCCTCCGTTCTTACCAGGCCACTTCCCAGTCACCTCACTTGACTTCTCCGGGCATGCCTTTGTGATGTAAAAGCAGCGTTGATACAACACCACCCCAATGGTGCTGGCCGAATCCCGGTCCTCATTCATGCACTTCACAGTGAAGCTCCTCAGTTGCTGGGGCAGGTGTGTTAGAAAATCTATATTGGTATGTTAGAAAATCTACAGTATATTGACATGCCAATGAACAACACACACACAGGCATATATGCATGCATACAGGTGAAAACATTATGCATGCAAGTATCTTCTTGTCAAACGTTTCTCCACTGGGAAGCTCAAGGTCAGGCAGGGCCAAAACCCGCAGGTGGGCAAACTGATCCATGGCAATCCTCATCCTAGAATCACTTCTTTGCTTTCTCACATGGCCTGGGGAAGGAACGCTTGCTTTTGCAAACTGGGAAGCCTTTGGTGACAGCTTCACCAATGCATCTGCATTCTTTGCTCTGGTGCTGGGTGCTTTGGCTGGTGGGCTGGCTGGAGGTTCAGGCACACCTGCACTTGCACCAGCAACATTCTGGAAGCTAGGGTCAAGTCTGCGCCGCACTGGATCTTTTTTGGCCAAAGCTTCGGCTTTGGCCAGGGCTTTCTGTAACTTTGCCTTGGCTTTCTCAACGGCCACCTGGCTTGCTTCCTGCTGCTTCTCCATTGTTTTCTGTTTTTTCTCTTCCAGTTTCAACTTGGCTTCCTGCTCGACTCTTCGCTTCAAGTCCCGTTGGTGCTCCAAGTTGAACTCCTGTGTCGCCGGGAGACTTGCTTTCGCTGCGCATGCCACAGCTGGGTCAATGGAGGGTGGGCAAGCAAAGCCATGTTCAGGTTTGCTTCTTTTCTTTTGCTTGTTGGGAATCTCTGCAGGTTTTGGCGACGGAGGCTCTGCGCACGTGGACTGGTTGTCCAGCAGGTCTGGCAACCGATACACGATCTTTCCTGTCAACTTGTCAACCATAGGCACCATTTCAGAGTATGGGTTGGTGACCCAAGACTTGTCAACTGATTCCTCAGGCATAGTCTCAGCATGAGGTGTGGCACCAGCATCGCAGGGGGATGTGTCAGGAACATCGCAAGGAGACTGGTCAGGCACAGGTCCAATCCCACTGCCCACAACAGGCACGGAGGATTTGTTCGGCCCCTGCCCAACCCCAGACATAGGAGCATCACAGGTTGGTTCCTCAGGCATAGACTCCATCACAGCCACTGTCTCACCAACATTGGAAGGTGATATGTCAGGCACAGGTCCAGTCACAGAGGATTTGCCAGGCCCAGTCATAGCAGCATCGCAAGTTGGTTCGTCAGGCACGTCAGGCACAGGTCCAATCCCACTGCCCACAACAGACACAGAGGATTTGTCAACCCCAGTCATAGGAGCATCACTGGTTGGTTCGTCAAGCATAGACTCTGTCCCAGCCCCTGTCTCACCAACATTGGAAGGTGATATGTCAAACATAGGGTCAGTCTCATCAAGTGCCTGGTTAGCATCGTAGCCAAGAGTGTCCATGACATCCATGTAGCTGTTTTCAAAGCTCACCGCCTGACAGATTTCAGAGCTTGCAGCCTCTCACATGGAAAGGGTATACAAGATGGATAATTATTGTACTAAACCAGTAGACACCTGGGATAGTGCATATTTTCCTATCAGTCCATATATCTGTGTCATGATATGCATGATTGATCCCTTCTAGTGTCACCTTCACACAAGTCATGCGACATTCTCACTCAGCATACTGATATATCTCATGGCACCAGCACGCATTCTCATGCATGGAGACACCACAGATGGCCTGGGCGATACCAATCAGATTGCATCCACCAAACTAAAAAGCCAAGTGACCTGCAGAAGCTCCAGGTCACGCACAGGAAAGGCTTCACCCGCAGGATTTGTGGACACATCCACCTCAGCAGCCAAGCACAAGAGGCGAAAGGGCATATACAGGTACCAAGGTGTAAATACCGATGGGTTGCATGTGTCAAACGAATTACAACACCAAAGAAGATCAGGTACTTCTTTCGACACGGCATTTGGTGGTCCATCAAGGTCCAGCTCACCCTTGATCTCCATTATCTCATCATGATGGCCATCAACCAAATTCACACTCACAATGACAGGTTCGTCATCATACTCGATAGGAAGGTGTTCGTAATCCTGACCAAAAAATGTTTGATTTTTGATTTCACGTTGGGAATCAGCAATAGAACAACAAAAATGATTTGACAGGTGCTGAACCAGTCAATCATTCCTCCTCAGGATCGATAGAGTTGAGAGCATCGGCAGTCCCTGCCGCTACCTGCAAACCAAATGGAAAAAGTACATTCTGACATTGATACCTTTCCATAATTTAGGAAAACCACGCCACAAGGTTTTCATTGATGGTGGTGTCAATAAAGAAAAACAGCCCCTACCTGATGCTTGAGTTTGATTGACCTGAAGGAGAGCACAATGTTCTTCAGCACCTGGATCTTGTCGCTCCTTCCATAGCCAAACAACCTACCCTAATTGAAAAGCTGCAGAGGTTGTATTGCAATGCGCATACCGGTTACTAAAAATGGTAAAATTATCATCGTTGACTCTGACTCATCCCCAAATACAAGACACCACAACTCCAGCCCTCCCACTCCTCGCTTTCTCTGTGCGGTTGGTCAGTACTACCAAGTGGGTGATCATCTTCCTCAGACGGAGAGCTTCCACATTGCCCCACTCCTTGGAACACAGTAGGTCCCCACTAAAGGGCATTGAAATTTCAAATGTACAGGTCTCTGTGTATCAGGAAAATATCGCAATACAAAACTGCAACACAATTAACATTGAACTGAAGCTGAACCTGAGTTTCACGAATCACGGATTTGCCCCCCTTTCTCTGGAGTTCGTCAATATGATAGTTCAGCCGAAGGGACAGGAGGAGAAAAGCACTTTCGAAATCAAACAAGTTGGGCACCTCTTTCTCCCATTTAGTACCCAACCAATGCTCCCACAGAGCATAGACCACATCCCGGACCAACTCATAAATTTTTTCAAGGTCGTTTTCATCAACAGCTGCTCGATCACGTGCACACCACTGAACAATGGACCTGGTTTGATCCAGTTTTATGGTTTCAGCATGCTTGTTGACATAGGTCTTCAAGGCCTCGAATAGCTTCTGTCCCACCACCTGAACAGAGTATCACATGTTTTGTGAGTATGGTGGCCTTGCATGTTTTTTTGACAAGGACGTGACAAGTTGTAGGGGGAATGATGCACAGTGGTCCACCCACACTGAATGCTATCAAGTAACTGTGACCTTAAACTTCATTGGCTTGGACACCTGGATATTCCCATTTTCCAACTTGTCCTCCACCACTATTGGGACTGATGATGGCCGCTTGACAAATGCCATTGCCAAGGTGAGTAGCGAGCACAGCCACAAGTGCAGTGCACTGATGATCCAATGCACAGCTGCAATGAGAGGGAGCGGGCTGTATGGTGGAACCCGTTTTTTTTTTTTACTAGTGTCACTTCCAAGATCACGCCGAGAAGTAAATATAAATCAAAAAGCATATATGCATGCTTGTGCATGTGATAAATGCTTTCTGATCATGACATGACGCAGTTCAAACAAGAACTTAAGCAGCAGGGTGTCGGGAGGGCGCACCTCTCAAACAAGAAGTTCTCAGAAGCCCCATTGCGCTTTCAGCGAAGCAAGGGACATGTGTAGCCAGTAGATGTTCAAATCCTCTCGGTCCTATGGATGTCTTTCATTGATTTCCATTCCGAAAATAAATAGACATTTTCACATACCCCGAAGAGGCATTACCCCATAGGTTTAATTTCAACCATTACTGGGAAATATTTGAACCATGTTTCTGGGGTATGTCCATAACTTGATATATGAACATATTCCATGAAAAATCATACTGAACTGATTTGAAGGTTCAACTCCCTAAGGACCCAATCCCATCATGTCAAACATTTTATCGTTGGAGGTTGTAGCAGTATAATCCTCAGTAGGCTTTTGGATCCCCATGGGGGTGTTTGTCACCAAACAGTTTTCTTCGCTTGGAAACATGGATGGTTCTAATGCCACCTGTCATCCCAACCCCTTGCCTTCGGGCCAGCGCAGCCCGTCCAAAGCAGCATCCAGGAGGCAAAACAAGTGTGCTGGGTAAACACTGAATCAAACATCATCAATTTCAATAGAGAAATGGCCTTATGTATAAAGATACTGCAAAAGCCATTCTTACATCTCATCAGCACGGTTTTCGGGAATGTTGATGTTTGAGACCATTCTGACAGAATTTTGGTTTGGGCACATGCTCACAAACCACTTACACAAACACAAGCTGATCATATGTTTGGATCCCTAGGGTTCGTGGTTTCTGAGAGATTCCCATTTCTGCCCCCTCCCATGTTGGCTCAACAGGATCGAGGGGCTCAGGATCTGAGGGGAGCTGCTGGGGTCGCAACCAAGGGCCTGACCAATGGCTGAGGGATCGCTTTTTTGGTGACGTCGTCATGGTTATAGTTATCACATGTTATCACTGGATGTTACTCTACTGACTTACATGTGATTTTTGGACATTTGAATAAATTTGAAATATCCCAATTCATCTATGTTACGTTCAAGAAATGGTTGGAACTTAAGATGAGCATTTAGATGAGTTTGGCATGTCCTGCCCGACTTGGAGCTTCCCTCCGGTTTCTCAAAAACCTCCCTACGCCGGATAACAGATCTGAGGCTCGATCTTCAAACAAAGCAAGACGTAAACTTTCAAAATCTGTCCAGGCACTTACATGCACATACTTGTACCATCTTGTAGCAGTAAATCCAAGCATAAACTTGATTATTTTAAGGGCACAAGCCGGTATGGCACCTGGATTGATGAGAGATCATCAAAAGTTCGGCGGAAGCTGAAGACCGAGTCGATTTCTGATCAGACTAGTTTCACTTGCCCGCAGGCGGCACTTTCAGAATTGTCTGCATGAGTAGGTCCAGGCAATAGTAGGTGATAGTGCTGGCAGCACTGCAATACCAAACGCAAAAGGATGCAAAAAGAATGGCTGCAGGTAATGGGAAAGCTGTCCAACTCACTTTGAATTGCGAATGCTCCTTTTGCGAAACAACATCTCGAAGCAGTGAAATTTCAACACGCCATGAATCCACAATCCACATCCTGACTTGTTTTCTGGCGGTGAAGGATATGTTTGCATGAAGCCTGGCGAAAGGCCACTGTCCATCATACTTTTGTAGAATTGTGTAGAATACTTTCCAACATATTTCCAACATGAATGACGTCATAAATGCATATAATATAAATGCAGCAATGAACCAGTTGCGGTTCATCAAGGGTTGGTACAGATCAAAATCTAGGGCCCTGCAAAAGACGGACCGTTTCATGGGGGGTAAGTACTTCAAACCCGAACCAAATTGGTTTCCCCATCCTTTGACTCACTAAGTCACTAATGACTTGAATGATTTTGGGGTTCCCCAGTTTTACGACTCGTTTTATCCACATTTTAGGCTCCAGAGCCATTTTGGGGCTCGCTTCTGGTAGCGAATCGCGCACCAAAACTCTGCGCCAAAGCCTCGTGGCGCGCGTTGGGATCCCAGCCAGTGACTGGACCAATGTGTGCTGCCGCATCTGCACGATCTGCATCTGCCGCACCGGGTTCAATCTCTGTCGATGTGCAGGTGCACCGCGGTGCACCATGCTTCCATCTCTGAAACCATTGGCCTCCTGCTGCTGCTGTGGCGTCAGCACAGGCGCAGTCCGCAGTCCGCAGAGCTAGGCAGAGAACGACTTATTGTACGGCGTACGACGTCTATTTTGGAGTTGATGCCCAACGAAGCAAGATTTTTATAGATTTTTTGGCTGCTCCGAATTAGACTATATATAATATATATATAGATACATATATTTCACAAGCACATGGCCAATGGCCACTGTTGATACATGTTGATACTGTTTATCTGGCAGTTTGAAGAAACTGGGTACTGTAATTACCCGATGCAGAACATAAATGGCTGATTTGTGCACTATTTGTCATGGTCAGCCAAGACCGGATTGTTTCTGTGTTTGGCGTCTGAAGTCATGAAGATGCCAGCAGTTGCATGTCACACTGGCAAGAGGTACTAGCTTTATTGTCATCATTCACTTCCTGGCTTGCGTGGTGCGCATGCTGCCTCTGGCAGTCCAGTTTTGCAACTATAATGCCTCTGATCCAGTGAGCTATGCAAATTTGAGACTGTTCATTTGCGCAATCTTATAGAAGCTAGATTCTACGGTCTTTTTTCAATGCTTTGCAGCTTTGCTTACCAAGATGTGTTTCCAAACAGCCTTTTAATACGTGGTGCGCTTTGATTTGGACACGACATGAAGAAACACAACTTTGAAAACGGTGACAGCGACAAAGACACCCACAAGCACCCGATTGCTACCTCTGCTACTGCCCACCTCAAGCATTAGAATTACAAGAGGAGAACAAGGAAAGAGATTGTGATGACAACGACGAAGGATAGCCAGCATGCTGGTGGGGATGTCTCAAAATTGGGTAAACCGAAATTCAATGATTTGTCATCATTTTCCCTTAAGATGGCAACTTTTGGGTATCCCTTTCGAGACAAAGCTGTCTCATTATATCCCTTTTCGGCAGCAGACTTTGAACATACTTGCACATGATTGAAATCTGGCAGGCCGTGGTGGTGAATTCAGTGTTTCTCTTCGTTCTCCCCAGCACCAAGGACCTATTCCACTGTTCAAAAATGACAGGTGTGGCACGAAACAAAAAATGGCCCGGGATTCTGAGAGTGGCACATCTCTGGCTGCATTTTAATGTTTCGCTTCATGCGTCAGCAGCGGCACCAACATTTGTTCTTTTTTGAGTGGCACATATGAAACGGTTATGAACTCACTTGCTTCTGATCTTGGCATAAGACCCAGTCAAGCTATTCGCATCAACAGCTTGAATTGGTTGGGGCTTGCAGATGGCATGCTGCTCACGTTTCCAATCAACACTTGTACGTATCTAAGAAGTCTCCATGCCGAAATTCTAGTGCACAGATGTTTCTTGCTGGTTCAAATCATCTGAAATAAAGACATTTTTCCTCGCCCCCAGCATGCACACATTGCACCAATTTGCATTGTCAAGCAACAATTGGCAAAGGTTCTGGAAACCAAGAAACACGTTGACCTTTGACGATCTTTGATATTCGTTGATTGGCATGGACATACCCTCTGGTTATTTAACATAGCATAACATAGCCATGGAAAATCACCATAGAAATAGATGGTTTACCTATTTATAGCATGGTGATTTTCCATGGCTATGTTAAATAACCAGAGGGTAGTAAAAACATGAAAACCAGCGGCACTCGGCGATGGCAGGAGACCTATGAAGATGTTTGGAGTCCAGAGGGAATGCTGCTGCCACGGCATGTGTTTGCTAGCATGGAACGAATGCTTCCAGCTAGTCAGTCTATTTCTAGGGAACTGCTACTGGATTGATTTGATCATGTATGCAATAGATGCAATGGGTTGAATTCATGAAATCGGCAACTGAAATTCCTCTGCTTGCTGCTAGCTGAAAGCGTCAAGTGCCATCACGACGTTCGGAGTCTTGTTCGGAGTCTTGTTCGCATCATGGCGTTGCGCAGAGTGGGTTTTCTGCTGACCTTTTTGGTCACTGAGGGCTCAATGCGGAACGATGACTTCCCCTTCTACGATCTGGGAACCGTGCCAGCATGGCGTGACTTGGGCTCTCTTCGTGGGACCCAGTCACCACATCAGTTCAATAGGGAAAAGTACCACAAGCAGTTGAAGGAACTGGATATCGAACATTTGTACGAGTCCATTTCCAAGTTGATGAAAGACTCCAAGGCATTTTGGCCTGCTGATGGTCCTCAAGATGGTGACGTTGCCAGCTACGCTGGCCTCTTTGAAAGGTTGGCATGGCATTGCTCTGGCACCTTGCGTGTGGTGAATGGCACAGCAACTGGTGGCTGTGAGGGAGCAAGACAACGTCATTGGCCAGAGAACGAATGGCGAGACAATACCAATCTGGACAAAGCTCGTGGTTTGCTTGGCCAAGTGAAGCACGAGTTTGGGTCCCAGATCTCCTGGAGCGATCTCATCACATTTGCAGGTACAACTGCCATCAAAGCCAGTGGAGGGCCAGCAAAGAAATTTTGCTTCGGTCGAATTGATGATGTCGATGGCAAGAGATCCATTCCACTTGGAGTGGAGGGAGTCAAAGAATGCCGTGGCAACAAGTTCTGCAAATCGAACTTTGAGTGTCCCATCGCATTCCGCTGGCCAGAACAAGACGAAGATGACCATTCTCAATGCAACTTGACACAGCCAGATCATAGACTCCAGGCAAGCCATTCGGTGGGTTTGATCTATGTCTACCCAGAAGGGCCAAAACTCAAATCCTCTGCCAAGGGATTCGTTGAAAAGCAGGTGCACAATCGTTCCCCCCAGTTAAGCGCATTGGAAGTACGAGATACTTTCAAGGAGCGCATGGGTTGGACAGACCGAGAAACTGTTGCTTTGATTGGCGGGGGGCACACCCTGGGAAGAACTCATGGCAACTGCAACCTGACTGGCACCAAATGGGCCTCCCACCCTTACAACGATGTGGGGCCTTTCTTTGAGGCCCAAGCAGGTTCGCTGAGGGGTCCAACTGATGGCACCTGTGGCAAGGGAGCTTCAGCTGGCTTGGCTCAGAACACCGTTTCCTCTGGCTTTGAGGGGCCCTGGGCCAGGACTCCATCGCAGTGGAACTATGACTTCTTTGATGCCATGCTGGCTGAGGACTGGGAGCCGGTGAAGAGCCCTTTCGGTGCAGACCAATGGCGCACCAAAAACCGACTGAGTCCTTATGCATCGACCATGCGCCTGACAGCAGACCTATCTCTAATCAATGATGCAGAATATGCGGCCATTGTGAAAGAATATGCTACAGACCATGCAAAGTTTGATTCAGACTTTGCAGATGCCTGGTACAAATTGGTGCATCGTTCTGAAGACAACCCATATGAGAATGACCTGGAGCGCAAATTCGGTATTTGCACCCATTTTGAGTTTGTCAAGTGAGATCAAGTGAGGCTCAAACATCATGTACAGACCCAGACCAGGGTATCCTAGTCCTTGATCAATATCTTTCAAGAATCCAATGGATGAACAGTGGTAAAGTATACAATTGTCCGTTGTTTTCTTCGCTCATGTGAAGGTGTCACCTGACGCTAGGCCGCTGGGTTGGACATTTAATTCTCAGATGTATAGGAACTTTCCGCTTGAAGGGGCGTGAAAGAGTCAAGTTCAACACCATTTGTGTGTGGTCACCTCATGCAGAGGGCTCCAAAACACTGTGCGCAACACTCACATCACCATGTTTTTAGGCGAACTTTTTAGCTGTGACATATTGTTACAGGATCGCTGTATATCGCTGTTTGTTTTCAGTTGATATTTTGACAAGCAGAGCTGGTCTCTTGGGACTGATGAAATCTGCAGCTGACGGCACTGGAAACCTTGCAGGTTGTTCACGATGTTTGCGGTGATGGGGCTCCCCGTCACAGTGGGTGGCATGTTTGGTGCGGCGGCCCAGGTTTTTTTCAAAAAGTGAGCACTGGTCGCAGTGTTGGGGCTCACAAAACATGAATGTTGGAATCGTTCTACAGCATTCTGAGCTTGAGTTTCATTGAGTTTCTGTTGCAACGCACAAAACAGTTTCTTGTGGGGAACAGACGAACTACGAACTGCTTTGAAAAAGACTTGCAACAGACAACAGTATGCCATTGCTCTACATGCATTTGCGGGTAAGTTTTGACTGGTTGGTGGTTTGGAACATGAATTTTATTTTTCCATATCTTGGGAATAATCATCCCAACTGACTAAGTCATATTTTTCAGAGGGGTAGGTTAACCACCAATCAGTTATGGATCATTATTTATTTTCCATAATATATGGGATAATCCTCCCCATTGACGAACTCCAACCAGGTAAGATTCGGATCTTGTGAGGCTCATGGCTGAAAGTGGAATCCTATGTCCGTGCGTACCTACTCTACCTCTTGGCCACCTTTTTGGTGCGCCTCTCCTGCTGCGAAATGCGCATCGGATATCATCGGATGTAGGATCCTGGAATTTCTACCAGCCTTGCTGATCTAGGAGTCTAGCTGGTGTTGTGAATTGAAGAAAGCACTGACGTGACAGTGCTTTTGACCAGGTGATACATATATTATCCATAATTATCCCATAATTCCATAATCATTAATAAATTTAATAACTATCCCATATCAATTATCCCATAATAATTATAGTTGGTGTTCATTTTGCTTTGAAATCACAAGGACGTGTACGGTCTTAGGTTCAGGATACACCGGGTAGATTGATTCAGTCAGAATGTCGCAACACATGGCGTGGAGAATGTCATTTAGGATATGGTGATTACATGACGAGACACACATCTTGAGCAAATTCCAACATATCGTAGCGACAAGTTTGTTCAATTGATTCTGGTGAACCATGATGCCTGAATTATGGTTGCACGATAATTAATCAATATTAATCATTACATAATCAACGAATGACGAATGAGCATCTTTGGTGACCTATCTTGAAGCTCTTTACTTGGGAACCTCGACTCATTCTGCCAAGCTGTCGCACCGGCGCCGTGTGCCCCATGTGCGTGGATTTAGCATATGGATCAGGAGGATCCGGGTCTCCAACAAGTTGTTGGGGTTGAAAGTTGAAAGTGATGTACCAGTGGACCGTTTTGCTTCATTTTTGCTCTAAAACAATATCCTCTCACAGATCTCAGGGTCTCAGTTTTTGAAAATCTGTTTTTGTTTGCGATTTTTTCTGAATTACTATAAAGGACCAGCGCCCATGAAAGCCCTTTCCCCAGCAGTCAGAGATGTGGATTCTCACCGATATTCCAGCAGTGGAGGAGCTTGGGCAAGCGCAGCAGTTGTTGAGATGCGCCCGTCGCATGGTGGGGCCAGCTGCTTCCCTTCAACTGCATCGAATGCCTGTGGCCAATGCACCAGTGGTGGCAACCTCCAGTTGTGCACAGGCGTTGCTGGGGAAGTGATGGTAAGTTGGAGGAAAAGAACGAGACTGAACTTATTTGTGATTGATGTTAAAAAAATATACAGACATACATATAATATATGTATATACATATAGTTTTTCCAAGCTTGACACGTTGAAAATGAATAGCTGCTATAGCTTAACTATGCTTGACAGCTGAACGCATATTGGATGGTTCTATTGGTTGCAAACTCTACGGTACGGTATAGTGCCTTTAAATGAATCCATTGGGATCTTGGTTCTACACTCCGAAACTGGAGCTCACAAGTCGAGTACACGAGCGTAGTTTTTAATAAAGAAACATGACTTTTCTCTGAACATTACTATAGGACAATGTGAAATAATGTGACAATGACAAACTGTTGTTTACAATGACAACCAAATCAACAAAGACCAAACTGTCTGTCGGTCCGTAAAGTGGCCGCCAGGTGCTGAAGTTTTTCGTGGCGCAGCCGAATCATCACATCCTCAAGTTGATATTGGACTCGACACAGGCGGTTTGTACCCGAGTCTACCGAGCTGTGACATGGATGCCCTTTATGGATGCCCTCTTTGAGGGCATTGTACTAATCGTCAAATCTCAGCCAGAATCTCACTGTTAATCGGTCCAGACTCTAGACATCTCCAGAGATATCGGTCCAGACTGAGAGTTGGATGATTGACTCAGTCGTCTGGATGGATGCGTTTGTTCTCCTTAGATTTGGATGGCACACACCGAAAGATCCGAAAGGCGCCTAGCCACTTTTTTCTTTCTACATCGCCTAATTGTCATACTTTGTCTAGCTTCAAGGCATGTTCGGAAGCATTTTCCATTTGGAAGTTTTGACCTCTTCATCAGAATTGGCTTGGTTTTCATGTCGGTGTCATTTTGGATGTCCACTGCAGATTCAGAACGACTGCAGGAACACTTGAGCAGCGCCAGAGACGGCGGTTGGCTTCGATGATTTGCAAAAACAGCAGGTTTTCAATGGGAATTCCAGGATCCAATTGATGGAGGTACGTTAGTACCATATTTCAGGCCATATTTTCTGGGGATATTCCCTGAAACTAAGGCCTAAAAAATAGGCCTTATATATGGATATATATGGAATCGGTACCTCCAATCAATCGGATCCTGAAATGGCCATTGAGGTATTTCTATTTTTTCTTCCATCCCAAGGCCCTGGAAATCGTGGGGAGAATGGTTCCATCAGACACCCCTTTTTCGCCGTGAAGCGATGTCCATGGTAACGTACGTTAAGGTAGCGCTGAGGGGCTACCAGATCACCCACAGAAACCTCATGAAACCTTAAGCCAATCCTTGACCTACCCTCCGGTTATGTCAAACATAACTAATTATTGAAATGGCCATAGAAATCGTGGATTTTCCCACTAAAAATGGTGATTTTCCATATAGTTATGTTAGTTTACCCGAGGGTATAACGTTGTTCAAAAAACATCGGAAGCTTCATAGGAGTCAAAATTTCCAAAGTGATATTCACGTCCTTGGGCCATGCGTGATTCCATATGAAACATCATGAAATCATGAAACCACGCTGCCACCAATCCATGCTCGTCCCCTCACACGATCGGAAGTAAACCATTCCACTCATGTACAACCATCCAATGGCCTGTAGTTCTTAGACTTGGAATGACTTGGATATGTGTTCTTATATTAGACATTTGAACACATTTGATGACATTTGTATTGTGTATCATTTTAAAATTACATAGCCATGGAAGCCATGGCCCATAGAAATAGATGGTTTACCTATTAATAGCATGGTGATTTTCCATGGCTATGTTGAATAACCAGAGGGTATAGATGATATATGCCATCAAATATTAGAAATACATATTAGTCATCAATACAATACCCATAGGATCCATGGTGCTGCCATATATGGTAACATGGATCCCATCAATATACCCCCTTTATGTTAGTATATATACCAGCACCATGGATCCGTCATGGGATATGACATTTACATATCTGGTTGGTGGTTTGGTACATCTTTTATTTTCCCCAATAGTTGGGATGATGATCCAATCTGACGAACTCATATTTTTCAGAGGGGTAGGTCAACCACCAACCAGTTATGGATCATTATTTATTTTCCATAATATATGGGATAATCCTCCCCATATATATTAGTATATATACCAGCACCATGGATCCGTCATGGGATATGACATTTACATATGTTTTTTTTCAGAGAGATTTCTGGTCAAAACACACCAAGGCTCTTTCTCCAGCTGGCCTTGGGCATCTTCTTGGCGCTACGAGGCGGGCATCGATGTTTGTTTTTTCGGGGTTTGTGAATGGTTGTAACTGGGCTCTGGATCGAAAATGATATTCAATTCAATATAAAATATTTCCTATATTTATATAGTTCTATATATAAATTCTAATATTAATCAATTAATTATTTCTATTTCCAACTCACTAAGGTTTTTACTATGGTAATCTGGTTTTAATGTGGTTCAATGTTTCCACCTTCTGAATCTGAGAAAAAGCCAGGTCGCGGGCCGGTGGCCTTGGAAGGAGTTGCACTTTCTGCTCAGCATCTGGATATTGCGCTGCAAAAGTCGCGTTCAGGGCTTGGAATGCTTGGAATGGGCGGGTGATGTCAGGATTGGACAGTTATGGACAGTTATTTCAATGTTATATTTCTACAGAAATTTCTACCAATTCTGGAGAATCTAATCTACCTCTCCACGATTCTTTTTTTCTTTAGGACTTTAAGAGATTGATTTGCCACGATCTGCAGGTTTCTTGAATATCATGACCTGTATGTAGGTGCGCATCTCCGCATCTCGCATGCCGTGTATCGATGATTTTCATGTGAGCTTCACTGGGATTGCTGAGGTGCTTGACAGGTTGAATTATATACTGTATATATATATATATATATACATTTGAGATCATTCGAATATGATCCAGTTGGAAAAGTTACATATATCTGGGTAAATTTTATCACGACCGAAACCTGCGACCTCACTGGAATCATGGTTAGTATTGGAAATCATCCCCAAATGGCCTGAATTCAGGTTAGTGAAATATTATAATTTACCCATATATATATATACAAATTTTACATTATTTTACTATTTCATCCTTCGCTGGACCCAGGCATCCCTTTCGAGCTTCAGCTTACCCATGTTCTCGCACTGCTTCGATCAGCAGCTGGGGTCATTTAAAGGCTGCAACAACCATGCCATGCAGCACCTTTTTCTAGAACAAGAAGGCAGGTATGGCAAACCTGCAGTTTGGCATATTATCTGAAGATCTCATGAATTGATATCAACATGCAGTTCCTTTGCGATATTGTCACAATTTGTCACGTTCAGACAATTTGAGACTCACTTCGAATGTGAAACCAAGGTCTTGTGCAAGCCCATAGCATTGTCGGATCCCAAAGATGTACAACACTTGTCGGTGGTTATCCTGGAAGCATTCCTGCATGCTGTGCCCGGATGCTCAGCGTGGTGTTGCGGTAAAAGTGATGCGCGATGCGGATTGAGAGGAACAAAATAACTTAGAAAACGTTTTCGTGCAGTGCTTGTCTCTTACGATCGGCAGTTTTACTTTGGAAGATGAGCAGGGCAAGAAAAAAATACAGTTATAAGTTATAGATGCTCACCTTCCAAAGTGAAACTGCTTGCTAGTTAATTATATTATACTATATTAATAGATGCTTGCTCTTTATAAGCTGTTAGTGATTTTTTCATGTTCACGTGGCACCAAGGCCAGGGATGGATCAGGGCAAGGGATGGCCAGAAGTCCTTCGCTTCGAGTGGTTCTGTGGTCATGACATTGCACCTTTGGTTGAAAGACGTGCCGTGACGTGCCCTGGTCAAAACATAGGATGGACATTTTCTCAAAAAAGGGGATGGACAGATGATGGACATCTCCAATTCATAGATTTAGATGAGCCATTTATAGAGCCATATTGAATATGTATGATCATACATATACCAGGAATATACCATGTTTTGACCGTGGCACATCGGGTCGCGTATCTAGTTGTTCAGTTGGTCTACGTAGGTTGCGTTTTGGCATAGCATGGGATCCTCACCTGGCTGCTCAGCATCTAAGAAGAGCCTGATTTGTCCTAGGAGTGGAGCTGGACACATCATGGCTTGGTTTTAGTGCCTTGATTGCAGTCTCTGGCGTGCGGGTGGAGGGTCAAAGTAGTTTCACTGTAAAAGTAAATGCGAACAGGCATTTACAATTTCTTTTGCAATACACTGTTGGAGGTAAGAATTCAAAGAATTCATAAGAAAATATATGAAATTATGAGATATCCTTGATATCGTAAGATGTTTTTCTAGACCACTTGTGAAAAAAGCCATTACACCACCATTATGGCAGTTTAGCCGCCAGATGGCCACATCCCTGGCGCCTCTCAGGACACGCCTGGCAGCATCGGTGCCCGGCAGAGGGCGGAAACGTCGGGTGATTTGCGGCTGGTCCTCTTCGATGCATCGTTGGAAGAGTGGTTGCGACCAGAAGCTGCATGGGGCATGGAGACATATACGGCACCTTGGACGATAAGCAGAGACGGGGAACACATACGGTTTTTTATCGGGTAATGCACAAGTGCATGTTGAAGTTGCTGAGGATCCACTAAGGAAACTTGTTTCTTTTTCTTCTTGTTGATTAATGTTTAAAATTGTTTTAATTGTTGGCCAAAAGACTTCTCCGATGAGAGACTTTCTGTGCTTGGATGAGGTGGAAACATACCTTTCGCCTTCTACCCCAGCAGCTTGTCAGCTGGTTTTATTGCCTCCTGGAGCGTGGACATGTGCAAAGAGGTGTTTTCTGCATATCCTTCAGCATAGTTGATCATAAAGGGAGAGAATAATGGGAAGCCCTATGGTCGACAATTTTGTTTCTCACCCTGTCTGCTCTGACATCCCGCTGTATTCATTAATTATATTTTTTGGATGCCAGATCAGAATCGCGCTTTGAATAGATGTGTCACTACTGTACTCATTTGTGGGTGTGTATATATATATTAATATATATATATATATATTCGACACTTATTTCGGTGTGATTCGTAGTGGAACTCTAAAAAGCCACAGTTTCGATGCGGTCGGGGGGCCGCGTCGCGTCTCTAGGTGGATGCCTTGAGACGCTGGGAGATCTCTCAATTCAAGAAGTTGGCAGACAGTGACCTAGATGCACAGTTAGCCAGGCACAGTGCCATCACGGGCAACGCACCCCTGAAAAGGTTGGTATATTACCTAGTATATACTAGCTATATGGGGACCTCCAAAATGGCATTTTTATGGGAAATTCATGATCATCAAATTTTTGGGTAGACTATTTTCAGACCAGAAATTGTGGCATTGTTGGCATCCCGGTTCGTCGGTTCGAAAATCTGGGTCTCAGAGCCAAGGTCTTTTGAAAAGTGGAGTGCAAGTGCTTTGTTGTCAGAAGTTGGTGGATCCATGGCTCATGGACTATCTATCTTCCAAAGGACCGATGACTTTTTCAATGCAGCACAGCGTTGTGATATCTATCGTGTGTAAAAGCGAAAAAAAACAAGAAACAGAGAGCGAATTCGCGATGACTTTTTGTTCGTTTTTTTTGGATGGCTGATCGGTTTCTTATCGCAACTTGATGCAGATATCCGAACTGAAGTGCTTCCGTTGATGCATGTATTGACTTGGCACCAGGTGTCACCATACTTTGGCGTCTCTCCATTCGACACATTGAGTTCGTCAGGTGCCAAGCTTTGAGCACTCGGGCCATCTGAACATACATCCTCCGCCATCCTGCAAAAATTCAACACAGAACCCAAGAATGGCATCGAACTCCAATAGGAAATCCTCTTCCAGCCCCATTTCTATTCACCATTTCTTTTTTGAAGGAATGATGGGGTAGAAATCATGAAACCAATATAATTGTATCCCATTTGTTCACTGTTCACCCGTTGTAACCCGTTGTAACCCCATCATTTCCATCTATAGTTCTCCACTTCCTCTAGTTGTGTGCTAGCATACTATGGTGGATGTTCTAAAGGGTGGAACCGGTCTGTAGATGTATAATTTCCAGGTTTTCAACTTGTTCTAATTATCTATTGAAATTATCATAGTGCTATTTATAACCTTCTATTGATTAGATGATTTCCCCCATGTTAGCTCTATATTCTTGTGATGATATGGATACTATTTTAGTGCCGTTATTATCCTCTATTAGTATTGGTGCTATTCTAATCATTGGATCATGTTCTTAACACTATAGTGCTATTTTCCCTTAATCTTATTCAAAAAGGATGCCGCTTGTTTATTAAACAATGATGCTCTATATCAATCAGGCTTGTTTATTTTCACATTCTTAAACCATCATTTAATTCATCATTTTTCAGAATTCGATAAAAAAAAATGTATACTTCCCATTTCTTATGTTTTCTTACAACTTGTCTACCCTCTGGTAAACTAACATAGCTATGGAAAATCACCATTTTTAATGGGAAAACTCACTATTTCTATGGCCATTTTCAATAGCAAACTGTTAGTTTACCAGAGGGTATCGTTCCATTGGGCTTCCCTTGGTACCGTTGCCGGCGGTTCCGTGGCGGTTCCGGTGCCAGATGGTGCCAGGCAGCTCTCTGGAGCCACTCCTGTGACTTCCCTGGCAGCTCTTCCGGGCTGGCAAGAGGTCATGGGCCGGGTGACATGGCGAAAGAATGACCTGTTGGAACAGACTGGAATCACCATGTTTAATGGGAAAATCACAATTTTTTATGGGAAACCTATGGAAAGTCACCATTTTTAATGGTAAACCTACAAAAAACTATGGAAAATCACCATGCTATTAATGGAAAAACTCACTATTTCTATGGCCATTAATACGATATGTTAGATGGAACATATTGGAATATAATATATTCAGATATCGTATGCTATAATACACATCATTGGAATATATTGGAATGATCATTCCTATTAACCATACCTCAGAATAATATGCTTAGATATGGTTAGATATGGTGAGTAAGAAGAACCAAATATATCCCAATGATGTGTATATATAATATGTAATATGTAATATGTAATATATGATCACACATTTTGTAATGATATACGGTATAGTGTATCGTTATGTTATACATACATAAGTCATAATGACATACTGAAATACGTATATGAAATATAGACTTGATACATATATAATATATAATATATATATATATACCCATATATGGTGTGCCATGGATCCCATCAAGAAATACCCCCTTTATGTTAGTATACCAGCACCATGGATCCGTCATGGGATAAACCTGATGCGTGATGCCGCTCCGATCTCTCGAGGTCGCTTCGGTGGAGCTGAAGCGCATTTGCCAGCGCGACTACGTGATCCTCACGACTGCAGTGCTTCACTTATTGTGATTGACGTAGTTATGACTTGAATGATATACATTGAATGCATAACTTATCATAACATATCAATACATATCAGAACTTCATGATGTGATAGCATGTAGAATACCATGTAGAATAGCATGTAGATGTTTTCGGCACGTCTCTTTTCACAGGAAGACTACCCTCTGGTAATTTAACATAACTATGGAAAATCACCATTTTCAATGGGAAAATCCACTATAACTGGCCATTTTCAATAGCAAACTGTTAGTTTACCAGAGGGTAATCTTTCCTGATGCCCCAAAAAAGCTTGTGGAGCTGTGGCTGAACATCAGGCAGGTGCCACGGCGATCTCGACCATGTTGGTATCAGCTCCAGATGATCATGCGCTTGAAGAGCTCAAGCAACTCGACGCTTTTTTAGTTTGGGAGATAGGAAAACCATATGGAAAACCATATGGAAAATCATATGGAAAATCACAGTGTGCTTACCGCGGACCGCAGATGACGACATTAGCACTGTCATATGTCATCATGGTGTTTGTTGGCATCAACCTGCGGAAAGATGATGAGTCGATGAGTCGTACGCGGTTTGTTTTGCTCCAAGGCAATGCTTACCGCAAGTTGCCCGGTATAGTCTTGGACAGCAAGGAAAGGGGTGTAATTCTTCGGGGAATTCCGAACGTTTTGGCAATTTGAACCAGTGATCAGTTCGGAATCTGTTTCGCTCTCCTTCCATTTCCTTGATGTCACGCTCTCATTCCCAAAGGGGACATGTTTGGATCCACACTTTTCGGTAGGCTTTCGATGACAAGTGGTATTCTGCAGTGCAGTTTATTACGCAATCTCTTGGATTTGGTTCCTTTGTACTTCAGGCTGTACACTGTTTGTGGGAAACTGTACAATCTGGCTTTGTCCTGCTTGGTGCTGGTTTGACTCTCGGCAATCGACGAAATTGAAGTGGGGCTGGCGTGGGAAGGAGCTGTGTTGCTGAAGTCATGGATAGGATAGGAAAGTATATAGGAATGTGACGTCGAGAATGCACTTACAAGGTGGTGCCCCCCCAGTTATAAGTTGGTTTATAATCCCATTAACTAGTTCGATATATCTACCATAAGTCCAAACGTGAAATTAGAGTTATGTGAACCCCAACTTAGCGATTCCGACCGGGGGTACCACATTGTAGCTTTGCTATCCAGCTACTTTCTTGTCTGTAGGGGGCCATTGACATGGATTATCTCGCTTGGGTGGCTCGATGCCAGCAGCAATGCTTCCTGACATGATGCCGTGCTTTGCTGTAACAGTTACTTAGCACTCTGCAACTCTGTCGTGGCAAGTAAGTGTAGAGATTTGAAGAATTACTGTAGTTTTAACATGTTTTAACTATCATAATATATTATATATATACCTATATATATATAATATGTCACTATCAATTACTGATCATCCATTTTTGAGGTACCCCAATTTTGCACCCATTCCCACTTCGTCAAAGAATTTGGATGACCTTAAGTCATCCTCAATGTGACAAGACGTATCAAGACGTGCTCAGCAGATCATTTTGGTTCCCTTGGTCAGCTGTTACTGCCATTGGTCCCAACAAGGTGGTGCCCCCCCAATTATAAGTTGGTTTATAATCCCATTAACTAGTTCGATATATCTACCATAAGTCCAAACGTGAAATTAGAGTTATGTGAGCCCCAACTTAGCGATTCCGACCGGGGGCACCACATTGTAGCTTTGCTATCCAGCCACTTTCTTGTCTGTAGGGGGCCATTGACATGGATTATCTCGCTTGGGTGGCTCGATGCCAGCAGCAATGCTTCCTGACATGATGCCGTGCTTTGCTGTAACAGTTACTTAGCACTCTGCAACTCTGTCGTGGCAAGTAAGTGTAGATATTTGAAGAATTACCGTAGTTTTAACATGTTTTAACTATCATAATATATTATATATATACCTATATATATATAATATGTCACTATCAATTACTGATCATCCATTTTTGAGGTACCCCAATTTTGCACCCATTCCCACTTCGTCAAAGAATTTGGATGACCTTAAGTCATCCTCAATGTGACAAGACGTATCAAGACGTGCTCAGCAGATCATTTTGGTTCCCTTGGTCAGCTGTTACTGCCATTGGTCCCAACAAGGTGGTGCCCCCCCCAGTGATGTTTGTTGGTTTATCATCTCATTAACTAGTTCGATATATCATGATATATCTACCATAAGTCCAAGTGAAATTAGAGTTATATATCTACCATAAGTCCAAGTGAAATTAGAGTTATATATCTACCATAAGTCCAAGTGAAATTAGAGTTATATATCTACCATAAGTCCAAGTGAAATTAGAGTTATATATCTACCATAAGTCCAAGTGAAATTAGAGTTATATATCTACCATAAGTCCAAAGTCGTGAAATTAGAGTTATATATCTACCATAAGTCCAAGTGAAATTAGAGTTATATATCTTACCATAAGTCCAAACGTGAAATTAGAGTTATGTGAACCCCAACTTAGCGATTCCGACCGGGGGCACCACATTGCAAGGACAGAGCTTCAAGTTGCCGCAGAGCTGGATCGTTTGGCTTCGATGCACTTGTGGCTGAGCTTCGACAGATTTGGGCACTGGGATGGTCATTCGCGAAGCACCGATTATTCCGTGATGAAAATGGGGGTTATTAATACACCCACGAAAAAAATGGAGATGATCATAATCCATCATAATCCCATTATGGTATATCACATATATATATATACTTTTATATATAATATGGCATATATCGAAGATTATGATCCCATATTCGAATCATCTAACCAAAGGCTCGAGAGATGCGGAACCGCTGTAGCTCTGAGAGAAATTGCCTCGTGCTTCAAGGCGGGATGAAAACAGGGAGCACTTTGTGTTAGTGGAGCAAAAGGGAAAGTGACATGCTACAAGAAATGAAGATTTGAGTGTACACATGTTATAGACTATATATACACAACTATATATATACACAACTATAATATATATATATATATACACAACTATATATATACACAACTATATATATACACTATTAAATATAAATGAATATTACATATATAAATAATTCACATGCATATCATTCTCTCTCCAATATCCTCTCATGCTTAGCCGCAAAGATTCCAATCTCTGGTGCAGGATGCCGCTGCGAGCTTGACTCCTTCTGGACCTGAATCTCAATGTCCAAGCACAAGTGCAGCCGGCGCAGTCACACGGTTTTTCACAACAGCCTTTCGAGCAATGCTTGCAGCTTGTAGTGCTAGTTGTCTGCTAGATCTATTTTCTGGTAAATCGTATACTATATCCTGGCTATCTTAAATATCTATAGTTAATGAGATAAACCAACTTATAACTGGGGAGGCACCACCTTGCACCTTGCTGATGCTCTAAGGCTATGATGGATGCAGCCAGCCGCGTGCTACAGCGGTGGAAAGAAGGCAGCCTTCCTGATGGAATGGTTTTCGATGCAGAGTACCTTGGCTCAGTGTTGCCTGGATATGGGTCAGAAATGGTCAGAATTGAAGAACTCACCACAGGTTTTGTCCATCTTGAAGTAGTTGTATGATTTGCTGTACCATTTCCTTGTTTGGGTACCCTAATTTTGCCTCCCGGGTTTCAACGTTGAAAGCACATTTTTCTCGGGAACCCCTTAATCCGCAGATTCTGCGGACTGCAACATTTCATCCACCAGCTGAACCTTCGCGCTGGTGAACACTGCTGCAGTCTCCCAAGTGGAAGTACTGCAGCAGTTGAGTGGGTTCTTTTTGGAGCGCTTCGTTCTTTCCATGGTTTTTTCCGTTCACCGGACATCATGGCCATCACAGCGTTTAAGGGAAATCACAACGGAAATGACCAGATCCTGATCCGAAGCAAGATCCGAAGCTTGGTCCAAGGCTGCCAAAGAGAAAAGCCATCCTTGGCGCCATGAACTTGGCAGGGATTCTGCTTCGCATTGGCCGCGCTTTGGATTTTCGGAGCCTTGGTATATCACCCACCCCTAAAAATGTATTTTAGGGGGGGGAGAGGTTGGGGAAAAAAAATACATTTACCGTTCTCCAAGAATTTGATTCCCCAGGACCCCCCCTAAATACATTATTTGACCGGTGGGTGTACGTTAAATGTAGGATCCATGGGTCGGGATATCCAACCCCCCCCAGGATCTTTTATTTTGGGGGGGTGGTTTAATACATTTTACGGGTTTGGTTTTTCCAGGATCCCCGGGAATGCTTAATTTTTTTCTGGGAATACCCTTCTTTGAAAAATGTATTTTAAGGGGGTTGGGTAGCCGAAAAGCACATCATTTTTGGAAAATGGAGGGAATAGATCTGGCTAAGGTAGTCATTGGTACCCCCTGCAATGCATACATTTCAGAATATTTAAGATCAAGTATATTTCAGCATCCCCCTTGGAATTTCCTCTACAGAATCGGGAACGTTACTTCCTGGAAAATGGTGCATTTTAACCCCCTGACTTAATAAGGGGTACCTACCCAGTGTCAACGCTTAGTGTCAACGGTTTCAATTTTATAGAGGACCTTGGGGCCTCTAATTCTATAGAGATTTCATGTTGAATACAGCACTGAGGACTAGTCAGCAGAGAGTCTTAGGGACTGCGATTCTACAGTGGGATACGTTCTCTTTGGATGTCTTTGGATGTATGTCATGTTCTTCAATTTTATAGAGAAGCATTGGCAGAACCAATTTCCCACAACAATTCTTTCATCATCCTTCATCATCCTTGATCATCCTTGTATATTTTGGAATCATTTGGAATCTTGACATATTTTTGGAAACTTTTGGATACTTTTGGGATATATTGGAGATTTGTTGGAGATCTATCATCAGGGTTTCATCAGTTATCATCAGCTATATTCAGCAAATATGTACAATTTTGACATTTCAATATTTTACAAAAGCAGCTTTTTCTGGTTTACAAAGTATAAAAGTGACACTTTTCATTTTGGATGTGTCTTTCCCGTTGTGTCTCCCCAGTGTGTCTCACCGTTTTTGGGTCGAAGTCCTCGAGCCAGCCTTTCCGCCTTTCTAAAAAAGAGCAAACGGATGGAAACAAAGCGATACAAAATGAAACAAAATGAAACAGAGATTTTTCAGTGAACACTTGGAGCCTTTGAACTCTATAAATTTGGGAGTGCATAAGGCAAGCTAGGCAAGACTGGAGCATTCAGGTCAGCTGTCAATGAAGGAGACTTGGGGAACCTGATTTTATAGAAGGCCAACTAACCCCCCCAACCATCTACGAGAGTGACTTGGCGGCATCGATTCTATAGAGATTGTCAACTTGAAAATACCTTGGGGTCTCTGATTCTATAGATGCATTTTCAGAAAGAGGGTCAGGGCCTCCCGGATTATCATTATAAAATTGTCAACACCAACACTCTCACTTAATTCAAAGGGGGATATTTCAGCCATTTTATGGCCCATGGGTTTCAGTAGGTTTCCCAGGAAAAAAAGATCAATTGGATTGAGGTGCAGACCCCCCCATGCTTGCATACATTTAGAAAAGTTTATGTATCCATTGGCTCTTGTCAGTGGTGCCCCCCACAAAGCATACATTTTCAGGTTCAATACCCCTACCAATAATACATTTCCAGCATCTGGCACTCATACATGCCTCATTTTGAGGGGTTACCCCCCCCCTAGTTCCCATACATTTTTGGCAAAAAGTGAGGGGGTTAACCCCCCCCTTATGTTCATACATTATCAGAAATGTAGGATCCACCCCCCCCTACTCCTGAACCAGTTGGGGTCGGGGATCTTGGTATGCCTTGGTGGACTTGGTACAGGAGATGGACAGAATGGAGAGATCTGGGCTCGTGGGCTAAAGGTGAAATCTCCAAATTCCACGATTTCATGAATATTCACTTTTGATGTGTGTTGATATGTGTTGATATATTTGTTGCATTCGCACGATTCGCACGAGTTCTTGCCTGGCAAAGAGAAGGTTGATCCCGATCATGGTTTGTTTCCTGTGCAGGAAAAGGGAGCGGGGAGCCTCCCCTTGTCCGAATAGATCCCATATTCCTGGCATTTCCTGGCTCAGGACAACACCACTTGGCTAAGCCTTCAATTTCTGAGAAAATGTCGGGTGGGCCACCGGCGCTGGGAGATCAATGACCTGGCAGCATTGAGATGAGATGGGGTCATGGTAGTTGTGCTCACGATATTACCCAACCTGGTTATGACTAACAGTTCGCCATGGAAGCCATGGCCCACAGAAATAGATGGTTTACCTAGCTATATAGCATGGTGGATCTTTCCATGGCGAACTGCCAATGTCATAACCAGATGGTACATTGAGTTGCTGTAGCGTTGGCATGGCAGCATGGCATGTTTGTCCGCAGCGCAATCAGCTCCCCACACAAAAAAACGTGTGATCCCCGGACAGCAGGAAACAGCCCAGGGCCGCTAGAGTTGCTAGAGGATTAGTCGCCTAAAGTCCAACGAAACCGCAGACAGTCTGGTTGTCACATGTTGTCACTGGTTCTCTGATCAAATCTCAGCAATCTGTTTTCGGTCAGACTGGTGGATTTTTTTTCAGATAGCAGCTCCGGGTTCTAACTTTGATTTTAAATCAATCTAGCAATGGCACCGAAAGTGCGAAAAGCAGCGTACCTTGGACGAAAGGACGACCATTCCAGACAGGATGATAAGACATGAGGCACAAACGATTGACACAATTGCAACTCCAGTACTGTATGGTTGCGATCCTGCTAAGTGTCAATACATTAATGATTAATGGAATGAAATGTATGTGTGCGTAGATGTAATGGATATTAATTGATATATGTAATGTATTTGTACACCCCACATATATATATATATATATCATTATATATCCACACAATACATTGCTGTATGTTCTAACCATGTCTGACCATCAACTCATTGCTCCTTTTTCTGAGGCACGTGGAGAAGGCTACTTGTCAGCAAATGGACAAAGGCCAAGAGATGCTTCCAAGCTGGGCAGATATTAACATCCACATCATTCAAGCATCCATCATTTCATCCAGGCTTGCCTTTCCAATTCACCTTCAATTCATGGGAATATGGCAGTGGGTCAAAACCAATAGTACCCCTGTAGTTCACATAAAAATAGCTGGGATTTATGGATGTTCATCCCTCTAAAAATGGTATTAATAGGTATTGATTCATAGCCATATAAGTTGTGACTTAGTTTGTATCGTGGCATCGCGAGAATTGCAAAACAGATCTAGTTGCTATGGCTGTGCTCACGTTGAGGAGACTGAAAATACGAGTGAGTCTGAGCAAACAAGGAGCTGCAGATAAATACAATGTTTCTGCAGAGCCTCTCCCGGAAGTATCAAAAGGTTGCACAAGGTCCGAAGCTATATCAAAGCAGCATACAATGAAGATCAATGAAGCATATATATATATATAATTATATATATATATTCATTTATGTGGGAAATCATGGGAATATTGATGCCAACAGGGCGTGCGTTTCATCTTGAAGGTCGATCCACTGACGGTTTTTCCGGTTTTTTGATTAGCGTGAGGTTGAGCAGCTGGTTGCGGCGCCCATGGAAGTTACCAGGATGCATTGGATTTGTTACCCAACATGGTACCACTTGGTGGTTCATCCCACTTAGTAAGTGGGTTATAACCCCAGTTATAAGTGGATTAACCCTACTTATCCCATTTATAACTGGGGTTATCCCCCACTTACTAAGTGGGATGAACCACCAAGCAGTGAATCTACCTGGCAGATGCAGCCTTTGTGTCTCAGCCAGCGCTTTCGCACGCGGAGCCAGCGGTGTCTCAGGTCAATGAAGATCCAGAAAAAGCAAGGGCAGAGGGAGAGGTGGCTCAGTCAGACTGACCATTCAAGGCTGTGGGTTCACCTTAAAAATTCTGGATACCCTCTGGTTATGACATTGCCAGTTCGCCATGGAAAGATCCACCATGCTATATAGCTAGGTAAACCATCTATTTCTATGGATCATGGCTTTCATGGCAAACTGTTAGTCATGACCAGAGGCATCCAGTCTGGATCACGACGTGACGATTCACGACGACGATTCTCCCTCTGAGGTGGAAGATGTGCATCCAGGGGAAAGGAGCACCACATTTCTACAACGGTCTCCTTCTGTGGCTTGGATGCACCTGGCGCTAAATTTCCTCGTTGAGCCGCGGCTGAAGTGGTTTGTGTATCATGAAATATGGCTTGGTTTAAGGGAAAATTTGACCAGGAAAACTCCATATTTCATGCGAAAACCTCTATGGTTTCTCAATGTTTCGCAATGTTTCTAGATGGAGTTCTCATTGTCTCTCCATCGAGATCGCAATGCCCCATATTTTAAGCATCTCAGGCAACGAATCAGGCAGCGTCTGATCTTGCTAATGACAGGTGGGGGCCTCCAGTAGCATGTCGACATTTCAAGCTGAGATTTAAAACACAATGCATCTGTTATCTCAACTAAGTTGAAAGCAACATGCTGTTCAGAGAAGCAGTTTTTGGATGTTTTTGGCTTGTGTCAATAGCATGCTTCTGCAAGTGCAATGTTTCAAGCCTGGACTGTGGCTTTTGCAAGACCAAGGATTTTTTAAAATCTAGATTTCCATCCGTTAAAACACTTGAGAACTCATACAGGGACATGACCCCCCTCATGGGCAGTACGTCAGATGTAGAAGACGTCCTAGTCAGGCGCCTAATGGGTGCAGCTGCAACAATTGGTGGAGCAGCAGGCAAGTGGTTGCTGCTTAGTGACCTATGATTAGTGACCCTGGGTGACTTGAACTGAAATTCACTAAATCTCAAGGGCCCTGCAGCGATAGTCCTGACTATCGGGCTGTAAACATGTGCCCTCTGCAACGCAATGTGAGTTGCAACAGACTCTGTTGCCCCAAGACGTTTTGAAAGATGGGTTTGTCACAGGGTATTGCAAGGCGCACCGTGGTTTGACTTCATTTTCCCTCTTAAGAATTCTTAAGATCTCCAGGGGTATCTGCAGATATCTGCAGTACCCCAGGTATCCATAGGTATCCCCAATTTTCAGCCAGGAACCCTTCTCATGGGCCCAGTGTCTGGTGTGGCCCTGGGGGCAGCAGCTCTCTATGTCGCCTGGACTCTTCGTTGGTCGTTCCAAGTCGTTGGAGTCTGACGATGGGGGCAAGATGTGGCAAGATGGTCATGGCTCGAAATGATTGAAGATGGATGAATATTGATGAATATTGATGAATATTGATGAATATTGATGACTGTTGGTAAATGTTGATGAATATTGATGAATATTGATGAATATTGATGAATATGAACCAAATTTAACCAACATTGAGTACATTTGAGTAGCCCTTTCTGGAAAAAAACTGTTTCGTTCGTGCTCCATATCTCTTCAGGCCGCAACTCGTGAAGGTTGCACGGGCTCAATGGCGCGAAAAGCTGGCACGGTGTCGCTTGGCTCGATGAAAAAAATGGGTTGGTTGATGCCGATGCCGATGACCCTCTCCTGATTTGTTACATAGCCATGGAAGCCATGGAAGCCATGGCCCTAATCGAAATAGAATGAAATAGATGATTTTCCCAGCTAGAAACTAGAAACCTCCATTTATGGTTGGGATTTTCCATGGCGAACTGTTAAATAACCAGATGGTACTGGAACCAACCCCTTGGCCATGTTTGGAAGGATTTGGAAGGTTCAATGAACCTGCTCCAGTTGTGAACACCCCGAGGTCAAAAAATCTGAATTCAAAATTATGTGATGAAATCAAGTCCATGGTGTGGGTGTAGGCTCAACTTCTTTTCCCAAGACTTCCTGTCGGAGGAATGCTTGGAACAGTCGGAGTGTTAAACCACTGGCACTCTGAATCTACAGCACGGCAATCTTGACCTTTAGAAGGATTCACGCTAGGGAGTTTGTTGAACTTGTATGAACTTGTATTCTCATCAAAAGAGATGAGCCTCCCAAATCTATGAAGGAAAATGGGCTCCAGAAAATTCAAGGCTGTGCATTTCTTCAATTTTTTTCTGCCTGTGATGTCACAAATTGGAAATTGAAGAGGTGATCTGCCCACACCTGGCAGATACTGTGAAACATCTCTTCAAGGTCTTGCACCTTTTTTTTTCATGTGTCATCGAATCGCGGATTCTGGAGGTATTTGAATGTCGCAGACACTGCCATTGATGAGGGCATTCGAGCTGTTGATCGAGGAGTTTCTTGCCATTTCTTGACTCTTTGTGCAGTTGCAGTTGGATGTCGCAAGTCTCATCGAAGACATCTCCGATTGCACTCGAGGTGAAGGCCTTCGGTACTGCAGTTGATCGAGGCTTGGGCACAGCATGGCACAGTACGGGTACGGTTCTGAACACAGTTTCCCAATCTGAAGTGAGGCAAGTTGGCACAGCATCTGTCAAAACGATGGATTGTTTTTCCGTGTTTTCTCTTTGTTTGAGTGTAAAGAGAATAGACCTTCAATGCTTCAAAAGATGCTTGCAAAAGATGCTTAAGCATATCATAGAATTGGATGATGGGAAAATGATGGAAAATGTTAGCCGGAAAACCCTATTTCTTTGATGGTAAAAACCATGGTAAAAACCATGGGTTTCCGGTTTTCAGATTTTCTGCTCGCTTGTCACGGAGGTTGCCGACAACTGGAGACCTCCACGTCTGTGCCAACTCCTATCCGTGTGAGCCTTCAGCAGTGGCGCAGGCCAGGCAGCAAGTGCACTGCAAGTTGAGACTCTACAATTATTTATCATACATCTTTTCTACAGATATTAATGTTTTACACATTTTTACTATCTTTATCTATCTTTGTCTATTTTAACATCTATATAAAGATATATGTGACTAATAGACTAAAATAGATATAGATAATGTGATATATATATATATAATAGATAACATGTTCATCTTACTTTATCTTATTTTTATCGATGACTAAGCCATACCTGAAAAGCCATGGACTGACCCGTGGAGTCATGGCCATCATGGCCATCATGGCCATGGCCGACCCGAGACAAGTCAGAAATCCAGTGAAGAAACGGTATAATATGGTATATATATATATATATGGTATATAACGGTATATATGGTATATATATATATATGGTATAATATACTTGCATAGTCGCAGAATGTCGCAACTATATATGCCAATATAGTGAAAATGTCCAATCGCTTCCACAAAGCTGCTCAAGCATTTGGTTGCTCGAGCATGAGGCAGAGTGAGGACCGGATACCGCCAAAGAATGGCGAGGCCTGATGGGGTCTCAAAGATCTTAAGGTACACAACATCCGGAAAGTCATGACTTAGCGATTCAGCTGAGTCCCTTGATGTGTCAGGCTGCAGATGAAGCAGAAAAGATCAGATCGAAGTGTCTTGGCCGGGAAATTCAATGCGTTTCCCACGCTGAGCAAGGGAAGCGTAATATCCTCCTTTCAAAATTATGAAAACGCCATTTGCAATCAATCTGTGGCAATCTAAAACAATTGCAGCTTCGGCGCGGTTTTGGTGGCCATCATGTGACCATTCAGCCGGCGGCAGCCTTCGTAAGGTATCCAGATCGCGTTCCGGTCATTTGCGAGAAGTCCACACGATCAACACTGCCAGTATCTTGGTGTTTCACTGCGTCTGGCGGGCCGCGGGTTTTTGATGGTTTTTGGGTGGCCAGTGGCAACACATACAAACCTTGGGTAGTCATTCGGATGTCAAGTTGTCCTTCGTCGGCAACCAGAACAGCCCTTCGTTGTGCTCATGCTGCATCGATCATCCTCTGAAGACAAGTAGAATAGGCAACAAGTCTGACATTCACATCATTCACAATTCAAATTTCACCAGAGCTTGTTTTATGATGTTTTTGGTGTCATATAGTGTCCATGGAGTTCATCTGAGATCATCTGAGCATAGCATACAGATTTAAGTGACTCCTAGATTTCGATTGTGATAGAGATACCGTCTCTTAGAGACACCAAATCCTTTCACAATATCACTGTTTCAAGCTCAACACAGGCATACTTGTAGGTCCAAATTAGATGCATGATGCCTGAAGCAAATATATAGATTTGCGGGGATGGCGATACTTACCATGCCTGGTGATAGTCACCGTATTGACATAATCCACAACTGCTTTTGCACCAGACATCCGAGCGACCAAGGAGTTGCCAAAAAGGAAGCCACTCGGCGGGAGAAGATGTAGTGAAGCTTGGCCACTCTTTTGTCAACACGACACTTCGCAAAACTCCCAGGTGAATGTGGTTGGCACAGAAACGTATTTATGATGATGTACTATGATGTACTATTGTTTATATGCATACAGCGAGTGCTGAAAAAAGTAAAAGTGCATCATATTATGCTTGTTGCTAATTCTAGGTGCGGGTTGCCAGTGCTTGCCCAAGACAACCACGGTCATTTTATCGACATGTCACACCTGCCCTCGAATGATAGGTCAACCATGTAGGGTGGGTGGTTTGTTGTTTTTGGCGATGGGGGGGACTGATGATAATAGCTCAACAACATTGCAGCTCCAGGCAAACGACAGATCGGTACAGCTAGTCTAAGACATTCTAAGCCTCCCATTCTTTCATCTCAATTGTCGATTCTTCTGCTGCGGCATGCAAGGTCTTGTCTCACAGCCCAAGTATGCCCAAGTCATGTCAACCCTTTTTCAGGCTGCAAGTCCAAATCAGGTAGCCAGGATCAAGATTGTCACATCTCGTAGTGACAGACGTGGAGGGTTTTGTTCAAGGCTCCTAGAAATACTGGAAAGCTGAGGTTTGTCGTTCATGGAAATATGCTTTGCGGCGAGTTCAAGTACATGGTTCCTTGCCAACTGAGCACTGTGCTGACTGTGCTCGACTGTGCTTCAAAATGAAAATCATGGATGTCAGCGCCCTATAAGCAGCATATCTATAGAATCTATACACCAATGCGGCAGTCATTGCAGTCATTGCTTGGTCAAAGAGGTGTGTTATTTTAAGCACTTCCCGCGTGATCAAACATGGCCATGGACACATCCAGATTTTTCCAGCTATAAACCATATTAAACTACAAACATCTATAAACCTATACAATATAAACATATATAAACCTCCATTCGTAGGGGATTTCCATGGATTTCCTCTGCAGAGCATCAAGACATATCAAGACTTTCGTTGGCAGCCGGAGGTCCACAAGCAAATTGCTGACGCCACCCCGGAACGGCTGAGCGTGGACCAAACGATGCCTGTCCAATGAACAAGTCCAAAACATGGTTGAGCTTCAAGTAAGAGTTGATCCTTTTTGCATTATTCACACATATGCGCACTATGTACCAGTTGTACCAGTACTCTTGCCAAAACATGTTGAGTATAGGTCCAAAGGGCCTATTGATGCTGGAGTCCATTGTCTTTCGCCTCCTTTTGTTCATCAGGATATACCTTTTCATCAATGGTATTACGCCGAAAACAAGTACGCCCATGTCCCAGCTCTATGACCAGTTTCGACAAGCGGACGGTTTTTTGTACATAAGGCGCATTGCTGCATGAAGTTTGAGGGACTGTGAGCAATGTAATAGCCCAGACTAGCATGAACGTGGGAACATAGAGAAAATGAATGTGGCACTTTGCTACTGAGTGAGTGAAGCCAGCCAGATGTTGCACTCTCAAGGGAAGGAGTCTTCACGGGTCTTTCACATCTCGCTCGAAATTTAAAGGGCGCATTGCGATTTTGATGGTTTTTCCCCACCTGCCAGGTGAGGGTTGTTAGATTTTATGTCTCCTGCCTCCTCCTGCCTCGTCCTCCTCCTCCTCCTCCTCTCCTCCTCTCCTCCTCCTCCTCCTTGTCATCCTTGTCGTCCTCCTCGTCGTCCTCCTCGTCCAACTGCGACCCGCGATCCACAGTGTTCTCTGTCGGACCTCAACCACGACCATCCATGCTCAGTGTTCCCTGCCGGACCTCAACCACCATCCACACCCAGACCATCCACGCCCAGTGTTCCCTGCCGGACCTCAACCACGACCATCCACGCCCAGTGTTCCCTGCCGGACCTCAACCACGACCATCCCCGCCCAGTGTTCCCTGCCGGACCTCTCCACGCCCACCACGACCATCCACGCCCAGTGTTCCCTGCCGGACCTCAACCGCGAGTATCCACGCCAAGTGTTCCCTGCCGGACCTCATGTAGGAAGATATGGGAAAAGAATGCCAGATAGAATGCCAGAAGAATGTCAGAATATATGCCAGAAGATATGCCAGATAGAATGCCATAATATGCCAGAAGATATGCCAGATAGAATGCCAGATAGAATGCCAGAAGATATGTATGCCAGAAGATATGCCAGATAGAATGCCCGATAATATGCCAGAAGATATGCCAGATAGAATGCCAGAAGATTTGCCAGATAGAATGCCAGAGAGTCAGAATATATGCCAGAACATATGCCAGAAGATATGCCAGATAGAATGCCAGATAGAATGCCAGCAGATATGTCAGAATATATGCCAGAAGATTTGCCAGATAGAATGCCGGATAGAATGCCAGAAGATATGTCAGATAGAATGCCAGAAGATATGCCAGATAGAATGCATCAGATTTGCCAGATAGAATGCCAGAAGATATGTCCCAGAAGATATGCCAGATAGCCAGAAGATTTGCCAGATAGAATGCCACAAGAAAATGCCAGAAGATATGCCAGATAGAATGCCAGAAGATATGTCAGATAGAATGCCAGAAGATTTGCCAGTAAGATAATCTATAAATGTCATGGTGGGGATCACACGAAGTAAAGTAATTTTTGTGCCCAGGAAAGCTTGAAAATTGTTCGGCAGCTGTGCAGGTTTGGTGCTGAAAATACCTTGGGCTGATCGCTGGCACGAGCCATGAGCACGCGCGTCTCTTGTCCAGAGCCGCATGGAGTTTTCCATTGTTTTGAGCAGTAATGTGGTAAAACATGGTAAGACCAATCACAAACCCTGCAATTTTGAAGGTACGCTATACCACCTATTTCTGGTGAAACTGGTGAGTGTTTAGTCTCGGGTTTAACACATTGATGGGCTCCTAGATTCTCCCATGATAGTGTCTCGGGCAGACTTGTGCTTTGCTCAGGAGTACAGCGGGATCACTAATGTATTCAAAGGACACTCAATGTAGGCAGCAACTTCCCTGGGCAGCAAAGGTGAGCCTCACAGACTTTGATTCTTGGATCACTTGAATCATTCATTTGAGAATCTTGGACCATTGGAGATACGTTTTTCATTGTTTTTCAATTCGTCGTGGCTGAGATCGACTGAGGTTGCTTTGCTGGGCGCTGGGACCTTTTAAAGAGGCCGCGGAGCACGCTGAGCACATCCCAAGGTTAGCACTCCTCGACATTTGATCGAGAATCGACCCAGGTATCATTTCTTGCTTGGCCAATCCAATGACAAAGCCAGGAACCAGCATTCTACAGTATCATGATGTGGATCAAGAGGATGAGTTCCTCAATTTTTATACAAGGCTTTCAAGGCTCTTGTTGTTTTGAGAGATGGAGACTGATTGGCAAAGCTGGAAATCCGCTACTTGCTTCCCATCCAATATTGGAACAGATGGTAAATTGTACTGGATCCAGCTTGCAGAATATGTGGGGTTTGACAGACCCAAGAGATCCCAAGAGTCTCTTCGAGTGAAACTTCTACCTGGTCGAAGCTTGTCCGCAGTGCTTTGCATGGACAGCGCACATCTCAATCCCTTTTCCTAAATAGTTCTGATGTGCGTGGGGCACATGTCCATTGCACAGAGAAGCGAGACAGCCTAGCTTCATTGAGCTTTGGGAATCCAAGAAGGCAAGTTCCATGTTCGATTGGTGTTTTGAACACTCTATACTCTCTATTTAATTTGCAATTTTGACAGTGATTTTGGCCGGACTCCCAGATGATGCATGGCGTTGGTCTCGCTAGAATTAGGCCCGCAATTCTTTGGTGTACAGAACTCAACCCTTCGGGCTGCTGTGCCCGAAGCCTTAGGCATGCGGATACAGCGTTGTGCCGATGTACAGCGCAAAAGAATGCATAGTTGCCTCTTCCTCCAAGCAGTGTCTACTCTTCTTTTAGTTCAATAGAATGAATACTCAACTTAGAGCTTAAAACATCTTAAAACCACATTGAACAAGTTATATAGAATGCATTCTGACCACAGCAAGCACAACCTCAAAACCTTTTTAGCCGAAGATTTTACCAGATTACTGTACATCAATGATATCACATGTTAGTTAGCTTCGCTCTCTTCTTGCACAATAAGTCAGTGAGGTGTGCGCAGTTCAAGTGACCTTTAGAGTCAGATTTGAATTCGGCAGGTTTAAGCAGGGGAATCAAGACTTGAGTTTTGTTTCTTTTCAGGACTGCTGAAAAAGAAAAGGCAACAAGCCATGGGAGCCAATTCTGCAGCGCAGGTAGTTGTTACTATGCTCTCCTGGGCATTGCTGGTGAAGGCACAACTGTCACAGGAATGTTCACATTGTGCTACCATCTGGTTCTGACTAACAGTCAGTTCGCCATGGAAAGATCCACCATGCTATATAGCTATAGGTAAACCATCTATTTCTACTAGTATGGGCCATCTATACCATGGCTATGTTAGTCATAACCAGATGGTATAGAGGACATTAGAGGACCTGACCATGGCCCAGTCTTTTCAGATCATTCTTTCCTGAGCTTGGTCAGGACCCCTGTGACACAGCGGATGGTTTGCTCAGCCCTGATCCGAGTAATTTTTCAGCAGGTGGAATCGATGTCCCATGACGGATCCATGGTGCTGCTATATATGGTGCTCCATGGATCCCATCAAGAAATACCCCCTTTATGTTAGCATATATACCAGCACCATGGATCCTATGGGTGTATTTTTTTCTTTGCAACACTTGCGTGAGCAGTCTGATTGACAACTATATATGTGACCACTATATGTGCTCTTGATTTGCTACAGCTTTCCAAAGAAGAAGCTGCCGCGACTCATTGGTTTCACGAAAGGTCGCTCATTGAACGTTTCATCCAGCGGGTCAGTGTTCACATCCGCAATTTGTTCTAAAAGCAGCTGCGCTTTGCTGCCAGTGATTCTGGTTATTTTGCCATTGCTTTGCAAAGGTGAGCTGAGCAAAACCTACGGCTCTGCGTTCTCCTGTGGCATCATCAGAATGTCGGCAACCCGGTCTGACCGCACAGTTAAGTCCAGGATTCCTGTTTGCTGCCATTCTGAACGAAGTTTTCTTCGTTCTAAGGCGTTTTTGGTCAAGGAATCAATGAAAAAATGGATGCGTGCTTTCATACCTCGAAACTTGTGTTCATCGTTTGGGCATTAACTGAAGGCATTTCATATCATCGAATTCACTTCTTGACCATCTTGACCCGTTCGGCCATTGAATCACGCTTGTGCTCAGTGGCGCCTACTTGTTTGTGGCCTTCACCGTCCTTCCCCAGGCGTTTTATGTGCGAGTGTTGAAAGTGTTGTTTTCTGTCGGATCAAGTTCCGCGTTTTCCATTTTGACAGATGGGTATGGGTCAATACCTATAGATACATTTTTAGTGGGATGAACATCCATTTACCAGCTATTTTGGGGTTCACCAGGGGTACAGGGTTTTGACCCATCCCCATCTGTTTTGATGGTTGTATGGTCTTAGTGACTTCGAGATCCCCTACTCCTCCAATGTTGCACATTTCTGGACGGAGTTGAAGTCTGAAATCCTTTGGCAGAGAATGGGGACAGCTACATTTCATTTTATTTGGATACGGATACTGTATATATTGATATATGGGTTAGTATTTTTTCCCCGTGGTCCTAGATATGTATTGGTGGAAGGTGGCGCTCTTGCGAAGCATACCCCCGAAGCATACCCCGAAGCATACCCCCGAAGCATACCCCGAAGCAAACCCCCAAAATGAAGATCATTTTTGAGGGGTTGTTGATGGTTGTTATTTGGAGATCTTGGGCTCAAATATATCAAGATGGGTCGCGACACTTGCTCCATGCTGCCTTTAGGCGCCCTTTGCGCCATCCCGCCCTCCATCCCCGCAGTCTGGCTGCCCTATGCAGCCAAGTAGGTTGGAGACAGCTTCGGTGCTGACTGGCCGCTGTAGCTTCATTGTGGCAGCCGATACCGTTTGCATCGACCAGCTTCTGGTGCTGACTGGCCGTTGTAGCTCTGTCTAGATCTGATACGGTGTGCTGAATAGTGCTCCGCGAATCATACCCGAATCACACCCGTTTCATACCTCAAACCTTCAACTTCCAGACCCTGGCACATTTTGAACGCGTGAGTAAGGTACTTCACATCCCTGCATGACCCTGAAAATAAGACATCCTTGCCCATACCGCCATGGCACCAAATAAGTACATGCGAAGCATACCCCGAAGCATACCCCCGAAGCAAACCCCGAAGCATACCTCCGAAGCATACCCCCTAGACAAACCTCCCAGTGGGGATACGGTATTTCCAGACGAACCCATATGGGATATATTATGATATATATATATATATAATATATATATATATAAGATATATATAATATATATATATATGTTGTATTTTATGTGAGCTAGCCATATGCTAGCCATGACGCATTGTGGTTCTTGTGACAAACATGTTGCGGCTATCACATGTTGCAGACCTACGCATTGTGGTGCGTGTGGTCTTTCTGCGAGGACTTTGTTTACCATGCATCCTAGTAGAAGAAGTCCCATAAAAGAGATTATCAGTGTGACTTTCTGGCTGGGGGCTAGGATTTAGATGGATTTCGATGGATTTAGCATATTGCTTGCACAGGATTTTGAGATTCAGGTTGCCTTGTTTGCTTGACTGTTTTCAAAAGTTTGCTTTTCGCAAATCATCAATGCTCTCCCCTCGGACTGTGGCTCCGTGGATCCCTGTGCAGTTGCCCGGCAGGATCTGCGCGTAGGCATCCACTCGCCTGAACTTTCCAGCCTCATGATTGGGCAGGCCTCACAGCTGCAGTGCGAGGGATGAACATACCATAAATGGGTAACGGCATTGAAATGAATGGCGGGACAGACAGCGAGGCCCCGGAGGTAGTATCAAATACCAGTTTTTTTTTTCAATGTAGTTGCCGTATGTTCAAATGATTTTAAATACATTGGATGACAGTATGTTTAAATGGGGCGGGCCAAGGAAAGCCCTCCCGGAGGTCGTCTAAAATACCTGTTCGTATTTTCATGTATTTTTAAAAGTTCGTATATTTAAATGTAGTTACCGTATACGTATACTTATACTCGGTTTCCTTTTAAAAAGGCTGTACCTCCAAACTTTCAAACCATCCATTGCAATAGGATATTCCATTAATTAATGTTAATTTGTGTTATAAACCATCCATTTTGGGGTACCGCCATAGGAACCAGCCACATTTCTTTGTTCCAGGTGAAGTAGCACCGCAGTGTAGCACTCTCTTTGAGCACTCTTTGAGCCCACTGATCATCAGAGCACCAACAAAGGGTAGAGAGAACGTACAATCACATTGAATAATATTCATATATAATAATTCTTTAATAATTGATGATAGATATATATATATATAAATATAACTCATCCTAATATCATTATATAATGATAGCATCGAACATTGAGTCGTCCCACTAATAATTCAATAGTCGTCCCCATCGCCAGCGACCAGAGGATGCGGTCTTCGTGAAGAATCCGCAGGAGCCCTTGAAGCAAAGTCGGGGACTCGGGTGGCTTTTTTCCGGGGGCGAAAAACGGTGCAACTTCCAATTTTTCTTGGTTTTTCATTTACCGAAAAACGCATGTGTTTCAATAAAATTACTGCATCATTAGTGGGGTTCCATAAATAAAGGTTTCTCATTCATTTCCCCACTAATTACATGTGGATATGATATAAATTTCAATATAAATTGATATAATTAAAATTGATACAATTAAAATTGATATAATTAATATTTGATTCTTGCAATATGGCCATGGATCATATAAATACCATTTTTAGGGGGATGAACATCCACAAATACCAGCTATTTTGATGTTCACCAGGCTTCAGGGCTACACGGTTTTGACCCCTGGCCAAATATGTGGTATCCGCAATGACAAGTCACCATAGTTTGCAGGTCAAGCTTTTGAGCCACAAGCTGACACTGTGGTGCCTCAAACATTTGGGGAATTACTATGAATTATTGAGGTTTTGCCATTTGCAGTCTTGGTACAGCAGACAAGAACCGCAATGTCCGGTGTCACATTGACTTGCTTGTCATACATAGTGAAACGATACCTCCAAGCTGTGCACAAGGACCTCTTTTTTTACAAGGACACCTTAAACAGACAATCAACAGACACCCAACAGTTCAACAGTCTCCGAAAGGCGCTTTTTCCTCCGCTGCACCATGATGCAGCAAGCCGAAAACGTCCTAGGCATGCGAAATGCTCAATATGGAGCTGTACCCGTCGGAGGCGCCGTGGCATCGGTGGAGTGACATGAAGCAACTGTTAGAGCACACCTGGATGATGATTAAACTACCAGCTGAGAAAAATTACTTAAGGCACAAAAAATTGATAGGATTTATGACATGATTGGATTGTAGATGATTTTTTTGTCCCAGGAGAACACCCGATCTTTGGCAGCGGACTTCTCAGCCTTTGGATGTTTGGGAAGCTTTCAGATTGCCACAGATTGCCCGAAGCTGTGGAATTTGCAAACACCGCGCTGAGGTGAGCACGAAACGCACTATCCTCCACCAATGTACTGAGCAAAGGGCAGAGACATCAGAGACGTCAGCTTGAAAGACTTGAAAAGAGACACCGAGGGATGAAGGGGCCAGTTTTGGGGCCCTTGATGCTATGCTTTGCTTATCTTCCCCAAATCGGAAGAATGTCACGTTGGGCGCAGTTCCTACATCTTGTCCATGCTCACAGGGCTGTGCAAGGAGCGAGTTGGAATATGTTGGAATCTGGCCGGGCATGACAAGTCTCAAAGGGACTCCATGATGCAGGCAGTCGCACTGACTTCCGGCTCTAGCGATGCAACACGAATGAACAACCAAACAATTCTAATAAGATGTTTGATGTTATTGATGGCACAAACACAATGCCTACCACTCTCTGTGCTGTACAAATATCTGTACATTTTGAATCCTAAGTCATGTTTTCAGGCTACTGCAGATACATGCAGATACATGCAGATACTACTGCATGTCACTTGCAGATCACAGTACATCACCATACATCACAGTACCCTGCTCCAGCAATGACCTTCAGAATCCCGTGGCGGCTGCTGATACCTCCTGGGTCTGTAGACACTGTAATTGGCACGGATGGTGGCCTCTCGCTCGCGCAGAAAAGTGGTGCAAAAGTGACTGTGTCAACTAGCGAAGAGGCTCCAGTGACCCTCAGCGACAAAATTGTGAAGATTGAGGGTTCTGTGGGAGAGCAAGAGGAAGTGCTAGGACACATTGTAGCTGAGCTCTTCGAATTTCAAGGCACCCTGGAAGATGAGGACGGTCTTTGTGTTTTCGTTATGCCTACTTCTGCCGTCGGTGCAGTCATTGGTGCGAAAGGATCTAAGATCAGTGAAATCATGTCCGAATCAGGTGCTGAGATCGATGTTGGTAGAGAATGCATCATTGGAATGCCCGACAATCCAGTGGTGCTGCGCGGTCGACCAAGACAGATTGTTCGAGCAGCTGTGCTGTGTAACGCAGTCCTTCAAGACTTGGCTGACAAAGGTCGGGTCCAGGCAGATGATTTCTTCTACATCCCTGGCCGGGCCGCAACTGCGACAAGGAGCCGTGGAGCCTCATCCGGCTCGCTGTCATTTGCCCGCTTTTTGGTTGAGAAGGACTTTGCAGGCTTTCTGATTGGAAAAGGTGGCGACAAGATCAAACGTTTACGTGACCAAACAGGTGCCACCCTGCAGTTTAGAGGGCCAGCAGAGGAAGTGACACTCATCCTGGGCCAAGACCAAAGAGTGCTGGATATCCGCGGCAGCGCTGATGAACGCAACGAAGCAATTAGAGCCTGTTTTGTTGAGATGGATGCTGCCTCAATGTCAACCACACGGCTCTTATTGCCACTTGCATGTCCAGAAGTGCCATTACAAGAGGCTGCCAAAGCTGCAGGTGCCTCCATTGAGATGTTGGACGACATCGCCAGTCCAGAAAGCAGTGAACGAGTTGTGCTGTTGGGTGGAGACTCGTCAATCCGCATGGCAGCTGTCCTTGCTCTTGTAACGAAAGCTGATGCCTACTCCAGCAATGCACCCGTCACCGCCAACGCCAACCAGGCCAAGACCAACCAGACCAACCAGACCAACCAGACCAACCAGACGGCCGACCAGGCGCCAAGACCGAGCTCATCGCTCAACGGAGAGTCAAGGCGTCAGAGCCAACCGCCAACGCCAGTTGTTCCTTCAGTTGACGTGGAAAAAAAGTTGGAGCCAGAATCTGGCAAGGTTTTTACTTTTCAAGAATTTCGGGTGGCATTTGCCAAAGAATATTCCGAAAAGGACATTGTTGACTATTGGCGGGATGCTTGCCAGCCAGTTCCCGAGCAGACTGAGACACAAAACAAAGATGCTAGAAAGGATGACAAAAATGACGAGGGTAATACAACTCCTGAGATCCCAGAGGTCGAAACAAAGGAGGCAACTTCGGTGAGGCAAATGCAGAGCCGCGAAGCTGCACCATCTGCACCTCCTGTGACCAGGCCTTCCAATGGAGACATCGTCGCAGCAGAAAGACATCATTTTCCTCGAAGTAGCAAGGAAGGTTTAGGCACTTTGCTGAAAGACTCGCCACTTTCCGAACTCCACCTACTTCTTCCTAGCAGATTGGTCAGGGGACCTTTGGTGGCCTATGGCCAGTTGGCAGACATTGCAGTGGGATGCAGTGTGGAGATTCATGTTGGCACAGAGGTGTCTCCAGGACAAGTACAAGTCACTCTGAACGGAACATGTGCCGCCATTGCCATGGCTACGGTGGCACTTCAAATGCGCATTTGCTTTGCACAAGGCTAGGACTAGGATCGAGCAGCAGGGTTTGCAGGGCTAGACCATCAGATTTTTCTGCTGCCCTGGGATCCTCAGCCTGTTGCGATTCAAACTACCTCTTTCTGTCACAAACTGGCAAATCATCTGTAAAACAATTGGTTGGTGCCAATCCTGGTTGGGTTTTTCACACTTTCTTTGGATTCGGAATGGAAATCTTAAGGCGTCTACTTGGCATCACGGGGTCTCCTTTTTATTGATCCAACTTTCCAACGCCAAGGTGATGAAGATTTTGTGAATTCTGCTTTGCCCAGACTTCGGTAGAAAGGAAGACTTGTTCGCAGTTTACCAAGATGTGGTCCTTGGGTGCCATTCGGTGCCTAAAATGGCATCGTTGCTTTTTCGCAAAGCTCTGCCTTTTCGGGCCTTTCCGCTGGCATTTCCGCAACATCTTTGATGTCAAGCGCTGGTAGTGTAGGTAGGTTTATGTCGGAAGATTTTTCAAGCTGACTCTTGCCATCGTTCATGTTGTATTTGTTGTATTTGTTTTTTCCGGAAAGCAGCATGAAAGCTACCTAAGCTACCTAAGTTCCTGACCCCTGGCGATGTTGCAGGAGGAAGGTTTCAAAACACAGAAATTTGGGTTTAGGGTGCTACTGTAGCTACTTGATCCGTCAATCTCACATCACTCCACTTCGCAATTCGGTGCCGTGAAGTTAGATTGGGTTTTTTAAACTGTAGGCTGCCATCAGCTGTATTGCAAACCAGCAAGAACAATCCAAGGGCAGCTTGTCTAGTGCATGGCTGTGCGCTGCCAATGTAACAGCAGCTGAGCAGAGTTCTCAGAGGGAAGCCACAACTCAGACTCTTCGAATCGTTGTGTGTTTGATTCGCTTGGATCAAAATCACTTCCACTTGTCACATTGGTTGTTCATGTTCGGGTTGTAGTTGATGCGTCTGTGTTCTGTACCTAAAGCCAGATCATCACAACATGCACATTGATGAATGACGATGACTTTTGCCCGGACAAACATGGGACAACATGAAATGTCAGTGAAGAAGCTGAACTGCCTACTAAGCACAGTACTGCCATTATCATCTACGTACTTATGCTTTCTACATCTTTCTACGAGCTACAGTTTATTTGTGCGTGTGATTGTACTCTCCTTTTTTTTGCGCCCTTTTCAGATCTTTTCAGAATCCATGAATCAGGTTGGCGCATGCCGCGCGCCACGAGCCTGAGGCTTTCCATATAAAAAGCGATGGCTTTTTCCATGGTTTGGAACCAAACCTGAAGAGAAGAGATACCTTGCAAAACAAAGGGTATCCTTGGGTTAAACAACAAAGGTCTACGGTCTACGCCATTTTCGCTCAACATATCTGCCAGGTGGGTACAATACCCAGCAAGCCCAATCAAGGCGACCGTGGCTGCACAGCAGTAGTCAGTAGCCACTGCCCAACGCCTTTGAATAGAAGAACTGGATGCTGGAAAACTTTATAACACTTTGCAGCTATAGAACTTTGCAACCGCAATGAAGGTCAGAAAGTTCAAGGCTATCCTTCTGCATGACAAGCCCAAACTGCAAATTTGATAGATAGGAATAAGATGGAATAAGTTAGGTAAGAGGGCAGGTCAAGTTATGTCAATTTTAGACCCTGTAAATCGATGTAAATCTGCACTGGGCCAGGATGATTCCGAAGAGGAGGTAATCTTTCTATCTTCCAGTGGTCCAGAGAGTCAGGCTGGTTTTGGGAGCGACAGCTCGTTTGTGGTGTCAGTCGTCTGGTTTGCGACTTGAAATCTGATCAACAGCAAGTCCTTTCTCCTGGAACCTGTCCTGGAACATCTGTTGCAGTTATTTTATGTTTTTTTCCTTGCCCCACAAAGTTTGTATGTAGACAACATCTACAGAATCGACCTTGAACTTGATGAGTTTGCAGTTTGCAGATGCCTTCAGGACCCTCCATTCCCAGGTTTTTATGATCAGGCCAGGTCTTATGGGTCCGGTGGGAAGGTAATGGGTCCGGCAACCTGCACAGTCTATCACAGTCTCAAATTATTTCCCCAAATGAGCATCAATGAGCAGCGTTTAAAACCCCGGCCCTATATATATAATATTATACATGCATATAAATTGGTTGATTATGGTTGATTAGCACATGCTGGTCTTATTGGAAGCGTGGCTTTTTTCTGGCCAAGGGATCATTTTCGAGGGAGTCCTGCCTCCGAATCGGTGAGGCACAGCCATCGTCCAAGGACCGACAGCTTTTTCACAGACAGGTCGGTCAGGTCGGTCAGAATGACATGATCCAAAAAGCTTTAAGAAGCAGACAAAAAGCAACAACATCACCGGAAGTATCATGATATAAATGATATCTATATGATATCTTATGAAGATGAATGAACTGAAGCAGTGCTGCTCATCTAATCATCTAATAATTGACAATTTTCAGATACGATTGCTACGTGACTGGTATGTTGTCCTGGATTTATTTCAACCAGAATGGGATGGAGTTTTTTTATGCATTTTCATGCAGGATGATAGCTCAGATCCAGAGATCATCGAGTTTGTGTCCGAGGCATGCCATTGACAGATGTTGTGTCGAGAAAACATGGGCTCCAAGATGCACAAAGGGTAGGAATGTGAAAAATGTTGGCCCATGCGGGTACCCCGAAATATCCGTTGAAATGATGATTAGAGATGATTAGAGTATGATCAAACCATATCAAACCATCCTATGATTTTGGGATATGTTGAGTATAGCATGGTATAGCCCCATTTTAAGTTGAACCTCCTTTGGCTAATATGGATTGAACAGCCTCAAGATCCACAAGTTCTGGCAGGACACTCTTGACAGCTGGAAACTCAGCAGATTGTTGCCTTGAGCGTCCCCATCTATCTCTGAGTGTGCATTCATCCGAACACGTCAGCTTTCATCGGCTCGGACATTTGCTTCTCGCACAAGGAAAACAGAGCCCTCGCCGGTCGAAGCAAAGTTTGGGATGGAGTGATGCCACACATGATACCTCCAGGGATCCTTGAGGACTGCTTGTATCTTATGATGTAGATGTCACATCGAGCCAAGGTGAACGAATCGAGAGTCAGGCTTGGTCGGGGATGGTTGTCTAATGTCTAGTTCAAGATGTTCAAAGAGGTAGCGCTGAGAGGGCGAAGATGGGCGAAGCAAACACAAATTTCAACTACAGTATTTCGTATGATTTGGATTCCATTTTGCACGAGTCAAGAGTGCTGCACTTTTTGCTTTGAAACAGTACACCATGTCCGTGTGAGTCATGCTGCATGTGGTCCGAAAAAATATCTTAGCGTCTGGTTTGCTGGTTTCTGCTGGTTTGTACAGTTCAGCAATTGGAACCTTCTCTCGCGACTCGTCACCTAGACCCTGTCTCATTTGACAGGTGCTTTTGATTTTCCCAATGCAGGGTCAATACCGTAGTGATGCTAGCAAATGATTGGACATCCATGGACATCGGTTTATAGCTTGCTGTGATTTGATGTACCATCTGGTTCTGACTAACAGTTTGCCATGGAAAATCACCATGCTTTTAGCTAGGTAAATCATCTATTTCTATGGGCTATCTATACCATGGCTATGTTAAATTACTAGAGGGTAACCCACCATATGCAAGAGTAGACTATGGCCCATAGAAATAGATGGTTTACCTAGCTAAATAGCATGGTGATTTTCCATGGCAAACTGTTAGTCATAACCAGATGGTACATGGAGATAGACTGATACAGATTGATGCTGATGTCCCCGTTATGGACCAACACTCGTTGATCGGGAGGCTGACCGAAGAGTTGGCCATCCCTTGCCCCACATCCGCCAGCAACCTTTTCCTTGGAGGCAAGGGATGGCGCCATTGGGTCATCCGACGGTCATCCGGAATGACATACGCTGGCAAGAATAATAAGACATGGAAAATCCACCATTTTTTAAAGGTAAACCATCTATTTCTATGGTCCATTTTCCATGGCTATGTTAAATAACCAGAGGGTATATATATACTAAGTAAGGGTTGGGAAGGCATGGTCACAATTCTACATATTCTACTTTCTTGGGTGTCATGCACAGGTACTCGTAGCTGTGGAAGAAGTCAACCCGTCTCACATCGGATGACAGGAGACCGACCACGGTTCACTCCATTCATGGTGGTCGTGGTCGAGGTAGCACGGCTTGGAGCCCCAGTCCAGAGATTTTTTCGGAGAAATCTCTGGGATTTCCATGGATTGCCACTAGTCACTGTGAGTTACTATAGTCAAATTGAATCAAATTGAGTCATTGGGGAGATTTGGGGAGTACCAAAAATCATTTCGACCAGAAGATAGGCAGATGGTTTGTGAACGCTGAAATGCCTTGAAATGACTTGCTACAACGGAGTCAAACAGGATTCTGTCCACCATGGTGAGAAATGCAACACAAGAGGCATGTCGATCACGGTCTTGGCAATACTGTGACTTGGTTTCAGTCCGAATTTCTCAAATTTTTACACGGGATGTTGGGAGCCCCTGCCGATAAACAACCAATCCTTGCACCTTCAGGCACAGAAACGTGAAAGTCGCGGGGCCGTAGTCACCGTAGTCAAGCTTGAGGACTTTGAGTTGCCTTCGATTTGCGCCCGTTCTTTCTTCAACGACACCAGCCTGTCGTCGCTGGATAATTGGTATGTTCATGTATATCATGATTTTTTTAAAATGGATTGTTCAATGATGTTCAATGTATGTTCCTGCATTATAAATAACATTGTTTGCAGTTTGCAGCAAAGATTTGCATTTTTTTAACAATTATTTAAACACTGTTAAACGCAAGACTATTGCTGCTGCAAGTGGCTAAAACCATGGTTGGGTTTCAACCGATTGTCCAGGATGAATCCTCGCCTCCTGATGTGACAGATACAGCCAGATCCCAAGGTTTGAGCACAAACGAGGCCACTTCGTTTTGAGTGAAGTTTCAGAAGTTGGTGGAACGGTAACCCTGCAATCTGTCATAGAACAAGTCGACCTCTTGTGACCTCTGGCTATTCAAGGTCGTTTTTTTTTTCGCTTTGTAACAAGTACATGCAAGTACTGCATTGGCAGTAGCTGCCACTGAGGCTTTAGTGGATGTGGTGGGCGGTTTGCCCAAACGGCTGGGTGCCGGTGAGGTGGAAAGACATGGAAAGACGGAAACTTATGATGATCCAAGATTTTCCTTGCATGAGATGGTTTTGAATCCTGTGCTCAGGGGTCAAGAGGCTTCGATCATCAATTTCCAGCTCCAAATTCTTTTTCCAAATTGTTTCTGGTTTTGGTCCAACTCCATTCAGGTGGATTCTCCGTATATTCTGCATGTTTTTGTTGTTGGTTGAGCGCTGGCTGCCCACAAAGATGTTTCACAGACTGGGTTTTACCTCAATGACAGCATTGACATGTATTCTGAAGTGATGTGTTGTTCACATTTTGTGCAGTTATGGCAGTCAGAAACGTGCCATTCTTTGCCGGTATTGTTTCCCGTTGCATTGTTGTTGCAGGCAACTGCTTCATATAGAAGCTCCCCGAGAAAATGCAAGGACATCCGAGCTTGAGAGTTTCTGACCAGAAAAAGACTGAATATGGACACTAGGCCGACTTTTGTGCTACCCTCTGGTAAACTAACATAGCTATTGAAAATGGCCCAGTCGAAATCGTGGATTTTCCCATTAAAAATGGTGATTTTCCAGTTCGCTATGTTAGTCATTACCAGAGGGTAATACACCAATAGCATCCGATAGCGGCCACCCATCGGGTCGAAAAAACCTGGCACTTCCAAAAGCCAGAGCGAGTAGCGGCTCCTGGTAGTAAGATGTTTCCACGCAACAAGGGTATTGTGCCCCAGATGATCTTACAATATTTTCTTGATTGTTCCTTTCGATCTATGGTGAGCAAGACTTTTTATGATCTTTTTGCACTATTACAAAGTTGTTGTCATCATTGATGGATGTCCTGGTTTGTACTGCCGTGCCCAACAAAACCGATATCATCAGGCTGGGCTGATGGAATGTGCAGGAGAAGTTACTGCAGGAGGCTATGACAAGGACAGTTGCAGAAGCGATGGAACAAAACTCTGAAGCCTCGCAAAAACAAATCCACCAACGTTGCTTGGATCAACTCTTGGACTGACGCGGGGACCACAGTGACTAGAGGAAACAAGGATTTTACCGTATTACCCGAAAATCAGTTGCACCAACATCTTTGAACTGGTTTCGAAATGTATCAACATGTTTCAACACAGCTACTGTGGACATTTGTGGCGTCCACCTGCGACAACCAAGGTGAGCAGAAAGAACCAGTCGCAAGTTCCAGTGCCGTGTTGCACTGCGACCAGACAGACTTGAATCACACTGTAAGTGAAACTCAGGCCTGCAACCAAGATCAGCCGAGGGCGCTGGAGACACTTCGATGAGTCAAGTGGCTTTTGGTAGAGAGCATTTGTTTGAGAGCATTTGCTGGGGCCTTCAAGATTTAAGCACGAACTTTCCACATTTTTTTCCACGAACTACTGAGCGGTCAGAGAACTTCGTTGCAATATGTTGTAATGAGGGTTGACTTGCACTATCTTGTACTGTACATGAGGTCAGGATGAAATTTGAGGAAGTGGAAGATATGCCAGTGCAGGCCAGGACCTTGACTTCATGCACTATGGCCATGCAAGGATAGGCACCGCAGAAAACTTTCTGGACTTTGAGCATGGCCATCAAAAGTGTCACAATCGAGTTTCGTGAAACGAACGATTTTATGTGAAAACATGTGAAACCATGTGAAAACAATATAGGAGAAAGCAGATGACCTCACAAACCCACGGCTCTGCAAGGGTCCCACCCTGGAAGAGGAGGAGTCGTTGCAATGTCAGGCAATTTTTCCTGGATGTTGGCAGATTATCATAGATTATCACCAAATTGCCACACAATGATCACTTCATGTTTGCCAGAGAATTTGGGAAGTTTGCCTTCGAAACGGCGTCCCAACATGTCCCAACTAGTTGTCCCAATTACCCGGGCTCAGGCCATTGCTGAAAACTGCTTGAAGAGATTGAAGGAGGACGAACTCCATCGGACGCCCATTTCTTTCGGAGCAACATTGCCGATTTGAAGATGATATTACTATACATATATATATATAGTACTATAGTAGGACTCGTTTCTATTGTGATGTGCACATATATGTGCACTACACAAGAATGATTTGCTTCAATAGATTGTTTGGCTTGGCAATGTCTTGGTAGATCGATCAAGCTGATGGCCAGCACATGTCACTCCGCACCATCAGCGTCAGCGTGACTCCGTGACCGTCCTCTTCGTTGTCCTCACCATGATCATCCATCATCACATCATATTACATCATATTACAGATGTTACATCATCATTCCCAGATGCTCCATGTATGGAATATTTACCTACATTTACCCAAAAAATGGCCCAAATGTAGGTAAATATTCCATACATGGAGCATCTGGGATTTCTGTACATCATCTTATTACGGCCAGGCGCTGTGTGTTGCCCGGAAGGTTCAAATGGCCTTTAAGCATTCTCCTTCAACATGCTCAAACACCTGCGCAGGGCCAGTGTCTTGAGATTTCCCAGACGACGAACCCTAAACCCTAAAACCCTAAAACATCTAAAACCTAAAGCCCTAAAACCTTAAACCCTAAATCCTGAAAACTTAAAATCCTAAACCAGAAAACACTGTGTATTACATACACAGTATTTTCTACAATCTCTACCTACGTCGGCATTTAGGATATTTTTTATTTTTTTTGTTTCTGGCAGGTTTCCACCACATCACATACCTGATTCTGAAGTGTGTATACAATATATCTGAAGATACCTGAAATCAGCAGATTCTGAAGTGTGTATCCAATATATCTGAAGCTGTCCTCCATCTTTATCGCTCGCTGTCCCCGCTGTCCCCGCTGCCAAAAGCTCTCTATCTTCATCGCTCTTATCATCTTGACCCTTGGTCGCGGCCTCAAGACCTTTGGGTGCTGGATTTGGCTTCCAGTGTGCATTCAAGGGTAACGGTTAGACATTTGAAGGTGAGTTACGTAACATTGGTTAGTTGATTATTCATTAATTATGAATAAAGTACTGGTTGGTTTGCTATGCTTTCTGTTCATTTTATTGCCCCGAAGCTGTCCAAGCTGTCCAAGCCATCGACAACCTTGCTGAGGCCATTTCTTTTGCCCCTCCATTTGCTGCCTTGCAGTCGAGAAGGCTTGCATGGTCCCCGAGCGATTGGTCCCTCGTTCAAAGTTTAAACATTGATTATATTATCGTCGTTGTTGATTTGCTTTGAGTTGCGTAATAATGGATGATTTTATGAGAAATGCGTTTGCCGAGCAAAAGGTTTTTAAAAGAGTTAGTCATTGTCATGATTGGGGATTTCATTCATGTCATGCGGCGTTCATCAACATGCCAAGCCGTTCCCGCAGCTGTTCAAGCTGCTCCAGCTGTCCAAGCGCTGTCGCATGGCCAACGTTGCTGCTGCAATTGCTGAGGCAGTGGAAGCGATGGAGGCAGCAGATGCAGCGGTGATTCAAGGCGACGCGCCTTTGATTGAGGATGGCGAGGACGAAGAGCCTGCAGAGCCTGCTCGGGATGACGGCGGTGATCAAATCGATCCAGCTGGAGGCGCTGGAGATGATCAAGCCGTTCAAGCTGCCCCAGCCGTCCCAGCCGTCCGAGCTGCCCCAGCCGTCCAAGCTGAAGGCGCGCTGGTGCCTGCTGGCGAGAATCCCGTGGCCCGATCTATGCGGCAAGAGATCGCGGAAGGGGTCATGGCTGCAGTGGGCAGCACGCCTTTTCACCTGCGCATGGATGATGCCATGTTGCTCGAGCAGGAAGAGGTGCAGCGGCACGCAATCGCGTTGCCGCAGGCCCCGAGCATCTTCTGGATACCCAGAGTGACTTCACCTGGTCTCTTTTCGGCTTCAACACTTTGCTGAACAGCTTCTACGAGAACGGGGTCAAGAACAGTGAGACCATCCAAGCCATCTGCGCAGGTACTGGGGTGTCTAAAATGTAAGTTTTTTTTCTTGCCAAAATAAAAGTGTTGGACAGGGTGAAGTTTGCAATTTGCGATTTTATTTTCCAAAGCGTTCTACCCGCTTTGCTTCAGGCTTTACGCTGCCAGCCACCGAGCGGCACATCGTGGAAACTGCCCGGGATTTGCTCGCAAAGATCCCAGCCGGGGGAGGCGTCCCCCAGAGGTTCATGGTCGTGACTTTGATCAGCATTCATTCCGAATGGTTTTGATTTTAGTGATGATGTGTCATGCTGGCTTGAGTCATGCCTTATCGTGTTTCGATAGAGCTTAGAGGGCTTAAACGTGAAACTGCCATTGTTTCTTTTCCAAGCTCCCTTTGGCTGAGTTGTCGACCATCGTCCGAGAGCACCTGGAGCAGTTCGCCGAAGTGCAGGAGCATAACGGCGAAATTGTCTGCAATGTGCTGCTTTCCCCATATGTGATGAATGGGGCAGCCCGAGGCTATAAATTGGCAGTGCCAGCCAAGGACTGAGAGAGTCTAAAGACATGGAAGTGCGAGCTGTCCTAAGCTGCCCTAGCTGTTATGGAAGTTCTTGGTCACGTAACGTAGTCACATGTTTTAACTAAAATATACCTATGTCTTCGGAATGTTGCTTTTTTTCTGCTTTTCAGGAATTATTATATATTTTTTTGAACAGCACTTTTTAGAAGTGCGAGCGATTTTTGGTTTTTAATGGTTTGTCCAGGTTTTGATCACTTCTGTCCCATTTGATACCGGCACAGTGGGTTAATCATGGATTTGCTGTGCAATATTGTGCTCAAGCACCTCCCGGGCACTTTTGATGCATCCTCCTCGCTCCAGTGCGCATCTCCTTTTTTTTGTCCAGCACAGATAGCCTATCCCGAGCTACAGGTCTCATCAGAGGTGTCACAAGCCTCAGAGGTACAGCACGATGGGAAAAGAGCAAAGGAAGCTGAGAAGAGAGGACTGATCTGTTTGGAGGGTTGGGTTTGTTACTCATAGGCCACATCTGACAAGAAATTGTAAGCTTGCACAAAAATCCATAGACAATTGCCCGCAGGGAGGCCCGTGGTTCAAGCTAGCGCTTTGGTGAGTAGATCTTTCACCATGAGCCTGTCGGCTGATCTTGAAGCTGACCCTCAGATTCGCAGCAGGGGTAGACAGAATGCTCGAATTACCATCTGGCCTTCATTGGAGGCCACCGGAGTTCCCTCTGTGAAAGCTTGTGCGCTCAACACCCGGCCGCTTGAAATATTGGCGACATGGTGGGTCTCTATGACTGATGTCCCATCAGCAATTCCAGTGGATTTGGTCAGGAATGAGGCTTGGCCCGCGACCCAAAATCCAGGACCCCTACAGGATACCCAATATTTATACTTAAATTATTCCCCCAAAATATCATGACAAAAAAGTACCCCAAATAGTAACTACCAAAGATCACAAGGGGTTGAAAACTATGTAAGTAAGCGTGGGCAGAGATTCTTAGAATGTTTTATGGCATTGTCGAGTGAGCACTGAACTAGGTTGGGTTCTCATTGGGCTCCCGGCATCAGGTGAAGCAATGGCGACACCTGATGCTGTTGCCAGAGAGTCAGTCCTTGGTGAATCTAGACGGGTGGGGGTTGAAGAGATTGTTCTCACACCTGCTGAGACGCTGGTTGAGTGGTGCTGCTGCGCCCAGGGAACATCAACAAAATTAAGAATTGATTCCATTAAATGTTTGTTTTTAAGTTAAAAGGGAAACCCACAAATAGAAGACCCAAAAACTTGGGATAAATCTATAGTTGACCTACCAATTTTTCCATTTATGGTCGAACTACCTCAGGACCCGTCTTTGAAGCCTGTCTGGGACATTCTGGACTTCGCCTGGGGACCCCCTGAGGCAACCGACGGTGCCGCAGCGGCGACCGATGATGAAGCACCTCGGCTGTTGGCGATCGAAGATGGGAACGTCGGCAGTGATGATGAGGGGACCATCACCACCACAGAGCCAGAACAGACTTCTGACCGTGTCGAACCTGAAGAGATTACTTTGGACCATCCGGATTTCGGAATCTATGGGGCCCTTGCTCACCATGTTCGTCCTGAGGATAGGGTCCATGAACCGGCTCCAGTGGGTGGTGATCATGTGGCTGGTGCTGTGATGGTTGAAGAGTCTCAGCCTGCCTTTGAAGAACCCGATTCTCAAGTTGACGACCCATTTCCAGAATACAATGATTGCCATCTTGGCACGCAGCTGGATGATGAGAGCATTGACGACACCATGGACAAGAGTGTCGACACCATGGGCAAGACTGACGAGTCCATGGACGACACTATGGACAAGACTGACGAGTCCATGGACGACACTATGGACAAGACTGACGAGACCATGGACAAGACTGACGACCTCATGGACAAGAGTGTCGACACCATGGACAAGACTGACGACACCATGGACAAGAGCGCTGACACCATGGACAAGACTGACGACACCATCGGCAAGAATGCCGAGACCATGGACAAGACCGAGAAGACCACTGATGATTCTGGGAAGCCCGCTTCATCAGATGCGATGCCGCCTCCGCCACCAGTTTCTCCTGACCATATGAGGCGCAAGCGTGAGATCCAGGCCAAGATGGAAGAACTCAGGCCAGGGTTCGTGCTATCATGTTGATACCATCCCCTTTATACACAGCTTCATTAGCCCCCAAATTAAATAGGTCCAATTCTAAAACAAGATTTAAGGGCGGTACTTAATTTTCATGACTGGGAAAATACGATTTTCCAATCATGTGGTTTTAAAACGGTTGGGCCCTGCACTTCTTGAAATCTGGAAGGCACAAGATGGCCCAACGATTCATTGACCGTCAGAAGAGCTCAGCTTCCCTTGGTAGATCGACAAGACTTCAGTTCAACTTTTTTCTTTTCCCTGAATTTCAACAATATAGTTTCAAATCGATGAGTCGTGGCCCAAAAAATGAATATGTCATCCATCCCCCAAGGTGCTGGCCTAGACCTTGGATATGCAGCTGATAACATGGAGACATTGCCCTATGAGCCTGAAGGAATCCAAGCAGAATCCCTTGGCACCATCGAGATTGAGGATGGGAAGTGTTACAAGAAATATAAATATAATAAATGAACCAATCAATGGGGTTTCCTCAAAGGTTTATGATCCATCATTCTTGAAAATATATAGGGGCTAATCTTTATACTGCTTACCACACCCATCCGGCTGCGCCTGCTTCCAGGATTCCCCGGAACGATCAAGCTCTGCCAAAGATGATCCTGCCAGCAATGCTGCTGTGGCTTCGGTGGCTGCTGGAGCTGATGGCAGCCAGGAAGAGCTGGAGCCTACCCAGCGTGATCCCAGCCTTGATCTTTTGGATGAGCAGGCCCACTGGGAAAAACTAAATCAACCGAAAATCACATTCACTGATGTGCAGCCCGAGAGCTGCTAAAGGGTTTCCTCAAATTCTTATTTTTAAATACGGGGAAATTTCCACCACAATAGGTCGAGAGTCCCTCAAATTCGTGGAGCATTCTTAGTTAGTATATATATATATATCTTTACAATATATATAAATACTCCCGCGCCTGCGGGAGAGAAGAAAAAAAGACACGACAGCAAGAAGGAAGTCTTTCTCTCTCTCTTTTTTTTTCTCTCTCTCTCTCTCTCTTTCTCTCTCTTTCTCTCTCTATCTCTCTCTCTCTCTTCTCTCTCTCTTCTCCCCATCCCTTCCTCCCTCCCTCCCCTCTTTCCTCTCCTTCTCTTTCCCTCCCCTCCCACCCCCTTTGCTGAGGTACGACGTGGAGCTCGCCGTGACCAAGGTCTTTCTGGAGAAGAGTTACAAGGTGCCGGGTGTGTGTGTGTGTACCCTCCCCCCCTTTCTTCCCTCTCTCTCTCTCTTCTCTCTTGCTCTCTTGCTCTCTCTCTCTCTCTCTTCTCTCTTGCTCTCTCTCTCTCTCTCTCTCTTCTCTCTTGCTCTCTCTCTCTCTCTCTTCTCTCTTGCTCTCTCTCTCTCTCTCTCTCACTCTCGCTCTCGCTCTCTCTCTCTCTCTCTTCTCTCTTTCTCTGTTTCTCTGTTTCTCTGTTTCTCTGTTTCTCTTTCTCTTTCTTTATCTCTCTCTCTCTCTCTCTCCAATAATCCACTTTCATTAGAATGAAGCCCAAAGCTGCAGAAGCGCCGCTACCAAGCAAACCTGACGTATAAATAGCAAGCTAGGAATTTGGCAATCCTATCCCAGGGCCCCTTAAAGACTTAACGTAATATGGCATTGGTATAGCTGAAAATATATAGCCCGCATTGAATTGGAGCCCCTCAAATTCTCATAGCGTGCATTCTTATACAATACTCAAGCTGTAGACAAAATATTCAGAAATGGTTTACCTGTTTGAACTTTTGTTGACAACAAACCTTTCCAGGCTCCGTTGCTCACCAGACGCGAGCAATTGGGCACAGAGGACCATCAGATTGAAGCCCGTAGGGGCGCGGGTCGTGGCCGAGGAAAAGGTCGCGGTCGTGGGAAAAAGGCTGCAGCATCTGAGACTTCAGTCAAGACTTGTGAGACCGAAGTCAAGGGTGGCAAAGCATCTCAGACTGGAGCCGAGGCGGGCAAGTCAGTTGCCGACGGCATGACATGTGAGAATGAAATCAAGGAGGACAAGGGATTTGACACTGAAGTGAAGGAGGAGAAGTTGGAGACACCGGCCTCGCCCAACCCGCCTCCTGGCGCAGAGCCAGGGCAGGTTGCGGCACTGGCACCTGCAGACAAGAAACCCAAGACGAAAAGGCAACCGAAAGCCGCAGCTTCGCCGAAGCCAGCGGCAAAGTCGAAGGGCCTTGCCAAGGCGAAGGCAAAGGTGAAGGCAAAGGCAAAAGCGAAATTCAAACAGGCAAGCAAGTCCGCAAGGACAAAGGCGACTGCTATGGCTGAAAGGGCCGCAGCCCAGAAGACGGAGGAGAAGAAGGAGGAGAGTGGGGCTGACCTACATGATGGTCCACCTCGCGCTGATGGGGCTGAGCCGCCACAGAAGATCCGCAAAAGAAGTCCAGAAGCCGCTACTTGTGGTGGCAGGTGGATTCCCTCAGATGGACCACAGAAGGATCGCATGATGGTCATCAAGTCGGTGTTTGAAGAGCAGTTGATGCATCGCTTGAAGGGGCAAAGTTTCTTCCAAAGCCCTTTCTTCAAGTTGTGCAATGCAGAGTTCAAAGCCCGAGGTCTGAATAACCAGTCCCCCTACGATGATTTCGTTGCTTGCGCTAGGGCCCAGGTTGACAAGTTCTTGTCTGAGCCGAGTGTCCGTGTCTTGGCTAAGCTTTGTGCTTTTATGGGACCCCTAAGTTGTTTCCCCACTGCGGTCAAGTATCGAGAACCTTCAAGAATTGAGCAATAAAATCAGGACCCACCCACAAGACCCAATGAGTTTTTATCTTCTGAAAGATGGTTAAAAATGACACATAAAAAACACCGCAACCCTTTCATAATAACCTACATGTTTTAAAAGCGGTGCCTAAAACTGAAATTTCTAATTCGTGGCTTGACAACTCAGCCTTACCATTCTGTTCGCCCCATGGACTTCAGGCAACAAGCTCTTGCAGCAGTGATGGCTTACCCACTGCAGCAGTACCACAGTGATGGGTGAGCGAGGCTAGAAGTTTGTTAGGCGCTGCGCAGGATGTACATAACATCTTGTCTTTGGGGAAGCTTGCAAACACCCCCAAACTCCCCATTTGAGTGTGGCCAATCTTGGGCAACCATTTTGGGGTTGACCTGGTTCCAGCTCATTTGCTCAACGCTAGTCTTCAAGAATTAGATTTTTTTTTCGGCACACCCTACTGGAATCATTTTACTTGGTGTACGAATGTGTTCACGGCAGCTGGATCTTGCACTAGGTCTTGCAACCCTTGAAGCTGGACAGCGACGTCCCTGTCCTCCATAGATGCGAAGTGACATAGCCATGCGGGATAGAACCAACCTGCAGTGCTCAGAGTGGAAATTCAAAGTGCGGATCAAGTCTTTCCTCCACAACCTTTCAAGCATTACTAGAATTTCCAAGGGTGACATGCAAGATTACTCTTGTGGTGCTAATTGCCAATGAGTTTACTGAATGAACACTTCAACATCCCTACCCTTAATTAGCCAGAATCCAATACTGACGCCTGACGCCCTGCAGGATGAGCAAAAAGATTCGTCGAGGGCAAAGATTCCTCGCAAAAGCTGGATTTTTTGAAGGTCGCCCAGGCATGTTTAAGCGGCCTCCCAAATCCTTTCGGTGAATTTGACCCAGCATCAATTTGCCTACATGGTCTTGCAACTTGGTTTTCTTGAGCTGCTGCATCTCTAAATCAAAAAGCAAAATTCCGATTTGCTGTCCGATTTGCTGTGGGCTGGCCTGTCATGTTGAGCCATGCCCATGATCTGGCTATCCGAAAGTTAATTTCATTGGCAGTTCCGAAGGTTACTCGGTTGTATTAGATAACCCCAAACTAAGGCTAGTCTTATGTAACTGTTGCAGAACCCGCAATCACCTTTTGAATCCCAGACGTTTTGAAATTCAAAAACGCATTCTCATTTCGATCCTATGGGGGTACAAGTAATCATGGGTAATCAAAACAAATACCTTTTTACAGAATTCAGAACTATTGGGCCCAAAAAAGCACTAGCCCCTTGTCCAAGGAATTTATTCTCCTTGTTGTCCTCACAGCCTTCCTGGAAGTACCAGCTTGGCAAAGTGAACATAATCGAGGGTTACAAGTGGTAGAGATGTTTGCTGGAGTTGGTCGCATCGCCAAACTTGCTTCTTGGGTTGGCTATCGGTCCCGAGCTGTGGATGTGACTTATCACCCACCCAAGTCGCCTTTGAAACCAAAGAGAGGCAAATTCCCACGTGCCTGCATGGATATCAATGGTGCAGCCGGGTTTGCGAACCTCGCAATCAAAACAAAGGAGTTTGGGAAAACTCTAGGCCCTTTCAAGTTTACACCCAGTGATCTATGAATTCACCATTTATACTTATGATGTTTGGTTCTAACTTGGGTCAGCTTACTGGGAGCCCCTCATCCACCCACTATTTTTGTTATATACCCTTTTCCATGCAACACCTTAGGATGGCTATAGCGCTGGTTTTGGATGGACGAATTGAAGAAGCACTTTATACTCTGGCAGTTGTTTGCTCCTCGTGGAGCATAGTCAATTCCTTTACTTCCAAGAGAAATTTGCTTACCCCACTAGGGGACATCCGCGTCGCCAGTGTGAGGTGTGCCAATCGGATGGTGGCCAGGACAGGAGGAAATGGTGGGTTGGTTAAAGGTTTAGTGGACCCCTGGAATGACGTATTTGGGGGGTGCAGTTGGGGTTATACCAGTTTATAATTAGGCCTCATCAATTGGGACATAACCCCCTTTAAGTAGTGTTGTTTAGTCACTTATCAAGTGGAACTGCACCCCCCGAAACGGTTCTAAATAGTTTCTGAAATAATTTGTTTTAATTAATGCGCTTTCCTCCCTTCAGGGTGGCATTATTGCTGGTCCTGATCAGCTGTTTCAACATGTTTTGGCTTTTGGAAAATCCAGCCAACTCGGCAATTCTACTGCACCCGTGGCTACAGTGGGCCATTAAGACCATCCAATCTGCTAGTGGCCGAGCAACTCAAACTGATGGTTCTGTTTTATATTTTTGTTATTCTTGGGGTGTGGGTCCCTTAGTGACTTGATTCCATGACCAAAAACTTTGCCAACAAAGGTATACAAAGTGGTATTTTGGATGCGCCACTTTAAATCACCATCTATGAAGCAAACAATGGTCTTGACCAACAACAAGATGTTTTGGCTCTTGGACAAAGGGCCAGTCCCCAAGAAATTGAAGAAGGGTTTACAACCAACGACAAAACGGTATCGCGATGCAGCTGGTAGAAAGCGTTTTGTTGGCACCAGCCGCTTAAAGAAGAGTCAGCCTCTCGATTTATTATTTAGGGCCCAAGTTTAAATTTTTAACCACCAATGGTTTGTTTATACAATTACATTGTGGTTTTCGAAAATGGACGCCCAAAAAATCACCCACTACCAAAGATACACAAATCTGGTATTGAAACCTTGCTTCTGGGGTACCCCATTTTGTAGCACCAAGGATTTACCCAGCAAAATTTGCAGCCCGCATCATCAAGATCTTTCCTACTTTGAAAAGCGCATCTGAGCACATGAAAGTCAAAGCCCCCTGGCTAATGTTATTTTCTGTCACATCTCTATGGCCCTTTGCCCAGCTCCCCTAGCAGTGCTCCAACCATGCCTGCCTCAGGTTGACACCGATGTACCTTTGCCAGCTTTGTTTGGCGCGACACCGTGGACAGAATGCCCGGATGCAGAGCTGAGTGAGGTAATTCAATACTTAAAGAAAAGCCAATACCTCCATGTGCCAACTGAGTGGCAGCCTTTCATTTTTTGACTTACCCTTCTAGTTGAGGCAGCTCTATTCCAAATAACGTATATAATGAAATGGTGTTCCATCTTGTGGGAAGGATATTTCACTTAAGATTCTCCTACAGTAATGATCATTAACGGAGCCCAAAATCATTCTTGACAAGTGGTCTAGAGTGGAAATGGGGTAAAGCTGCAAGTGAAGGTGCAAAGCGCCAAATTCACCTACGTGCGTACACGCTTCCCATCATGAATGATCGCATGGGTGACTTAGAGAATTTATGTTGGGTCAAAAATCAAAAATTGTAAATTTTGTTGGTCCAAGTCCAAAAATTGTAAATTTTGAAACGGCGTAATTTGCCGGCGAAACGGCGTAATTTGCCGGCGAAACGGCGTAATTTTTTTTGGGATGTTTTTTTGTGGAAATGATGGGGGAGCGTGAGCAATTCATTCGCCAATAGATCAACTGCAGGACTCGCACTGCTCTCTCCACAAGGGAAAATTCTTCAACTTAGTTTGAAAATCTTTGGAGGCATCCCCCATCCAAGTACCATACCAGATCTAATATCCCCTCCAAGTACTATACCTTAACTATATCCTATGGTTCTGTTTGCCACAAAGAGAACAATTCGACGGTGGATTCCTCCAAAATCTTCCCCCATTCTGTCTAATGATGTACGTAAACTTTATTTGGACCTGAAACAGCCATTGCGCACAAAAACCCTGAAGTTAGCATGTCCACCAGGCTTTTCGGGGTTCAAACAGCGTTGGAGGGTCATGACTTCTCCCATGGATGGTTTGCGAAGCAGCATCTGGTCTTCTGAAACCTTGGACTATGGGATGTCAGCCTTGAACCAGCAGACCTCCAAATTCTTAGTCAAAGATGACCAGGATAAGGAACTTTTGGATGAGTACAGGGTCCCTTGGCTCACCAAAAATTGATTTCAACATGTTGTTTGATCTTGTTAGCAGAATGTCTCAACAAGCGGCATCCCCAAAAACAAACCAAATTCCCTTTGTAAAATGGCTTCATAACTTGGATTATTTGAAGGTACCTCATTTAAGACAAACCTTACTAAAGGTTTCATGGACGCATGTCTCCCACATGTGCCCGCTTGGTGACCCTACCTGCCGTTCCAAGGAGCTTCAATGCGAACTTGAAAGCCTCCACATGGCTCCACCCGTGGAACCACCGGTGGAAGGTTCTCAGGAGGATTCGGGCACTTGCAGTGACCAAGAGCAGGATCAGAGTCCAGGGGGCCTGAAAGTAGACCCATATATGGTGCCTCAACTAAAAGACTACGATATTTTTCTGACCATCAATATCTGGATATATATATATATATAGAATTACTTATTATAACCGATTACCTCAACAGTAAGAAAACATTGAAACTAAATATATACTTATAGTATGTTTTTCCCTGTACAGCCTAGGTACCTGAACAAACCGATTCAGTTGGCGACTGTTTGGGGTACGAGAGCAGCTTGCAGAAAGCACTTGGGGGTATCGAATCCGATGATGATATCCATGGTATTCAAGAAGATTCCGCGGAGGTTGCCCCCAAAAGTTTGGATCGCAAACATGCCCCTGGTGATGGTGTCAATGTTTCTACTCCACAGCCAGCTTTGGAGACTGCCCCCGCCGCAGCGGTTCCAAGTGCTGATGTGGATGAGGCCGTTTGGCTTACTTGTGGGGAAACTGTTTTGTTTGTAGAGCCGCTGATCACCAAAAAATTCTGAGTCATTACCATCCTTGAATACCTTACTTGTTTGGGTTGTTGGGGATGCCGCATTTAGGCCATACAGATGTAGGAGAAGCGATGCATGTTCATCACAATGTTTTTACAGGGGGCAGATCGATTGCTCATCAAGGCCATACAGATGTAGGAAAGCCGATGCATGTTCATCACAGTTTTTACAGGGGGCAGATCAATTGCTCATCATTTTCCCTCTAGTAACAAAAACTACAAAACATACCCACAGATCCATCAAAAAAACCTTGGTTTAGAGGGGTTGTGCTTCATATTAAGGAAAGGGATTTATAGTCCTATCAAGGGAACCGGGTGATAGCCCTATTGGATTGTATCGGTTTTCCGGTAAATACAAATCCCATCATATATATATATCTCTCTCTCCATCGATCCCGAGGGTTCCATTGTATATATATATAACAAATAAATAAATCAAGAAATAAATAAATAAGTAAATAAATAAATAAACATATATATATATATTTTTTTTACCCAGAATCTCTTGAGCGTTCCTGGCACCCCCTGGCAGCTGCCCAGGCCATTGGAAATTGTCCACGCAGAGCGGTTGCCACGCCTTGCCGGCCGATCTTGGACTTGTCCCAGGGCTTTCTTGCTGAGATCCCTGATCTTGGAGACAAAACAGCTCCAAGACCAGCAATTGGTGAACTTAGAATTAGCCCTGAGGCCATAGAGGCCCGACTCCGTCGGGTCTTTCAGCCCAACGTGAAAGGCCAGTATAAAGTAAGCAGTGCAATTGTAGAGCAATGGAAGAACAAGAAGAAGGGCCGCAAGACCCTAGAGCAGATGTTTCAGTCTTGTGGATACAGTCCGGACTGGGGTTGGTGAAATTGGACCAACATAAGCCCACCAAGTTTAAACTACATTGTGTCCCTTCTCGTTTTCACCATATTTATAGAGAAACATGATCTTAGATTTCCATAAACTTCCCTGCAGGAGGCCTTTGTCGAGGAGTGTGAACTGATCAGAGCGGATTCTCTTGAAACCAATCTCCGAATTGAAGGGGAATTTGTCACGGAAAGCAAAATGCGGGACGAATGGAACTGGTCAGAGAATCTAGCCAGCATCTCTCAAACTTGTTTTCATATCAGCCCAAGTTCCCCTTTACCCCTGTCGCCTGCCAGACAGAATCTTTACTCCACTTGCCTGCCATGGCTTTGGCCCATTGGCTTAGGACAAAGATTTCGGCCGTGAAGGCCGAAGCGCGGAAGTCTCCACGCACCATGATGAGGTGGGGGTAGGTAAGTTCTATGTGTTCAAAAATGACAGGTTACAGACATTACTGGCTCAACTTATCTCAACTTCATTGGTAAAAACACAACATTGCTCAGACTGTCCTGGACAGGGTGGATCGATACGAGAAGAAGACCCTCTTTTGGGCTGAAACCGCTGTCAAGTCAACAAAGGAGTTTCCTGGTTGGATACTTCGGCGTGTCGCAGTGTTTAGTCTTTAGGCTAGATGTGTCTGACGATATGTCTGTAACTCTTGCGCTCTCAGGAAAAACTAATTCCCGCTATCATATTTGCCCTTGTTATACTCTTATCTTCTTCCTTGGTTATTTTGATATATATATAAATAAATCTTAATACATATATATATAATATATATATATATAACAATAAATATAATTATATATATATATCTCTCTCTCTCTCTTATCGTATATCTCCTTAAATATCTACCCGGATTTCACAATATATATATATATATATATACAGTTGCATTTCCAGGTCTATCTCCTTCCTTTCCCCTTTTATGGAATCATGTGGTTGGGGGCTTCCATTCCCTTGAAAGATAGTTCATTGGGATTATGATTTTTTTAAATTACTTTTGTATGGGGAAAAAAGACCTACCAACAAATCATCCTTTTCTCGCTAAGGCAGAAGAGCGCCATCACCATGAATCGTGGTGTGAAATGGTCCCAAAACCCGCCAAATTTCAATGAGTATGGTCCAGAGTGTGTCCAGGGAGCAGTCTTTGCACCGTTTCAGCAGTCAGCCCGGCCTCTCGAAGACGCACCTGCCAAGACCGAGACCAAGAGCCCACCCTCCAAGGCCTCCAGGCCTTCCAAGGCTGCTGTGGCAGGTGTGGCTGACACCAAAATGGACTGTTTCAATCACGTTACCTTTCTATTTGTTTCCGTTTTCGATCTCAAAACTTCTCATGCAGTTTGGTTCCTCAAGTTATAGGTGATGACGGGGAGGAGGAACCTGATACTGATTCCAGCGCCGAGTCAGAGGAGGACCCAACTAAGACCGAAGCTGATGAACATAGGGCTCTGCTGGCCAAAAAAGCAGGGCTCCCAGAGGTTCAGCTAGATGCTTTGCCCAGTACCCAATCCACAAAGTACATGAAGCTCGGTTTTGTTTATGCCCATTCAAAAAAGATGGGCAGCTCTGAGCAACTCATACGTTTGTGAAGTTACATGTTCAGTTGGGCTCCCATGAGCCCTGGCCTTTCTTTCCCAGGATCTGCATCGCCAAGAGCTGCAAGGGCCTTCCGGATGGCTTGACCCGGTTGGAGTCGGCAGAGCCTATGACTGGTCTTCAAAAAATGTCTTTGGCTTAATTTACCATGGCTTATGGTACTTTGGATCTGACTCCACCAACAACCCTATAATTCAGCAAATGGACCTAGGATGGCCGACAAAGTTCGCGACGTTCTGCAGACCATGGATGATGTTTCCCAGAAGATTGAAAAATCTTTCAACGCTGGGGTGGTCGATGGGTTTACTGCAGAGCCAGAAACTCAATATCCCGTTTCAACTAGTCAAACACGTGTTAGCTTCAAACCGATTGGTGAAATGCCGCTTGAGGATGGAAAAGGACTTGGAGGAACTTCACCACATGGCGAGAACAAGGCTTGTTGAAGTTCTACTAGCTAGTCGAACCAACCCCAAACTGGCACTTTCCTTCCATATGTTTCTGCAGGGCTGTGGAAGCATTGGGCGTGGAATCTCGAATGAGGCAGGGTGCCCATGTAACCGAATAAGAAAAGTGCTCATTTCCGAAATTGGCCCTTGTCAGGCCCATCTTGCCGAAGAAGAAGGCTGAATCTTCACGGCGCCCTCCCAGGAGGAAAGCCGCTGATGCCAAGGCTAAGGCCAAGGCCACAGCGAAAGCCAAGGCAAAGGCCGCCGCTCGTTCAGCTGAGGAGGGAGAAGCTGGCCCTGCTAACAAACGCGCAAAGCGCTGAGTGGTGTTTGGTGCGGCATTGTAACTACTTCGAAAGGGTCATGAAAAGACATCGCAAAACAATAGATGTTGAACACAGCTTGTTTTGCTCGCACCTTTCTAGTTGGGTCTAGCTTTGCTCCAAGGACCACCTATCAGTACCTTCTTGCAAGCGTGGCTTTTGGGAAAAATGGATTCTTGAACTCATCATGTCAGTGGGACCAAGGTTCATTCCCCATCAATCAAAAATATTTATTTAACCGCCTTCGGCGTGTTCCGCCGGCCACACCATGGAAAGAACTATCTTGTAAGCTGTAAGCTGCAAACAGCCCTGGCACAGGCCAAGCAAGAACATTGTTTTTGTGTAAAACATGGTGCTTGTGGAAACACTGTTTCTGTGTAAAAAACCTCTTTGTGTAAAAGAGGGTTTGGACGCAAAAACATTGGTTTTGTTCAAACCACGGTTTTGGTTTAAGCCAAAGCATGTGGGTAAACCAGGCTTTTGGAAAAGGCCATATTGAGAAAGGCGTTGGAAAAGGCCATATTTAGAAAGGTAAGTTATGCGTGTAAAAGGTGTTCGGCACAAAAGCCTGGATCAAGTATTATATCTAAGAAGCAACGGAAAAATGACAGCAAGATATGCAAAACCAAGCCGGTGTTGAGCGAGGCGCGGGCAGAGTTGAGACATTTGGAAAGATAAAGACGAAACGAAGAAGAGCTAGGCGGGGGGGGAAGGGCGGGGCGAGGAGGCGGGGAGGGGGAGTGAGGGGTGGGGAGGGTTCAAGATAGACGATGCAAAAATCCGCGCCAAGGGGTAAGTCTAGACAAAGACACGAACAAAACAGACAGTACCACGCCGGCAGGCCGGCGGATTTTGATGCAATTCTCTGATTCCGATTGCTTGGCCAATGGCCGACTGATGCCGACTGATCGTGATCCGGTAGCTTTTGGGGTGCCGCTTATCAATTGAGTGCTTGGGCATTCCCCATTGGACTGACTTGGGTTAACGTCCTCTACCAAATGGTGTGGCAAAATTGTTTGATATTTTTCTTATTCCTACATACTGGGAGATGCTCAAGCCAACTTTGTTGGAGTGCGGTGGAACATGGTGGAACCTTCACCAAACCGTGAAGGGCAATTACAGTGATCATCCCGCTTGAATCTCACGGGGTGCCCATACATCAAGACTAAGCAGTTGTCAGCTGAGCCGCAGGGGCGAAGTTTCAAAAAAGAAACTGATGCTTTCCAACGATTTAATCGTTTTGAATGTCTCTTCTTTGGCCACCGTCTTGAAGGCAGGATCTAGGTTTGCTTACACTAGGATGATTTATTGCTTCCGTGATCATGCCAGGTGCACAAACCACCTCTTCAGAAGCTGGCCCTGCTGTTCGCGCTTTCGCTGAAGCTGTCGCTGATGGGGTATCAAACTAAGTCGGAAAAAAAAACAAATACAGTTTCAGATGTATAAAATGTAAATATACATATATATATATATATATATGTACACACACATACAAGTGCATGATTTTTTTTTTCCCCAGACGCGGTTCCAAGGTCCCATGCTCAACTGCTCAGCGTGTTCGCCTTGGGCACTTAGAAGAATGTGGGGGGTTGAGAGATGGTTTTGTTGACAAAGAATGTGAGAAGAAAATTCCGTCCTGGAAAAAAATGCTTCCAGATTTGCCTGGAGCTGGATCTATCGGAACAAACTGGGATGGAATGTGACCTTGAAAGAGTTCCTCTACAATGCCCCGAATGGGGATACTGTGTTGGTTCCCTACATTGATCCACAGGATCTTTTGGCTTTTTTGCTTGAGCACCACCCAGATGTCCTGGTGGGTGGTACGAGTAACCCACAGGAGATGGCTCTGCATTTGGAATCATTTTGGAACGGGTACAAGCTCCAAAATGCTGAACATTTGGTATTCAGGGAACATGCAAACAGCCTCCAATCCACCATTCCACTGTTTTACCACGGTGATGAAGGTCGTGGGAAACGTCGTGGAAACACAGTGGTTCTTAGCTGCGAAAGCCCAATAGGTATCCACACAACGTTGCCATCTCGAAAACGTGGAAGAGACGAGTGTCATTGCAAACCACCTGCAGCGCTGGAACGGAAGTATGGCAGGACCACTAGGAAGATCTCGTCGCGTTTGAGACCACCCCTGAGGTCACAGCAAACCAACATGCGAGGACATTCCTTCCTACAGCATTTCTGTTTATGCATTATTCCAAGCTCCTGGCATCATGTATATCCAGACTTGCTGACTGAGTTTTTGACACACCTTGCTGGTCTTTTCAGAAGACTATTCTATGAAGGAATCACTGTAAAATCTAGACACTTTTGCGCAGCAATTTGTGGTGCCAAAGGTGATTTGAAATGGTATACAAAGTCCGCCAAACTGGATCGGAGTTTTGAGCACAAAGGGGGGGTGAGAAATATCATGTGCTGCCATGAGTGCTTAGCTGGCCAAGACAACATGCCTTGGGAAGACTTCAGTGAAATTCCCAGCTGGGCTCCCACACGATTCTCTCAGAGACCCTGGAGCACAGCGCCACCTTTGTCCTTGATTCCATACATACCCAATGCTCCAGAAAGACAGATCAAGAGAGACCCGTTTCATCTTTGCAAAGTTGGAAATTTTCGTGATCATGCAGCGAGCTGTGTATGCTACATGATTCATGCAGGTCTGTTTGGTGCCGTTGGCGATTTCGATTTGAAACTTCAAGCAGCTCATGGCGCCTTTCAGCTCTATTGCCGGGCTAATGGTACTTCACCATCATTGCGTTCATTCAGCCGAGCATTGCTGAACTACCCCCGCTTCGAGTCTTAGCCGTGGTTTAATACCAAAGGCTCGGACACTATGCTGATTTTGAGGTGGCTTGTGATTCAGCGCGCAGGATTTGAAAATGATGCGCAAAGTGGAGCTGATCCATGTTACATGAGACTCATGAGAGAAACAACAAAAGCAGCATTGGCGTGCTTCGAACTGATGAATTCACACGGGCTGTTTCTTTACAAGACCTGCGCTATGACCTTGTACGCTGACTGGACCCGATACATCAATGGTTTTTCTCTTTTGGCGAATAAATGCCTCAATGATCAATACAACCTTTGGGCCATCAAGCCCAAACAACACCTGCTGAAACACGAAGCTTTGGAAATCCATGAGTTGTTGGAAGATGGGCATGAGTTCATTTTGAACCCTAATGCCCATAATTGTGAACAAAATGAGGATTTTATCGGCAGGGTATGCCGATTATCTCGTCGATTTGATTCTAGGCATGTGTGCAAGCGGGTGATTCAAGCAACTTTGCTGAAAGCAAGTTTGATCCACCGTCGATGCCGGCGAGGGCATCTGATTTGAAGCTAAGTCCCAGGCGTAAGTTCAGCTGGCTCCGCTGAGGGAAAAAAAATGAGCCAGTTGGCTCTCTTGTGGGTGGTGGTCCAGGCTAAATTGGTGCAAGCAAAAAGACGTCAATGCAGTCAATTCTTCCATATCCTTCCCATGAACTGTTTCTGTGACTCTTTTTCATATCATCATGGCTCCATGCTGCGAAACCTGCAAGCAAGAGATTTTGCAGGACTTGGAAACGGCAATTTTCTCTTCAAACGACCGTTTTTTTTGAAACGGCAGGAATGCATAGCCAAAAATGAAACGACAAGAAAAAGACACAACAGGAGGATGCAGGTATAATAGTTTGTTCGAACGTTTCTTAATTTTCCAAATCCTGCAGGACATGACATGGTCCGGGTGGGCGCTTCCGTGGGGCACTGACGACTTGCTGATGCCGGTTGGCCTCTACGCCAGCGACATCCTCGAGATGGCGCGCCAATTTGTGCAGTTGGCTGGCTTGGGGCCACGGCACGATGGTCCCAGAAGCTTGGATGCCTTTCTTTCAGACCAGAACCAGGTGGTCATGGCTGTCGAGGACAGGAACAGGGCTTGCATCCAAGCATCCTTCTTCAGCAATGCGTTCCATGGCAAGCTGGAAGAGCATGCCTCAGCAGGCGTGCGGTATGCCTTGAAGACTTGGATCTTGCCAGGTATAAAAACCAGATCCACTACAAGCTGGTGGAGAAGTTGGATGTGGGCTTCGGACAATTTTTCGATTTTGGAGAAGAAGCTGGCTATGGACCCACTTCCTATTTCGTCTCGGCGGAGGGATTCTTTTACGCCCTCACCTATCGAGCTGCTGACGTGGCCCAGCGGAAGTTCGAAGGCACCCCGCGATGGATTCTGCAGGCTGGATGAACAGTTTAAGTTAGCAGTAGCACAAATTAGGTTCACAGAAATTGCACACACATACGCATACACATTGTACGTGATATGTAAATATGTACGAAAAAGGAGTGTGCATGTAGTTTTTTTTTGCAAATATTAATTAATTATTATGTTTATGTTTAACTAATTATTGTCATTATTAATATTGTTGTTATTATTGTTCAAACTTATGCCATGTGTGTAACCCCCTAACTTAGTTCTTGGCAATCTGTTTCCGGGTTTCAAACATCGCTACTTGCCTGCAAGGGCGAGTGCTTCAAGGGCGACTTCGACGACGACAAGTGGCTACCGAGCTGGATCACGAGCAGCCTGCACCATCCAGTGGGTTGGGGAGGGCCCCGATGACTTCAACCTTCTGTGGGATGGCATGCAAGTTGTAGCTTGGATTTGACTTCAGCAAAATTTTCACGTGCCCATGATGTGCGTTTCATGAGCGCATGCTTTCTCTGTGACTTTGAAGGCCCTTGTGTGGTTTTTGGTTTTGAAAAATAACGAAAACTTGTTTCAGGAAAGGGCACTTGTGGCCACAAAGACGACAACGTCCATGGTGCTTGCACTTCGGTTGTCCCGCTGGGAAGATTCAAAAGGACGGCCCTGGAGTGTCACATTGGCCAGATGCTCTTCGGTCCCTGATGGTGTGAAGATGGCGATGGCACAGTCGAACGTCCATGCGGACAAATACCGTCGCCAGACCTACAGGAACACCAATGACATGGAGCTCGCACACGGCAAGTTGTCACTTCCCGCCCACAGTCGCGCTATGGGCAGGAGTCGCAGCAGGAGCCTCAGCAGCAGCAGCCACCGCCGAGCGCTGCAACAGGCTTTCCACCAGGAATGACAGCCATGGATGATGGGTGGGGCGGAACCATGTTTGTGCCGACAGCTCCAGTTCGCCCTGCCATGTCTGCTTTTCAGCCGTTGTGGGATCAGCAGACTTGGCAGCAGCAGCCGTCCCAGCCGTCACAGCCGTCCCAGCCGCCCCAGTCGTCGCAGCAGGGACAGGGCCAGCATGGACAGGGCCGGCGCAACCAGGGGCAGAACCAGGGACAGAATCAGGGGCAGAATCAGGGCTGGTGGAACTGAGAAGCGTGTCTGAGAGGGGCCGCGATTTTTTTCAAAGTGCAGTGCGGCAACAGCCGCTTTAATTCATTGGATCAGAGCCAGCACGTCGCTGGTGCTATTGGCCGCAGCTGTCCAGCCTTTAGCCGTCCAAGCAATCTTTGCTTGGCTTCTTCCAACTGAGCATGGTTCAAAGCCTTTCACCGATGTTTAATCCCGACTAATTTAATATGGCAACTAATCCAGTAGTAGTCGAATCACCACAATGTTGGCTAGTAACATCACTAACAGGGGTTTGGAACAATGCTCAACTGTGCACACTATCACGTCGATGGTGGCATTAAACTTTTTTTTCAAGCGCGATGATTTTCTCGCTTTGGCTTCAATCTTTTTTCGCAATTTAGTCCGTTCATACATTTCATCGCATTCAATTAGCCCTTGGCCAGGCCGGGCCCTTGCCTACGTTCTTTTTCTGGAGAAGCAGGTGCCTGGGAGGTTCCTGATGCCAAGTTCACAGACAAACACGTTCAATGAACATTGCCGTCTTTTTCAGGAAAGTTTGATAATGAGATTGAAAATTCAAAACGCTGGACTCAATTATTATAAATAAAATTACGACGTTCACAGTGGCCAGCTACCAAGGGTTTCGATGCCCCTTAGCAATACACTCCAGGATATCAAAAACAGCCGGTGTATTAGCAAGTGCTTTGTCCATTGATTTGTACTTTTACTGAGAGTGTGTAATTGTTGATGGATTGCCATACTTTGTTATGCCCCCAGGATCGCAAGATCCAAGGGCGTAATGGCATGTGCCAAGCCTGCTTCATTACACTATGTAGCTCATATCCTTGGCTCGCAAGAGCCGACTTGGGAGAAGGTTTAGATGTGCATTCAAGGGTTGTTTTCAAACATTCAAAGGTCAATGTAGCATGAGTATGCATTCAAAGGTGTTCAAGTGCATTCAAGGGTCTACCAATGCATCCAAGGGTCATCTTTGTGCATCCAAAGGTAAACTCACCCTGATTCACGTTGGCTCCCTTGCCAGGTGCTTCTCCATGGCTCCTGTGCCAGAGTCTGCAAGCAAGGCAGTGAAGCTTTGGATGCAGAGTCTGGAAGCTGGCTATGAAACACAGCAGATGAACAGAACCATGTGCAGTTACTTCAACCAACATGGGCAAAGAAGTTTTTAGACACACGGGTCAGTGATGATAAGCGCGTTCATAGACTTGCATCATGTTGCTTTTCTATCAAGTAGATGTGTGGAAGTGACACTTTGGATGTCATAATGAGGCTGCAAAGCTTTTCTGGAACGAGCAGGAGAAGGATTTGATCCCCATGGTCCAGTTCCTCCTGCGAGATTTGCCTCAGCAGCGTTTGCCTAGCGCGGCTATGAGCAAAATTGGAAGCAGTCATGCGGGAAGATTCCATGCAATATTATCTTTCTACATTACAGTTCTTTTTCCTAAGGCAGGCGGCTAGGGAATACAAAGTGAATAGATGGAGAGAGACAGGGAGACGGACAGACATATCAACAAATACAAAGGGGAATAGCAGACGGATAAACAATTCCAATATGTTTATCCCATAATTGCCTAGATTATGATACAATACAAGAATAGTTCAATGATCCGCCTAGGCTCTGGTGACGGCATACTTGCTGTATCGGGCCAAGTGTGTGGTTCCATCCTTGGCATCAGAGCCTTTGCATGTGACAAGTTGGGGTGATGGAAATGTTTTTCCTTTGAAGCACATTCAATGTGACGTCAGCAAGATATAGCTGCCTGCAACAGCTGTCCCTGCTGTCCCCGCACTGCCAAACTGACAGGATCCTGGCAACATTGTGCTTCGTATCCTGAATGCTCCAAACCCATTCTTGACAATAAATGGCGCGGCGCTCACTTTCAAGCAGACGTGTCAAGGATGTTTTTTGCATCCGGTGTCAAAGGCAGTGGGATTCTTGTCAGGTTTAGACTTTAGGGGGGCCGGCAGAAGCGCTCACAATAGAAGATGGTATGAGCGCATGAGATTGCATTTTATTCGATTTTCCTCTGTTGATTCCATTTCCAACCTGGGCGAAAATTTAGACAGCACGGTGAATAACAGAAAATAGTTGGCTCAAGACTTGACAGCGCTGCTGATATATTATCATGGACCTATGATCCAGAACGTCTTCTTCATGCTTGGCCAAGCAAATTCTTCCATGTTCCCTTCCTTTAAAGAAAAATCAATCTCTTCAACTTCAGGGCCGTTGTTTTTATTTCTATCTTTCTTTCTTTCTTTCGTTCTTTCTTTCTTTCTTTCTTTCTGTCTTTCTTTCTTTCTTCACACTCTCTCTCTCTCTCTGTCTGTATCTTGCGCTTTCTTTGCGTCTCTCTCTCTCTCTATCTATCTTTTCTTCTTCCTTCATGTTTTTCATGTCTTCCTTTTTTTGACTACATCTTTTTTTTTGGGATCTCTCATCTCTGCCCCTCTCTCTCTCTCTCCGTGTCTCCGCGTTCTCCGTGCCCCTTCCTCCTGTCAACCCATCCATCACTGCAGCAGTGCCCCTTTATACTTGGGTCTGCTTGTGTCTCCGTTTTTTTTTCTCTATCCGTTTCATCACCCTTGAATGCGCGCATTCAACCCTTCAGCGCAGAAGATCCATGAAGCTGCGCATCCAAAGGTCTTGAGGCTGCGCTGAAGGGTGTGCCAGCTAAGACCATGCTGGGAATTCTTCCATGGACAGCGTTGCTAAGAAAAGGAAAGCACAGGTTGGAAAGCTCTTTAACCCTTTTATTAAGCAATAATAATATGAATTATTTAGAAGGTACATTTGTGAGAGCCTGCCAGTGATGACGACGCAGCTTGAAGACCAGCCGTCCTAGCTGTCTTAGCCGTCACAGTTTTGTTACAATAAGATAGATAAGAAGCAAAGACTTTGTGGTGCCGGGCAAAACACTGCATGCTTGGATATTGCTGGGGGGTTCATGCTTGGATGATTCAATTTTACCTTTGAATGCAGATTCTTGCCATTTCCTTGCATTGAAGGGTAAAAAGTGAGCATCCAAGGGTCTAATGCAATACCTCCATTCCCTACATTGTCACTACCATTTTTGATTGTGCTGAAAATTAAAGGCCCAAGACCTAGCCCGGCTCACTCTCCCCAGCTGTCCTAGCCGTTCTAAGCAAAGACTCGCAGAGCCCAATGGCTGCGGCTGCAGTAGTGCCACGCTTCCGGCTGACCTTCAAGCAGCCTCTTCAAAGCGGGAAGTTGGCCAAATCAAAAGAAGCAAAGCGTTCCAGACCGTGCTGCAAAAGGAAGGCAACGTCACGAAGAGTTGCTGTTTCTGAGGGGACAGTGCCCAAAGCCCCAATGCTTTTGCACTTTTTATGAAACAGCACAACACAGCGAAGAAAGGCGCCAGCAAACAAGAATTCCAACATGAAATGCAACGCATTGCCAAAGCTTGTGCAAAATTGACGCAGTCTGAGAAGAACATCTACAAGGAAAAAAGCAGATCGGAGTTCATTGCACAAAGAGACGCCATGAAAAGCCATGGCTTGCCCACGCGGCGCATGCAGAATGAAACCGTGCCAAAGCAGCAGTCACAGCTGTCTCAGCTGTCTCAGCTGTCTCAGCTATCCACACAACCTGTGGAAGAGCAGGACCGGGCGCTCCTCAGATTTGGGAAGATCACGGTGATGCAAGGTGAGCTTCCTGTTGGTGAAGGCTCTTACGGGACTGTGCTGAAAGGCCTCATTCTGCGCTCTGAAGATCTTCCAGGGCAGCAAAGCTATGATCTCCTTGAAGCAAGAGGTTCTGATTTTCAATCAAATCAAAGACAAGCTTCAAGAAGGAATGCGGCAACTCTTTCCTTCCTTGTTAGAAGTCGAATGCAAACCGCAGCCGTTCCCCTACTTGGCTTTGGAGTTTGCTGGGTCAAGCGTGTCCCAAGTGCTCATCCAAAATGGTGCTTTCACTGGAAGTGCAATGCAGCGCCTAGCCACGCAGCTTAGATCTGCCCTGCAAGCTTTGCACAGCATCCGCATACTTCATTTGGATCTCAAACCGGCCAACATTCTGTGGGTCCAGGAGACTTCATGCATGAAACTAGCGGATTTTGGAATGCCTGAGATGATGGGGATTGAAGCTGCCTCGATAAGGTTCGATGGATATGTTAGTGCTCCCTATAGACCACCTGAGCTGTGGAACACATCTTCCGTAGACATTTGCAAGCATCTGCGCCCATGTGTCGACAATTGGTCATTTGGCTGCGTGCTTTTTGAGTGTGCTACAGCATCCCCTCTTATGGCACCTCTTCCTCCAGCTCGCAGCTGCAATCATACTGTGAATGCATGGTGCCGCTCATGGGACAGCTTGCGCCAAGCACGGATGATGACAGAGCCAGCTGCTCGAAGATTGCAGGCTCGTATGTTGAGGTCTGGACCATGGAGAGAACATATTTTAGAATGTTTTAAATCCTGACCCTGCTTCTCGAAGATGGAGCGGGCCAACACATTGAATGGAGCCAGTCGCTGCTATGCCTAGCGTAGTGTTCATGAGCAGGGTTGCTTCCCAACTTGTTTCGAAGCGGGGTGTTCGGATTGGGAAGCCCGGGGTTTACTCATGATGGTTGAACTAGCTTAGCCGTACCAGCCGTGCCAGCTGTGCTAGCGACAGTGCCCGGACAACTTAACGTTCAAAAATACGCAGCTGCTGCAATGCTCATTCATTATCGAAGTCACGCGTTGTGATTAATCCGCCCATGTTTGATTTTCATATGAGCGCATCAGCCTTCTGCTTGCCAAGGTGGGTCTTCAAAGGTAGCAGCTGCAGCGGCGGCAACAAACTCATGCGTGGAAGGGCAAGAACCGAAAAGAGCGTCTTCTACTCGTTGCTGTGGATGGCGGTGGCTAATAGGTTAAATATTGGTAAATTTACTCAATTCCCTTAATATTTTTCGGGACCGTTGAATTGCCAACCTAGCTACTATCATATTCGACAACACGACATCCTCAATTTTAATGTCTGGGCAACACACGGTGTTTGTGGGTATTAATTATTGCAGATGTTACATCATCATTACATCATCATCATTACATCATCATTACATCATCATGACATCAGTAAAAAATCAGACATAAGGAGTTAATTGATCATTAATATAGTGCTAAATCATGACATCACTGTTATTGTCTCTCCAGGAGACGCTGACATCAAGTCAGGTTCCAACTTCAACAGAGCCCGTGGCATCGGAACCACAGTGTGCCGAAGAGGAGGCAAAAATCAGCAAAAATCCAGCGGTTGATCGTGTCGTTTTCCCGAAGAAAAAAAATGGTCAGTTACGGTCAGTTGTGGAAAAAAACGATCTTTTCAGAGAACCATGTGGGGAAGCCCACTTAGATGACTTAGATGTCTCACATATACGGATTTTTTGTATGTGAAATCACATTGCCCCATGTTTTTGGGGATATCTTGCACTGGACACCACTGTACTCGCTGATAGATATGTCATGACATATCAATATCTGACAATTCTCTTGCTGACTTGTCAGGCTAGTAGTACCAGCTGGTGCGATGGGCAGGTGTCAAGCAGTTTCCCAGAGGACAGGGACTTGTAACAAGAATTGAAGCGCTTGCCGGCTTGAGATCTGGACATCAGTCTTTTGCTTCTCAGATCAAAGACTCGCACTCTCAATGTGTTGGAACCAAAGACGCATCATGAATTGATGAACCATGATGAATCATGATGTATCATGATGAATCATGATGATGCATGTCATGTTCCGGAGAAATCCGGAGACAGAGGATCACGGTGAATTTGTTGAGAACATGGACCACGCTGAGATCGCAGTGAGCAGTAGTAGCAGCAGCATCTCGGACCCCGACTGTTCGCAGTTAAGAAATGGCCCCGGCCAGACAGTCCCAGCCGATTTCAAAGCTCAGGTAGTGGGGCAACGAATCCAGAAATCCAGTCATTGAGACAACGAATCGATGCACCTTGGCTCACCTTGCGGATGGACATCTTTGGAAAAATCAGATCAAATCATGCTGTAAGATACTATAAGATACCAGAAGTATGGACAGATCGACATCTCATAATGGGGGACTTGAGATTATACAAGCGGTTACCCTCTGGTGAACATACAAAAAACCATGGAAAATCCACCCATTTTTGATGGGAAAATCTACTATAAATAGCCATTTTCCATTGCTATGTTAGTTCACCAGAGGGTACCAAGGATTGTCGGCTTGTCGCGAGTGTTGAATGCTGATGAATCATGAATTGCCAGGAATGCGTGGCCGCGCAAGGCCCCTTGCGCGAAAAAGCCAACGAGATGTTGAGATCTCTTCACCATCATAGAGTTCCTTGACAAATTTGAGATGACTCATGAAATGGAGAATCCATGGGACAGTGGTGTTAGAGAGCTTCCACTCTGATCTTTTTCATCAGTGACATTGAGACGGACCGCAACTGATTTCTATAGATTAAGCATGTTTGCTGGCAGTCCAGATATGTTGAGATTAAGCGAACCACAAGACTCGACCAGGGAGTTGTTTTTTTCACAGGACTCACAGAAGTTAAAGGGGTATGGTATGGGTCAAAAACCTGGCACCCCAAATAAACTACACCATTTCATATGTAGGTTTCTCATATTTTCTCATATCTTTTTCCATGGGTTTTCATAGGTTAACCCATCTTCATAGTATACTAGGTATTGATCAAACCAGAGTCCATTGACTTGTGCTTCTCAGCCCCAGGCTATGCTGAAGGCCGCTCGGAAGGAGGTCGAGAAAAGTGCCAAATCCGCTGAGGCCTGGGCTGCAGATTGTTTAGACATGTTTGGAACATGGGAAAACCATGGGAAAATGGTGATTTATATGGAAAATCACAATTTTTCACGGGTAAATCAACTATAAATTGCAATTTTATTTTTTTAAATAGCTATGTTAAGTAGAAATGCCCATCTTGGTGGTGGTTTGGAACATGACTTTTATGACTTTCCATATATTGGGAATGTCATCATCCCAACTGATGAACTCATATTTTTCAGAGGGGTAGGTATACCACCAACCAGATCTAAGAACCATGAGAATCAATTCTTCAGAGCCTGCTCAGACCTTCCCATGTACAGTAACTTACAGTGCCATACATTGCCTGTTGCCAATGACATCCAGTGATTATGTCAGGTGGCGGCAAAAGTGCGGCAAGCCCAGCTGCTGGCAGAGTTAAGACACTCCCACAGCCAGGCACTTGCTGGGACATCAGTGAAATTTCATGCATCATTGCACAAGAGCGGGTCGATGAGGGAATGTGCTTATTAAGTGTCTTTCTTTAAACATGCTTTTCCTTAAACTATCCTTAAACTATCTTAAACGATTTTTTTGCGAATGCTCTGGATTCACAGAATTGGTTGGTCCATCTCATCAATTGTTTGCTTGACACCTGTAAGATGTGTAAGATTGTAAGATCTATCCAAGAGTCCAAAAGGTACCAAAAAGCAGGTATGAGCTCATTATGAGCTCCTAAGCGGCTAGCCGCTAACGCCCTAGACTTCTCAGCGTGACTGAGCTGCGAGTTCCAAGCTACCAGTAGTGTGCACCTGACCCCCTTTCCACGACATGGCAAAGCTGGCAGGTTTGGCAAGTTCATGCGCATTGCATTGCCGAAGCTTGCCATGGGATTGACCATGTCGTTTTTGTCTTGGGAACCTGTGGAATTCGACGAAACTTTTTCTCGGGCAACAGGCTTTTTGTTTTCGCCATGCTAGGTAACTTGGTGCATGTTTCTGAAGTGTGTTTTTTTTCTCCAGAAAACAAGAGTAACATGTTTACATGGCTATGGATCAATACCTATACATACCATTTTTAGGGGGATGAACATCCATTTACCAGCTATTTTGATGTTCACCAGGGGGATAGGGTTTTGACCCATCCCCACATCTTGTTACATATTCACTGTGTCAGCTTAAGGAAAACATTGACCTCAAGGAGAAGTTGCGTGCTTCCTTGGAACGGCGTGAAAAGCTGCTGAAAGAGATTCAACTGGTGAAGATGTCTCCATGCTTCCCCCAGGCCTGCTATGGCCTGCGCTAGTCATCTCAGATCATGAATCAAGATCTTAAGCAACATTTTGAAAAAGACTTCCCAGAGTTAACATCATAAGTTCATAAGTATTCATTATATGAATCATAAGTCATAAGGTTCATTGTTTGGTAGTGTTTGGTATTTGGTACTTGGTACTTGGTGCCAACGACAATCTTGACAGATCTGGCGATCCAGCCATGGCCATGTCAGCCATGTCAGGAGCGCTGCCTTAAAGCCCTGTCACCACCTCCTGGACTTGAGCGCAACTCGGCAGAGGAATTGCAAGGATCTTTGGGCGTTGGCCCAAAAAAAAACGTGTAAGAATTGTAATATATACAACTGGTTGGTGGTTTGGAACATGACTTTTATATACTTTTATGACTTTCCAGACTTTCCATATTAATTGGGAATGTCATGACAACCAACTGGGTAGGTATACCATCAACCAGATATGTTAAACATTGTTAAACATGATTATTGACACCTCTGGTTCAGTCTTGGATCTAATCTTGGATCGTGTAGCATTGAGGCTTTAATGGCAATTTGGGAGATGGAATGAGGATTCGAATGTGATGGACATAGGATTCGTAGGCGCAGGACCAGCATTCCAGGACTTGCTGAGTACCATCCAGGTTCACCAGGTTCACCCTGGAGCTGCTGAGGACCTGCTGAGTTCCAGTATATAGGTGGCCTAAACATAACTTGGGGTGCATCTTTTTTACACATTGAAACCCATAGGATCCATGTATGGTATATATGCTAACATTGGAGGTAATTATATTGATGGTAAATGTTACCATATATAGCATACATGGATCCTATGGGAAATATCATTGAAATTTCTATCTAATATTGTTCATCTCTTGAGGCAAGCTTCGTATAAATCAGCCCGATATCTTTGGGTATGTCACAGTGTGTCTCTATGCTCGATACGTTCCGCATCTGAGCAGAACTGCTTCAGACGCAGTTGTTTTTTTGTGCAGCCTGAAAAGGCGGACCACTTCCTGAAAGGCCAAGAGGAGTAGTCCCACCTTGATCACACCAGAAGAAACACCGGAAGATATGGTGCTAAATATGCTGCGAAATCTGGTGCTAAGCTGCTAAGTGTTGCATAGGTGCCATGCTTTCTGGCCTCGCTAAGGCATTGAATCAGATGAATACACAAGTTCTGGTGAGACGAAAACAGACTCAGAGGAGTCAGAGTGTCAAGGACGGCGAAAAGCAGGGATGCAGCATTTGGATCATCCAAGAGGATTTTTCGGAGTACGATTCTGTAGCATTTTGAAGCTGCTACATATTCAAGACTGAAGTTTGCTAAGTCTAAATGCAATTGACGGGAGTTTGGGGCAAAGTCCAAAAAACATGTTTCATTAAACAAATGTTTGTGGATTCTCTGAAGTGTTTCAATTGCCTTGGTTAGCTGAATTCTTAGCTTATATAACTTAGAAAGCGAGCTGTTTAACAACCGTGGTCCGGTGCTGTTTGTTTATTCTCATGCATTTCTAAGTTTGTAGTAAACATGAGAATAAATGGTGTTTCTACGTTTGTAAAAATACCTTCGCAATGTTTCTAAGATTGTTTATCCTCAGTGCTGTTTGTAGTTGATGTGTGCATTTTTTGCGAAGGTATTGCGACACTTCCACACGACACGATCGTGCCACAGGAGTTTGCAAAGCTCCAGCCCCATCAGCGCATTTCAAGTCGGTGAAGTCACCCAGCATTTTTCCAGATGAAGGAGGCACACGGAAAAAAATAGGCCACAAGAAGATCTATGTTGCTATTCTAGACTATGCTTGCGCATGTATGCATTTATTTGCAGATGTGCTTTGATGTGTGTTTGATGTGTTTTGTAATTATTGGGTTCCGAAAGCCTAGGATTATTGACAGTTGGAAACCATGTCATGTTTTTTTGGGGCAAAATCATGGATAACGGAATCAGCTGGGCCGGTAGGCAAAGATGTCCTTCTGATGGAGCAGCCAGAGCAGCCAGAGCCAGAACCCTTCAAGTCTCCTCACGTCCGGAAGTCTGAGATCAGTGCTTGGTGTGTCATATATTTGTCATACAGGGATGGGTCAAAACCCTGGTACCTAGTGAACCCCAAAATAGCTGGTAAATGGATGTTCATCCCACTAAAAATGTATCTATAGGTATTGACCCATACCCATACATTGTTATACGTTTTCATGGCTGCAGATAGCTGCCCTATCAGGTTGGGCCAGTCGAGGCAGTTATGCCGCCAATCCTGCAGCCCAACTGCAGTTTGTCATTTGGTTGTCGGTTCAGGGGTTACGTGGAGAAGCATGAGACTTCACAGATTCAGAAATTTCAGAACGATCACAGGCTGCTTCAATTGCAGAATTACAGTGTAGGTGCACACAATTGCACACTGCAGTTTGGGGGGAGAACAGTGGTCATCAGTAGTCACTGCCTTGATATCTTCATATCTTCAGGCAATCACTGCCAAAGCCCATCGCTTCTGAGCGTAAAGACTCAGATGCGCAGGACTGGATGGGAAATCCATGGCGACTTGGACTGGCATGGTTTGACGACATGACGGCACCTCCGTAATTTAAGACGGCGAACATATTATTATATAATATTATATATAGATGTACTCAAGAAAGCCAAGATAGCACATGTCAATTGTCGTGTTTAATTGTCGCGTTTGATTACTTCAGCTCCTGCAATCCGTGTAGGACTTGACAGGTTTGGAGGTGGCACCACCACCTGGATTGGATACCTTTCAAGCCAGGCAGGGCCTGGGAATGTGGATGAAAAAGCTGGAAGCGGTTGCCCCGGTTGCCCCGGTTGCCGCCTACTTCATGGAAACAAACTGGATGACGACTATACAATATTATACAATATTATACATAACTATACATAACTATACAGAACTACAGAACTGTTCAGAACTACACCAACATTTTCCCATTTGGTTTGAACTTTCTTTTGTTTTTTGTCCGTTTTACCCTGTTACTCGTATGTACCATGGGGCAAATGGGTGACGGTGGGTATCGATTCCCCCCTGGTCTGCCCAGTTGGGGTGAAAGGGTTGTGGAATGGTGGACTGTGCGAGCTAAGATGTTGTGTGTGGCGTTCTATATCTGGGTTTGAGGGGCATACATATTAAATTCACATGTCGTACCAAGTATACATCTTTTTTGTCCGTAGGTATGTAGATATCCATGTGGGTCAAGATATTTGCACTTGCCAAGAAAATGCCTGCCGCTGGCTTTCGTTCCTACCTTCTCAGGTTTCTTTATCATACTTTATGATGTTTGTGGCTCCGTAAAGGTTGCTCGCATCTTCAGTACCGCTGGTCGACTGCTTGATTTCCGGTGCTGAAGAGATAGAACAGGACCGGAAATGATTTGAGTAATTTAGCATGTAGCATTTTGCTGTGTAGTTAAAGTGTAGTTGAGGGTTGGAAAGACGGAAAGACTCCGCTCCATGGAAAAATCAAACCAGGGGGTCTGGTGTGGAAGTGAACGGCCGCTGTTGGGTTGCCGGTGGCTGAGCTTTCCAGCCACAGTGTACAACCACTGAACCACACCTTAAAATCTCAGATTGGCAAAACTATTCTTTATTGAAGTTGGCTAAATCCTTGTTTTCTCAATCTTGGTCGAATTGTGGACGCCATAGAAAGCATCAGCTGATATCAGCTGCTTTTCCTTGGCCTTCCCAACTCGGAGATTGTTTACACATTGAGAGGATATAGAGGTTATATGTGTATATATCTGGGTAAATTATAACGACCTCACTGCGACCTCACTGGAAATCATGGCTTATAAGGGAAATCATCCCCAAATAGCCTTAATTCAGGTTATAAGTGAAATATTATAATTTACCCAGATATATGATGTATGCTGCATGTGTGTTATTAGATGTGCCGATCCATGCCTGAGCCTTCATGTTGTTCGCAGCTGTCTGCATATCTGTCATGCGACCAAGGCCAAAGCAAACAAGTCCAAGGTGCCAGGTGGATTCTGCGCGTAAATTTGAAGCCTTGAAACTGCAGCACAGATGACGCGAATTCCAGAAAAATATGTACTGATATGAGATATGTATTGTTTGATCCTCATATCCAACACTAGAAGTTGTTATCACCCTTTTGTATTTGATACTGATACTAATAGTTGAAGGATGTTAGCACATCACGGGTGGCTGCTGTCCGTAGAGGCACGAAAGGCTTCGCGAAACGCCGCCTCTCTGCGTTGTCAGTTGGCATGGAGGCATGTCAACGGGATGCCGCAGAGTACTTGCAGTGTAATTGTACTGGAAAATTGCCATGGTTCCATCATGTTCAATCTACTCGAGGTACCATGAATGCCTGGCAACTAGGCATGACTGGGCATGAGCATATAGAACCGCCCTGTGGGATCCTGTGGGATCCTGTGCTTCCAGGTAGAGGGAGAGATTCTTCATTACTCTGCAGGGGTTGGAGCCTTTGTGAATGTTGGAGCAGCCATTGATGGTGTGACGCCCAGTCTGCCATTTTCGGTCTCATGAGTTCTGCGGGTGCAGGATGGAATGTTGGTAAGTGTTGCTTGTTTGAGCACACAACACAACCCTGAAACGCAACATGCTTTTTCTATGAAATGCTGGATTTATTGTGGTTTATTTTCATACAGAATTCCATGGAATGTGGCATGTTGTGACATTGCTGCAACCTTTGTGAGGATTTGTGAATTCTTTGGACATGCCAGCAATCAAGCTCAAAGCATCGGGCTTGGTCGAAGAATCCTTGAATTTCGCTGAAGTCGTTCTGATTTCGTTTGTGCAGCACCACAGAATTCCTGGTAAAAAGCTGGTTGTGGCGAAATGAATACGGCATATTACGGTTTTGCTCTCTGAGATACTTGCCATTGTCAGTCTTTGCTCTGAAATCCCCAGCCACGCTTTCCTGGTACAGTACCCCAAAATATGATTTGAAATCCGCCCGCACCGAAGGTGCCGAGGTGTTTTTTGTGTGCGCGCATTATCCAGAAGCAATTGCAATAGCTATTCAGCGCTAGCTTGGGGGAGGGCCCTTTATTGCTCTATAAAATCCCTCACCATGGGGCCAATATAGGCCCAACATGGGCCCAACAGAGGCCCAACGTAGAGCCAACATGGGCCCAACGTACCCCTAACATATCCTCAACATGAGCGCTACAAAGGCCCGATCAACATAATATATAGAACATATAATATTATGGTTTTAGTAGAACTTCGAAGCTAACACTCCGGTGCGGGCATTTGTCGTCGCGAAGCAACCAGAATATTGGTGTAATGATGGAGATGTTCGAAAACAATCCTTGAAAAACTTACCCCATACTGTACTGTACCAGGACATTCTTCCTATGTAGTTTCAGTTGACCATGTGTATTCTCTCCTCCTAGCAACTTTCTTGTTCCACCAAAAGTTGTGAAACTTGTCCCAAATGATGATGATGATGATGATGATGATGGTGATGATGATGATGACGACGGCGATGATGATGATGACGACGATGATGATGATGGTAATGGTGATGGTTTTAGTGATGATGGTGATGATGATGATGACGATGACGATGACGATGACAATGACAATGACGATGACGACGATGATGATGGTGATGATGATGATGGTGATGGTGATGGTGATGGTTATAGTGATGATGGTGATGATGATGATGATGATGATGATGATGACGATGATGATGACGATGACGATGACGATGACAATGACGATGACGACGATGATTATGATGATGATGATGATTGTGATGATGGTGATGATGGTGATGGTTATAGTGATGATGGTGATGGTGATGATGATGATGATGATGACGATCATGATGACGATGATGATGATGATGACGATGACGATGACGATGTCAATGACGATGACGACGATGATGATGATGGTGATGATGATGATGGTGATGGTGATGGTGATGGTTTTAGTGATGATGGTGATGGTGATGATGATGACGATGATGATGATGATGACGATGACGATGACAATGACGATGACGACGACAATGATGATGATGATGATGGTGATGGTGATGGTGATGGTTATAGTGATGATGGTGATGATGATGGTGATGTTGATGGTGATGGTTATAGTGATGATGGTGATGATGATGATGATGATGGTGATGATGATGATGATGACGATGATGAGGATCACGATGACGATGACGACGACGACGACGACGACGCCGACGACGACGACGCCGACGACGTCGAAGACGCTGACGACGCCGACGATGCCGACGCCGACGCCGACGACAACGACCGATGACCGATGACCGGAATCCTTTACATGAATGGCGTGACAAGAATGAAATGGCGTCCCCACATGTCACCATCCCTTCCACAAGATTTTTGAGGCTGGCGATCTTGTCAGCGGCCTGGTGGTGCGGGAGATTGATTTGAACGCACCCAGGTGGCTGTCGCAACAGTTGCCCCGTTGCTGTCACATCACTGCAGTGTTTTGGATATGGGCATTGTGAGTTTTGGTATATGAATCCTATGAAGACAGAGCTTCTCAACTTCTCTATTGGGATAGGGAATGATGTGGAAGTGCTTGGCTTTATTTTGCTGGTTGGTTGGTGAGATTGATCAAACGGCTATAGTGAATATTCTCAAGTGGACACCTGACCACAGCCGGAGGCCCAAAAAGTTGATGCTTTGTATTCTGAATCAATTCTGATGGATTCTGTTCATGTCTTATGCTTGCCACAGCGTGAAACCTGTCACAGGCTTTTACTGAGCGCAGCCAATGTGATGGTGCACTGCTAGCTGACGACGTTAGAACGATGTTCCAAATCCTGAAACAACAATCAACAACTGTTGTGTTTCGAGATTTGTTCAAGAAGAATAAGAAGATGCTGTCCTCGACCGCATCGGTTCAACTGCTCTGTTTGTACATCAAGGATTCACTAGCCTTGCAAAATTGGGAAATTGCAAAAAGTGGCTGTGAACATTGTAGACAAGAATCCCGAGGATTGTGCACATACAGGTATTACAGTTTATAAATATATATACGTATGTATATTAAATATATCTTTAAGTGCGCAACAGGGATTACCGAAACGTTCGTACACTTACATAGTCATGTTGGCATATTGGATTTCAAGGGCTTCTAATTCTTGCTTCTCGACAAGTATTCGCAGTCTATTTGCACGGGTTGAGTGAAAGACCCATCAAAATCTAGATCCCAATTTGATTTTGTCAGCATGATCACGTATTGGGCCAATTTATGATCATGTGTGATACTTTTTTTCATCATTTGTGGATGGAAAAACTCCATGGAAAAAACGGAAGCTCATGGGAACCAGGAAATCATGGTATGATCAATTGCAAGGCCTGGTGAGTCCACGGCCTGTGCCGAGGTGCCAGGGCAGTGGCTCGAGTTTTCAAGGGTGTGACCCGCGAACGGCCAGCGGATGCGAATAGGAGACATGCCGTTGGCAGTTTGGTAATCACAGTCACAATCAATTCAATGAGTCACACGGCAATCTTGTCTATGATTGTTTGTGATTGTTTTGCTCCCAGGATGAAATCCATCTCAAGGGGCAACTGTGAACATGGTTACATACCACATTTCTACTGGTCTACTGTTGGACTCATTGTTCGAAAAACGTGTTAAAATGTTTACATGTGCAAGGCATTGTGTACTGTACGCCTCACCTTGTTTCGTCCGACTTGTTTATTCATTTTCTTCCAGCCAATGGCAAGTCGAGCAGCTGAGAGCATGCGGCAGCTTGCAGGTTTTTTTGTGCTTTGCGTGGCCGACATGATACGTGAAGATTCGACACTCTCTCAAGAGCTTTGTGTGTTTCTTGGGTTTTGCTCCAGAATGTGATTAGTTCATATAAATCATGTATAGACTAGAATGAATATGGTTCAATCAAGCTTCTCTTACTCGTACCTCCTTTCACTACTTGTGTGGGTGGTGGGTGATCAGGCATGCAGAATACCAGGGCCTCAGAGTACCGAGATGTATCACAGATCAGCAAACTTAAGCTTTCAATGGAACGCGTGTGTCTGGGTACGTCCAAAATTGGGGATGCTGCAACAGAATTGATTTCCACTGATCAGCTCGCTTGCCAGGTGATGCGACAGTCGTGGCCTTCTGGCCCAATCCCCTTCTTTTGTGTCTTGGATTAGGCCTTGAGCCTACCGGCAATGGATGGAAAAGCAGCAGCTGCGGCAGCTTGGTAGGCTTGTGGATTTTAGGCATCAGTTGCCTGAACAGGATGTCTTGGAACTGCATCCACTGACCTTTGACTTGAATGAGCTTGATCATGCGGTTTCAAACCAACAAACTCCAGAGAACAGCACGCATGCAAGACGTCAGTTTGTCAAAATGTGCGTTGATCGGCATCGTGAACTTGCCGGCCTTCCCAATGCTCAAGCTGGTGATTCAATGTGCACTCTGACCTCACCGGCAGTGACTCCCGTCAACAACCTCTGCGGCAAGTTCAATGGCGTCCAGCAAAATGAGCAAGTCCAAGGCGGACGAGAAGTTGGCCCCTCCCGAGGATTTGTCTCGGATGCAGGAGGCGGATCCCCGCGATCCACGATCCAGAAATGTTTGGCCATGTTTCAAGAATCACAACGGCTCCGTCAAAGGATCCAACTGGTTTGGCAGTTGGGTGCATTGCAGTGTGTGCGCTCTTCGTCTGAGCTATGTTCCCAGGATGTCAGCACCAGCCACCCATCAGCAGACGATGGACCCAACGGTGGTGCAGAAGGCCATGGACATGCTTCAGACCGACTTGAAGGGCAAACTGCCACACTACGAGTTGTTCAAGAAAGCCATCGAGAAGGCCGAGGTGGACATGCAGTACAACTACATGCGCCACGGGACTTCATCAAAGACGAGCACGACGTCCCGGCCTCCTTCGACGGCATCAGCCCCAGCTCCCAAGGCATTCATGCCACCACATCGGGCGGAAGATGTGCCGAGTTGGCACCATGTGGGGACACCACCTGCCCCCAGCGTGCCCTGGACATGATGCAGGCGATGTCAGCCGAGGAACAGCAAGCCTTGGCCCAGAGGATGAGCAACATGGCAAATCCCAATGCCGAGCAGACATGCGACGATTGAATGAGAATTTGGTCACCAACAAAGTGGCCAAAGCAGCGGCTCATATGGTTCAATTGATGGTCTTGCAATTGAGCCTCAACTTTCAAAATTTGATCATCGAGCCAGGTCAAGTCTCGATTTGGGAAGTTTGCTGCTCTCCGACATCCTCTTTGACATCGGCATGCGTCAAAGAACAGTTGAAGTGTCAGAGGATCAACTTGGCCAATTGCTTTGACCTTGACAAAGCATCCACCTATGAAGCAATCAGCACTTTGTATTGGCAGAAGCGTCCAAATGGGATTTGGACTAGCATGCGGTGCACAGTCTGGTGCCCATGGAATGCGCTGAACTATGACAGCGTGGAGCGCAAGGCTGAGTTGGAAACTCGTCGTCGGCGAGAGCGCTTGGCTCTTCGTCGTTTGGTGAATGGCTGATTCGTGAAGTCATTCACGACCCCTCAGTGCATGTGTTTTGGGAATGGCCTGTGAACTGCATGGGTTGGCTTCGTTGCCGCATTGATGGATGCAGGTATGGAATGATGAGCACACAGACAAACCAGTCTGACATGTTTCTTAACAAGAGATGGCTCATCAAGTGCACATGCCCTTTGTTCCATAGCATCTACAAGACCAAGGTTTGCGTTCGCAATCACCCACACACTGTCATTCAGGGAAAAGACGCTTCCATCGCTCATGCTTGGAAGGAACAGGTCTTTCCTGTGCGCTGGATCAGCAAGCTTCTCTTGGTGGACGGCTCCAATGAAGACGGTGTGCGTTTTGACACCGAAACCATGGATCTCCAGCCACTATTTGGCGAACCTGTTCCTGATGTTGAAGACACTCTTCATGGTCACCCGTCATCATCCTCTTCCAAGTGGAGTCCGGTGGGTCATGGTCGCTGGGAAAAAACAGCTGGCAATTCTTCAGCAGAGCTGCATGATGGAAAGAACTATGAGCCCACGCCCAAGGAGGTCGCGCAGTGGGACGTGCAATTGCTGAAGTTTCACAAAGCCTCCGGACACCCCAGCAACCGAAACCTTGCCAGGATCATCAAAGAAGCTGGAAAGCAAGAGTGGCAAGTGCAACGTGCTCACCAACTTCGTTGCTCAGCATGTGAAGCTGTGAAACTTGGAGGCTCATCTTCAGGAAAGGTGCCACCGGCGGCAATGAGCTCGCCCCCCAAGGCCTGGTCCACTGTCTTGGTTGACATTGGAGAGTGGACTATGATGGCGCGAAAACAGAAGTTGAAGTTCATGATGGTGATTGATGGCGCCACCAAGTTTAAGGCCACACACCTCATCATGACTTACTCCCTCATTGAGCAGGGTAATGAGAACGCACAGCAAGTGATCGAGGGCTTCAGTCACTGTTGGTTGGCTGACAAACCCCGTCCTATGATTGTGATTCCCGGCAATGCCTCAACTTTGCGATCCACAGCTTTTCGAGAGTTTTGTGACAACAACAACAACAACAACATTTGGCTTTCTTTCCCGGTTGAGAAAGAACCCTGGGCCCATGGCATAGCTGAGAGGGGCATCCAAGAGTTGAAACTAGTCATGGACAAGATCTACATTGAAGATGCGACATTGTCTGCAGCTACAATTTTGTCTTTGGCTATACAAGCTCCCTCAACGCTGTGGAGAACGTCCATGGTTTTTCTCCTTTTCAGTGGGCCTACGGCCAGTCTTTTCACTGGACGGATGAAGATGTCGTCACTCATGCTCAACTACGTGACGCTGATGAGTTGGCCGACTTTTGGCCATGCGGAAGCAAGCCGAAGATTTGGCACGCAAAGTTCATGCAGAACATGTGCTATCAAAGCTCAAGAATTCGAGCGCTCGAGAGCCCTTTCGGACATTTTCTCCATGTGTGGAAGAAGATGCTTCCTCATGAAGCTCACAAAGGAAAGATCAGCGGCTACACCAAGTCAGCTAAGGCTCATTGGATTGGACCTGGCAGTGCCTGGCAGAGTCATCTTTCAGGAACTTCTGCCGGAACAGCAAGATCAGGATCGAAAACATGTGGTGTGGGTCGTTTTGGGAGGCCGTGTCCATCGTTGCTCAATCCCTCGGTGAGACCACTGACAGCAGACCAAGAGCAGGTCATCCATGAGCTCACCAAAGGGACGTGAAGAGATGGCTTGGCGCTCCGTGAGTGATCTGCTTAACCGCAGAGACTACATCGACTTGACCAATGAAGTTCCTGAGGAGACCGCCTTGGAGATCACTGAGGACCTTCCTGCGGAGCCCAACAACAAAACAGGGGTCTCTGGTAGAAGGCTATCTGGTAAACACAGTGAAGCTGCAGCGAAAGCTCTTCCACCGCTACCACCAGTGAATGAATATGAAGAGAACAAGGGTCCACCTCCAGTTCCTGATGACCTGGAGGAGACAGGCAACACTGAGACACCGGCGATGTCTCGCCGTGGCTCAACATCCACAACCAAGCCCTTGCTGGCGGATTCTTCGGCGTCTTCTCTTGCACAGCCTGCTTCGCCGAGGCAGATCCCGGCAGTTTCTCGTGAGACTTCAGTTGGTGGCGATGCTCCAGAACCCAAGCGAGCCAAGACAGACTCTGAAATGGAGACGGTGACTCCGTCAAAGAACTTCACTATTTGCTTGACGATGCAAATTTTGTTTACATCATGGAAGTGCAGTGTGAAATTGACAGCAACAGAAAGCTCAAGAATTTTCTACGAGCTCCTGCAGCTTATTTGGTCCAACAACTACGAAGCTCTGAGGTCAGGTATGAGAAGTTGACACCTGCCTTCAAGAAGCTCTTCGACCGGGCCAAAAACCGAGCCTTTGTGACTGCGGAAGCTGTCAGAAAGTGCACTGAAGCTGAAGAACGTGAAGGGTGGGAGTCTGGCCGAGTGATCGGCTGCCGCTGGGTTTTGACCTGGAAGGATGTCCCTCCAGAGGATCGGCAACATGCTGCCGATGATGCCACCAACAATGACCAGACCCCGTTCACACCAAGTGGAGACCGGAAGAGCAAGGCACGCATAGTGCACCTGGGCTATCAGCATCCAGATTTGCTGAAGCCTGAGTTTCGAAGCTCTGCTCAGATACAAGCCACCATTTCTAGGTACTTGACCTTTGCCTTGACCGTGCAGAATCAATGGCGGATTGAAGGGTTAGATCTTTCAACGGCTTTTCTACAGACTGAAAAGAACCAAGAATCACAACGTTTGTGGACACAACTTGCTCGTGAGCTACGTCAAGCCCTTGGAGTTTCAGATGGTGGTTTGCTGCGAATCCTCAAAGATTCTTATGGCTCTACCACCGCTCCACGTGGACTCTGGCGCGATATCGATCGCAACCTGCAAAAACTTGGAGCCTCCTTGGAGCTCACAAAATCTTGGGCGATCCTTGTGTGTGGATATGGACACAACCAAATCCACGCCCTCTCAATTCCATGGACAAGCACCAGGTCATTGGCAATATGGCAGGTCACGTGGATGATTTCAATAGAAGTGGCAATGATGAAAATCCACTTTGGGTCAAGGTCAAGGATGAGATCAACAAGCTTTATCGATGGGGAACAGCAAAGACAGGTCAGTATCGATATGTCGGCTGTGACCTTGAGGTGAAGCAAGGCTCCAGTAACGTCCACATTGAGATCAACCAAGACCACTACGTGGAGACTTTGATGGATCTTCTAATCGATGGTCAACGCTTCGCTCAACCTGAGTTGACCCTCAACAAGGCGGAGATTGGCCAATGTCGAAGAGCCATTGGTGCTCTGCAGTGGTTAGGCATACAAACGCAACCTTTGATTTGCGCCAGGTGCAATCTACTTCTTTCAGAACTTGCCCAAGAACCCAAGATGTCTCTGGCACAGGAGATCCAGCGTGTCATCAATGAGGTGCGAAAGAGTCCTGGTCGTTTGATCTTCAGAGCGTCTTCCATCAGTTCAACACTGGCAGCAGATGGTTGTCATCACCATGGGCGACCAGGCGCACAACAATCTCCCTGATGTCTCATTCACAGGTGGTCGGATCACTTTCCTTGGAGGTCCTGAACTTCTTCAAGGAGATCCTGGTCCCATGACCATGATTCCGTGGAAGACTTGGAAGCTTCGACGAGTTGCCATCAGCTCCGACGATGCAGAAATCCAGGCAATGGTAGAGTCTGAAGACAACAATTTTCGGACTCGTCTTCTCTGGTCTGAATTAAATGGAGCTGGCGTCGACAAAGACATCAATGACTTGATGCAGCATGCCGATCTTGCTGTATCATCAGTGTCAGGTATAGTGGCTACCGACTCCAAAGGCGGTTTTGACGCAGTCACCTTGCAGGAAGGACCATACCTAGGACTTTCAAATGTTCGAGCTGCAATTCAAGCCTTTCAATTGAAGCAGTCTTTCAACCGCGTAAAGACCCTGGTGATATGGTTAGCAGGTGATTGGCTCTTAGCAGATGCTTTGACGAAGAAGAGCCAAGAATCCCGCCGTAATCTTTAGCAGTTTTTGAGTTCAGGCATTTGGATGCTCAAGTACAGTCCTGACTTCACTGTTTCAGCAAAGAAGTCTAAGAGCAAAGGCCTGGACGCAGTGTCACAAATTCAATCCATCACAGGCAAACGAGCTGAGAAGAACTTTGAGCCTATGCAACAGAATTGATTTCCACTGATCAGCTCGCTTGCCAGGTGATGCGACCGTCGTGGCCTTCTGGCCCACTCCCCTTCTTTTGTGTCTTGGATTAGGCCTTGAACCTACCGGCAATGGATGGAAAAGCAGCAGCTGCGGCGTGCTGCTGAGCCTTTGGTAGGCTTGTGGATTTTAGGCATCAGTTGCCTTCCTTGTGGTGTTTGCAGCATTGAGATTCACTTCCTGTCTGGCACTTGGGACACATCACATATCCGTTACCAGTTGCATCATTGCATATGCCCCAACTCCATTCACAACCAATTCCAACTATTTCGATCCTTCTTGTCACCTCCAACTTCCGGACGTGCTCGCGGCCTGTGGTTGTGGAGTGCCGGGTGACAAGTGTTGCGGCAGCGGCAGTGGAGGGGACAACTGTTTTGAATCCATGAATCGCCGGGCCAAGCCTCTCTCCCAAGACCTGTGATGGCTGTCATTCTGTGCAGCTGCAGTCCATTCCAGAATTACTTTCTTACAATGGTTCCGATATAAAGTCTGATGCAGAGTTTGATATCGAATAGGAATGAATATTGTGTTTGATATATATATATATATAAATTGATGCTATATGAACTGGTACATGACAGTTGGTACAACATCGGAGGTTTTGGAGAGATGAAGGTCAGTTGACCAACTGCACAGTGGCTTGACGCAATCTCCCCCCACACTGCGGTTGCATGGACCAGCCGATTCTTCGATTTGCTCGAATTGGCTTTGAGGACACAGCCGAGATCACTTCAGCTACACTGCTCTTCCCTCAACCGGATTTCACAGGGCAAAGAGATGAAAGAAAGTGTCGCTGCGACGCTTTGCGCGTCGCTGTGATTCGCTGTGGCTGATTCAGCTGACATCATGTACAGTGTTCCCTCATGTCATGTACACTCTTGGTATCTCTTGGTGTTATGTTTTACAGTGCTTCGAATGACCATAATGACCAGGATCGAAAGAGGTAGAAGTGCTTTGTTTCACTGAGGATGGCTCAACTCATATCCAGGCAAGGAATAGATTACATGATCGAATTTGTTGTGGTGAGAAAAAGTCTCGAAGTACGTTGACATCCTTGACTGTATTCATGAGTAGAAATCACCATGATGTTGGTTTGTTTTGCCTCTTCCGGAACGTAAGAAAGGTATAATATACACATAAAGCCAAACAAATCGAATCAGAAAGGGGCCCAGCACCAAACTTGATATGCCACAGACACCTACTCTAGATCCATGATCTGTGAGAAAAGCGGATAGTCGGAATGATAGTTGGACCATTTGCTTCGGTCCTTTGGACCCAACTACGCCAATTTCAGCACTGTTTAGATGTAGCCGACTCACTGGCACAATGCCTGGAATCCTCAGATTTGCGCTGCTGATGTCACTGTGGCCCGAGGACCGACCATCGTTGCAAGAGTGCACTGTTTTGGGATGTTTTGATCATGGTTTGCCTGTGTTTTCTCAAGATCTTCTTTTTGACCATAATGATAGGTAACACTATAAGTACGAAAAGAAAAGAAATACTGCAAACCATAATTTCCAGTACTGTATGTTTATGCTGATAGTGAATGATAGTGACCTTCCAAAGCAACCCAGAAAGCAGGTTAAGTTGGGATCCCATAATGAAAGCAGACTAGAGGGACAAGGAGACTTGGACTGACTTGGGGCTTGAAGCTGTGACTTGCTTATCGCTTGCGAAGACCAGTGAAAGTTGAAAGATTCCCTACCTATCACCTGATTTCAGGGGAATGAACATTTGCTGTGAAAGGATACAGAGTCTAGACTTGCTTTATGAGTGTACCTGCTGCTGTTACAACAAAACTGGTAGGTAGCAAGGATAAGCACGTATATGGAGATATATTGAATAGACTCAGACACATCAGACACGAAGACGGAGATGCAGATAAGGGGGGAAAGAGATGCGAAAGAGGGTGAATTGGGTGAAGAAATGGCCCATCAACAGATTGACTGCACAAGCTGGAACACTGCGCAACATTGCAGGCTCACGGCTGCTGCTTTCGCTTTGGCTACGGTGCGCATCAAATTCCTTGTTGCCTGCAGGTGCCTCACCTTTCTTCTCTAAGAGTGAGAACATCACATGTTGATACTGGACTCACACTGTGCTCGCAGCTTTGTACTCGTTGACTGTGTAGAGAAGCATCAAGAAACGGCTGGAAGACACTGGGAGAGAAGAAAATGCATTAGAATTATTAGAACATGATAAAAAATGACGTTTCCCGTTGTGCTGTCTCCGTGCAGAATCTCATTTGCTGGCTCTGGTAGCAGGTGAACAAGGGTCTGACCAAAGACAAGTGTCATGCACAGCTTCGGGGAAGCGACACTTTGGGTGGCGCCATGGGATGGAGGCCTGAAACATTAGGCCGACATAGGCCGACATAGGCTATCCCATAGGATCCATGGTGCTTGTATTTATGCTAACATTGGGGGTATACTGATGGTAAATGTTACCATATATAGCATACATGGATCCTATGGGTATGGTCAACGTCTCACTGTCGAATCTTTGAAGCCTTGCTGTGATGACTTGTGAATCGCACTGGACAACTGGGAACCTGGCCATGGCAGTAGGATGTAGCTGGCATGGAATCAGACCTCTGACATGTGCAGAGTGTTCACATGTCTGTTTTTGCTTGTTACGATCTGTGCCAGCTCCAGCTGTCCCCGGAGTGCTTTGGAAGCTCATGAGCTGCTGAAGGTGCTGGTTGGACGGGAATTCGATGTGGCGAGGATGGCAGCTGGTGGCCGGTGATCAGCACGATGATGTGGATGGGTTATGCATGGTTCTGTCACACTGTTGTTTGATGCAGTATGATGCGTTTTGTTGGCATCTCCGCTCCGTCGGAAAGGCATCTCCGCTCCGCCATGAACCCAGCTGTCTTTCCTGCAGATTCCTGCAGCAAAGAATCACCAAAAACTGTTCCGCTTTGTTCTCGTTCCTGGACAATGCACGAAACAAAATACATACAGCTATATACAGCTCCTCTGAAGCTGTCTACCATACCCTAAGATGATCTAAGATGATCTAAGATGCCTGATATGTTCACTGACATGTTCACTCTGCTTGAAATCTTGCCTGTGATTTTTTTGTCCACAAATGTCGACAAGCCAAGCGCTGCTCCTCCGGCGACCCATGATCTGAGAATCCCATGAGAATCCCTTGGGGATCCTATAGGGCTACGCCTCCAAGTCATGGAGCAGGACTAAAAAAAATGAAACCCTTGGAACGACTTGGGGTGCCCTCGTTTTAGGAAACCTCCAGATGTTCTAGTAGGTTCTAATATGTTGTAGTCCTGGCATCTCTGTTTCCCTTCAACCTTTTGCTAAGGTGACGAGCTGCATGCGGACAACGAGACCCAAGGTGCTCCCAAGCGTTTGTGATACTCTTTTCCTCCACTTCGGGGCAAAACGGCTATGACGGAGGAAAAGTATGGATGATTTCATAATCCATTTATCATATGAGTATCCGACAAAATTATCAGCATTTGAAAGTAGTAGAGAGCCGTCTTGAACTTTGCTTGCCTTCACCAAACCTTCACAACCGATAGGGGACGACCCAGCACCGATACCCCTAGATCCCAACAAGTTTCCACAATAATCTGCAGCAGAGTGACTACGAACAAGGCTGTAAACAGCTACCCCAGCTAGTTTTCCTCTTAAAGAGCACCAAGAATATTGTTTGCGGCAATTCATGAACCATCCCCAGCCCAACCGATCCTAACCGATACCCAATCTTGCAACTTTTCTCACTTACCAAGACCATGCCCCACGTACTACTCTTACTCTTACTCTAACTCTAACTCTTGCTCTTACTCTTACTCATACTCATACTCCTGTTCCTGCTCCTGCTGCTGCTGCTGCTGTTGCTGTTGCTGCTGCTGCTGCTCCTACTACTACTACTACTACTACTACTACTACGACTACTACGACTACTACGACTACTACGACTACTACGACTACTACGACTACTACGACTACGACTACGACTACGACTACGACTACGACTACGACTACTACTATACGACTACGACTAAGACTACGACTACGACTATACGACTACGACTAGTACGACTACGATTACGATTACGACTACGACTACGACTACGACTGCTATTACTACTATTCCTTTACTACTATTCCTACTACTTCTCCTACTCCTACTCCTACCCCTGCTCCTATCCTACTCCTACTACTACTACTCCTCCTCCTCCTACTCATACTCATACTCATACTCAAACTCATACTCATACTCGTGCTGCTGCTGCGAACGCTACCACTACCACTACCACTACTACTCCTACTGCTACTGCTGCTGCTAGTACTACTCCTACTCCTAATCCTACTCCTACTCCTACTGCAACTACTACTACTGCAACTACTACTACTACTGCTACTGCTACTACTACTACTACTACGAATACGACTACGACTACGACTACTACTACTACTACTCCTACTTCTACTACTACTCATAGTCCTACCACTACCACTACTACTACTACTCCTCCTCCTCCTGCTGCTGCGGCTGCTGTCGCTGCCGCTACCACTACTACTCCTACTGCTACTGCTACTGCTGCTGCTCCTGCTGCTGCTTCTTGTACTACTAGTACTTTTACGACGACGACTACTACTACTTCTACTAGCACTACTAGTACTAGTACTTGTACTATAGTACTAGTTCTATAGTTCTTGTACTAGTAGAAGCATTTGCTGCAATCTTCACAACGGATACGGGACGACCCAAATTTGCTCGTGGCAATTACGGGGAACACTTAATTATATGAATGACTTTGAATGATACGTGTGATCGGGCTGCTGTGAATTTGTGAAACCACTGCTTCATTTTGCTTCTGCACAGTTCCTTGACGAATCGCAGAGACCAGGAGTTTTTCCCCATATCTTTGTGTGGGGTTCTTGTTTTTGATTCTGTATCCTGCCGCCTCCTCCGCCTCCTCGGCCGCCCTTCTGTCTCAC